GAGAAATAGCTTCGAAGAATATAATTATAAAATTTCATCGTTTATTAATTAGTGGTTTTTGTGACTAGTCATATGTGTGACGATTTTTCAATTGAACGCTATTGTAAAACTAATATAAATATTTGTGTAACCCAATGATCAAAATCTAGACTTTCCCTATGCTAATTACGCAAAGTTTTGAGCTTTAATAGTAATACTTAGTAAATTACATATGGCTTCAGTTTTAGTAGTGATTACTATTCTAAAATTATATTGTGTAACTATGAGTAATCCTCCAATTAATTTAACTATCCCCTAGATAATACTTACAAACTGTGATAAATTATAATGTAATTAGTTAAATCGATTAATAAAGGTTATTAAATATTATTAGACATTAAAATATAGTTGAAATAAATAAATCTGTGAATAAATTATAATGCAATTAATTAATAATTTATTAGCAAAAGATTATTGGACTTTAATTATTATAAAATAAATCTAACAAAACTTATACCCTATGATGTGATGTGATTAATTAATAATTAATAAAAAAGGTTATATAATATTATTAAATGTTAAAATAAAACAGTTTGAAAAATGAAAATAATAATCATAAATAAATCTAAATAATACTTACAAGCTGCAATAAATTATAATGCAATTAATAATAATTGATAATAAAGGTTATAAAATATTATTAAATTTTAATTATTAAAAATAAATATAAATAGTACTTACACCCTGTGATAAATTGTGATGGGATTAATTAAGCAAAAGGTTATTGAATATTATAAATATTGAAATAATTTGAAATGATAATTTTAATTAATATAAATAAATCTAAATAATACTTACAAGCTGCAATAAATTATAATGCAATTGATAAATAATTGTGTAGAAAGGTTATGAAATATTATTATTATGATTTTAATTATTATAAAAATAAATCTAAATAATGATTACAAACTATGATAAATTATAAAAATCAATTAATAATTGATTAGTGAAAGATTATGAAATATTATCAAATATTAAAACAGTTTGAAATTATAATCTTTATTAATAAATAATACTTACAAGCTGTGATTAATTATAATGCAATTAAATAATAAAGGTTATGAAATATTATTAGAGTTTGAAATTATGATTTTAATTATTATAAATAAATCTAAATAATACTTACTCCCTGTGATAAATTATAATGCAATTAATTGATAATTTAATGCAACGTATTTCTCTAAGACTTTCGAATAGGCACAATTGACTGCACCAAATCCTCCACTTGCAATTGGTTTGATATTTTCAAATGAATTATAATCAAATTTTGTAATCTTTCGATCCTCTGCAATTCGAATTAAATCTTTTTTATTATTCGAGGAAACATCTTTTTCGTATGAAGGGAGATTTACTCCGAGATTATTATCTAATATAGAAATTGACATGTTACTTCAAATCCTAAAGAAGGAATTGCAATCACTAATCACGAATAAAAAAATCACATTGTAATAGGTAGAGATAATGGTGAAACCTATGGTCCAAGTTTCTTTATCGAGTTTTACCACCATCTCTAGTAATAGGAAATCTTTTTGGAAATACATTTTTTTCTTTCATCACAAGCTATAAATATCTGAAAAGAAATTTTTGATTGTTTCCTACCTTACTATAACTTAATTGATTCCTTTATTGTAAGAACAATAGTTAAATAATTTATCGCTCGTAATGACAAGGGATTTAATTTCAAAATATTTCATTTTTGTTTTTTTTAATACAATTATATAAAATAAAGATCCTAAATAATTTATTTAATAATGAAAAGAATTGCCTATAAATTATAATATTGATTTTATATTCCGAGTGTAATTTTTCTAGGAAAAGTCTCTAAATAAAAATTGCACGAAAATAAGTAAAAAAAAAGTTTACAATAGCAATAGTTTGGGCGATAGTTCTTGGATCGCGATAAGAAGGAATAAGCCACTAGAAAAAAACTGAATTTATTCACTTACAATTTTTTTTTTAAAAAAAAAAATAAATAGAAATAGATTATTATCAGAGAAGTTTATTGTTTTTTGGTTAGATTCGTGGTAGTGATTTATAATTAATTGAAAGAATTGTTTATATATAAAATAATTTAGAACCATTAAAGTTAATCGTTAATTTTTAATGAAAAAGTTGTTATAACTGAAAAATACTTAATTGTTAATGGGCAATAATTCAATAATATTATCAGTTCTGTATTTTAAACTTTATCGATATTAATTGATAATAAAATTATATTATTATAATACTAGAGAAGAGATCGATTATCTATTTAGTTTATGTGAAAAAGAATATGAATGCAATGATTTGAGAGATCACTTCACTTTTATTATTATTAGATAGTGACCATGAAACGATAAACAGGTTCTTTAGAAGTCAATATATTATAAATTTAATTGTTATAAAATATTTTCTTTACGTTAAAAAGGCTTTTAATATAATTTTTGTGCTAAAAGAAAAAATGGAACCTCGTCAAAAGAAATTAAGAAATACCTAAAGAATTAGATATTAACAATGTATACAATCCAAAATACAATGTTACCGAATTAATGTCTAGTAGACGTAAATTATGTGTTTCCAAAAATCCGCCTAGACAACCAAACGGTTATTTTTTGATGAAAAATTGTTACATGTTAGAATTACGATACCTGAATTATGTATCCAGTCGAAGCAACTGTGGAAAGAAGCACCAAAAGAAGTCAAAGATCGTTACGAAGAAATACAATCAAAAGCTCAAAGTATCCACAATGAATTATTTCCGGGACATAAATTCAGACCAAGAAAAAGACAAACTTTTAAAATGCACTCTTTCCCACACGAAAATTTTGCTAAAGTTACAACTTTTAGTTCAACGAATTATTTGAATAGGCAATTGGATAATTATTCAGAACCTCCAGCACTTTCTAATTCTTCGGATTCTCCCAAAATTAATTATTCGCTGAAATTTCTACTCCTACACTTTCTGATCTCCTTGAATATTCTCCATCACTTTCAAATCAATTTGATTGAAGAATTTAATGAATCGTTAGAAAATTTTGACCCATTTTTAGATTTATTCTTTACAATGTTCGTACGATTATAATCCAAACGAAAATTTAAATGTTCCTATAGACACAGATAATCTTTTTTTTTTTTGACCCAGAACAATATCTCAATCTTATAGAAAACAATGAAAACAATGGATATGAATTTTTTCCATTTCATTAGAAAACCTAAATAAAATATTTCTTTCTTTCTTGTAATATAGATTATTCGTTTTTCTTTTTCTTCCTTTTTCTTTTTCTATTTTTTTTATGCCATTTTCATATTTTGTAAATTTTTCAGGGGAACATTTATTCAATATCAAAAATATTATATATGCATATTAATTTATTAAACTCAAGAATGTTAAAACTTTTCATTGTAATTGCTTGCAAATTATTTCGACGTTGACATTTTTTTTATTCTCTCGTTTTATTCTCTACGAATGAAAAACCTTTAAGCTTACGGTAAATATATTAATAATATCCTTTCAAAATAATTAAAATTATTTTCGTTCTCTTTCTTTCTATTCTGAACTATTTAGTTTCTTTTTCTCTGATTAAGTTTTATAAAGTATTCCTTGAGTTCATCTAAAAATCAATGTTATTATTTATTTTGAAAATTATAAGCTGTTGCTGCTCAATTAAAATTAAATTCCAACAATTTAAACACTACATTAATTCGTACGATGTCAAGAACTAAATTGAGCCAAGAAGTATTAATTTATTATAAAATCAACGTGCATTTTGGCTTTTGATTTTTTTTTTTTTTTAAAAAAAAAAATGTCAAGAATCCCAAAAAGATTTTACAAAAAGTATAGTGAAAAGTTATCATTTCGCTATATACCAAATCATTCACAATTTCAATATGGATACTTAGGAATTACCGAATCCTATGTATCTGGTATTTTAGAACTTCACTTTCCATCAGACAATCCAATACATGCCAAACAAATTGATATCACTTTAATAGGCATGGAATACGTTTGCTGGAAAGAAAAGCGTCATAAAAAAACTATAACTCATGTAGTCAGAAATCCATTAATCTCTCAAGGCATATGCGTTTGGAATAGTCCTGATGATAACTATCAACCTCTTACTGAATTGCAATTTCCTTTTCGATTTGAATTGCCTGATAATTTGCCCTCTTCTGTGAATTTTTCTAGAGAGTTTTCGGAAATTTTTTATGACTTAAAAGCAACCATCAAACAAGAATCCAATATATTGAAATTTCGTGGTTCAACGAAATCTATTATAATTCGTTGTCCAATAACCAGATATTCTTTACCTCCAACAATTCCAACTCCAACACAATTTTCAAATTATGATGACCCCTCTGCTATCTCTCGGGGAATTGGATTTTTTGTATCATTGGAGCATTATGTATTTAGTGAATTAATTCCGATTAGTATTGATTTTGGATTACTTTTTCATAAACCTGATTTAGAAATTAAAGAAATAATTTTAGGAGTAAAGCAATATGTTAGGTTAATTGCAGGTAAAGAGAAAAGGTTAAAAAATTATATTTTAAAAAGTGTTGTTAAATACAATGAAATTAAAAATAGGTTGGATTCTAATAATGAATATAAAGCTAATGTGAAATTTGAAATTCCTTCACGTTGTGACAAAAAAAATTATTCGGTTAAACATAGCGTTGATATGAATTATATTAAAGTTTCCCATAAAATTAAATTCAAGGTAAAATTTGGGATTTTCGGAGGACGATATATTAATTGGGAAAAGGATATTAAAATTGAAAATATGATTACAGAAGATTTAATATAAAATAGATTTGACTGTTTGTTTTTCTTTTTTTTTTTATTTTTTAATATAAATTATTTTCTTTCTTAATACATTTTTTAATACAATAATCTATCTAATAAATTTAAATTAGTCCATTTTCATTTTCATGTTACTACTGACCATGATGCTCCTTTGAATTCTGAACAATGTCAATTCTAATAAACAATTTGTTATAATTTGAAAACGAATTGTCTACATATATTTATTCATTATATTTTCCAAAGTCCTCATGCCTTCGATGACATTTGATCATTCACTTTTACATATACAATGCCAAGCCACTGATTTTAATGAAATTAATTTAAATCATTCGAAGGGTGCTTGCGAATGTATTCTTTTATTCTTGATACGACTCTTCCCATAATAATATTAATAACATGAACGATTTATTTATTTCACAATCAGTATCCAGTCTATCTAATTATCAGATCCAATATTTGAATTTCAATATCTTTGAATGCCGTTATTGTTAGACTTATCAATGTTCTAGAATTAGAGTTTACCTTGGTAGATTTCAAATAAAAGTTTAATTTCTAATTGTATTGGCCAATTAGAAATCTCTTACAATCTTTGAGTGTTAATCCCGGCAGCTTTGTAAGTGATTCAATGATAATGTATATAAGAGTCAATTAAAAAGACTTAAAGACTTGAAGGTTGCAAACATAGATAACTGATCAAGGAATTTATTTATCGTTTATTATTTTTTTTATTTATCAAATAGTTTACAATTTGCATCACCAAGAACCAATTTTTAAAGTATGTAAATTTTTAAGGAATTTGAATAATAAGTAATATGCAAAAAAAAAAATGGTAAATGTGTTTATAAATAAGTTTAGGATTATGGATTAGAGTTAGGGGGTTAGGGTCAAGGATTGGTTAAGGTTAGGGTTAGGGTTGGTTAGGGTTAGGATTACCTATTACTATACTTTAGTTTTTTTTGATACAAAATTCTTATAATCATACTAATTGAATGGTAATTACACTAAGTGATTTTCTGTACATACCGATTATATAGAATTCTTTCTATATTTTTGCATTTCTTTATTGAGAAAGTCTAAAATATCTTCTACTAATCCTATATCATATTTTCTATTAGAAAACGGATATTCCTGTCGATATTATCCACATTATAATACTATAAATGTCTGAAGCTTGTGTACTTCTGAGCAGTATGCCAAATGCTCCAAATGATCAGGTTTCACTTGCAGGTCTGCATAATTTTAAATCTTCTAATCATACAAATTATTATATCCTTCAGTTATCATAAGGTTACCAGGGTGAATATTATGAGTAATCATTTACCAATTAAATGATTTTTTAATTCTAAATTGATAACAATCTTCAAGATTTTCCTTCAGCTGATTTATGTACACACCGCTGAAATGCTTTCTCTTCAAATTTCATAATGAAAAAAATTATTAGACTTCTATTGTCCTTCAACTAAATTCAAGTAACACGAATATAAATTATTTTCATTCATTTGCGTAGAATTTTAAGGTATTGCAATATTGAAATTCTTTAATTAAAAATTAAAAAAATATGCATTAAATATAGAAATCTGAAATAATTTTTTTAATATTTTTTAATATTCAAATATTTAGGGTTAATAAATGTTTGAGAACAATTATTTTTGGTCACATTTATGCAAAATACTTCTCAATGGGTTTATAAGTCTAGAAATAGACTAAATTAAGTTGAGAGCAGGAATTATAACTAGAAATGCATTTCCTACTGTATTACGCGTATGTCAAAAATAACCAAATAAGGGTGAATAATATTAACACCAAAAGAATAATAATTAATTATAAGGAAGGAAACTTTAATAAATTCAAAATGTTCAAATTTATAATAATTTGTATAAATTGCATAAATTGCATAAATCGCATGCAATTTAAAAGTGGCTTAGCGCATTTACATATTATAAATTATTCTTTTAACAATTTAAATTTCTAAATCCAGCAACAATATAAATTCCCAACTTTAATTTCTTTGTGAAATCTAAAAATTGATGACACTCTATATGCACTGTTTATACGCTACATATAAATACTAAAATAATTTTTTAATCTTATAAAGGAATCAATAAATATATCTTTAAGGTATTTCAGATCATTATAAAGTGAAAAGAAGAATAATATACAAAGATTAAAATAAATGAGAAAAAAAAAAGAAAAAAATATAAATTAAGAATAAAGAATAAAGAATTATGCCTAAAATAAGCATTTAAACAAACATGCATGTATAAATGTGCTACAAAATATCCTTTATTGAAAACAATGGACACATCTCATTGTTTTAAAATTTAGGATAATGGGATTGTTTCAACAAATCTAATTAAGCGGTTGATTTTCATAAGTTAACATTCTATTCACCATATTTGGTCACGAATAAAGAATCAAATTATGTGGTACTACTGCATAATGATTCCATTCAAAAAAATAACCGACAAATAAATATTCGCAAGAGATGAGTCTTCGTTTATACAATACATAATTTCATTATCAATTCAGTTTAGCTAAATAAGAAATAAATAATTATTTACATTCAATATTTATCACGCATAATTTTAATTGTTATATTAATTTTTTGAAGATAAATTAAATGTGCTATTTCAGTCCGTAAAATCGATTATCTCTAAAAATATTTACACTCAGATTTTCTTTAAAAAAAAATCAAAAATCTATTCAATAATGAGTTAATAATAAATAATTCTAAATCCTGAATGCATTAAATGAATCAATAACCAAGATAGTTGTAATATTCTTTAAATAATATATATATATATATATATATTTGTATTTTTAATATACTAAACATTTACAGAAATAATTTGCCATGTGTTAATGAAGTGTTAGAAAATCTCAATTTTTATTTTTAAAGTTTTAAATTAGATATATGTAATAATGCAATTATTATTATGTAATATATTTATAATATTCATAATGTTTATAATGTTTATAATATTATTATTATAATTATATAATGAAATTTGTGATGTAATAATATCAAATTAGTGTTATTACTTCCCTAAATCTCAACATTGATCTATATATTTATAATACTTTTAATTTTTTTTTATAATATTCTTTTATATTTTCCATTTAGATTGGAATTACTTAACATAGAAATGACTATTATTCCAACTGAAATAATGTGTAACAAAATTAGGGGAAGCATCATGATTACATATTGCATTAATCAGTTTTTTGCATTTATTTTACATATTAATAAGTTACTATATTTACCATCAGTTATGTATGCATAAATAAGAATAAACTAAAAACTCATTTGATGTCTCACAAATTTATACGCCCATTCATTGAGATTTAATTTCATTAAATTTCTTTTTCACTTTTTACTCTTACCTCTAACACAAATTTATCTGAGTGAATTTTAAACACGCATTTTTGATAAAAAATTTTATAAATTATTTTCAGAGACAAATAACTTTGACAACATTTTTTCAAGCTTCTCTTTATTGGATTAAATTTACATTACATATTTATTATGTTTTAACGATCCATCTCAAGTTATTCCTATAAAGTTGTCATTTGTTTGTCTCTGAAATATTTATTATATCTTATCATTTTATTTCATTTATTACATTTATTATAATAATTATTGTGTTCCATTACTTATCTGTTATCTTTACTTATCTTTCGCTCTCTCTTTTATTATTTTTCTTAAACAAATAAAAAAAATATACAAATAAGAGACTATAGATTTATAATTAGTTTTGATCACTCGTTGTTCGTTCTTTATTTCCTTTTTCTTTTTTTTTTTTTCTCTTATTCCATCTTTTTACTTTTTTCCGCCCAGATTTTCCTTTCATCCTATTGTGCTCCCAGCTGATACTACATTTTTCTCGAACCAATCCTTTAACAATCAAAAATAACTAAAATAAACACTAATTTAGTATCACACAATTTATTATTTAGTGATATTTCGTAACACTTGTAATTATCAAAATTTTTTTAACCTGTTTTTCTTATTAGAAATAAATTCTTTATTTGTGTGGCTTGACAAATATATGTATCATTACCACTTCATACACAAAAAATATCACACCCTACAAACAATATACAAACAAATACTGTCGTATCAATTAATTCCCAATTCTCAATAAAGTGGATTTTCCCTTGCCACATTTTTATTTTCATAAAATAGCCACACAAAGGATTTATTTTCTTGACACACTCACATTCTCGCTCTGTCTAAAATCTTGTCTTTAAAAATTTGGTAAAATTTTTAACGAATCACCATTTTTTTTTTTTTTAAAAAAAAAAAAATTATCTTCCTTTCTACTATTCCGACGACTATTCCATTTTCTATTCCCTTTTTCTCCCTTACTAGAATAACTTTATAAACAAAAAGTATTTAAAAATATTTAAGAATATTTTAAATATTTAACAAATATTTGAAATTATTTAAAAATATCTATATATATTTAAAATTATCTTAAAATTATTTAAAGTTATTTTTATAATAGAATAATCATTATTACATTGAATTTATTTTCTAAAAATGTCATTTCCACAATTTCCACAAGAAATCCTTAAACAAATATTTCAAGAAATTTTTGGATATCGAGGTTGCTATCGTAGTCAAGAAAACATCAGTAATCTCTACTCTTGTTTATTAGTGAATAAATCCTGGTGTGCAGCTGCCGTACCAATATTATGGTCAGAAATATTCTATCCCACTAAAATAGGTGCCATAACAACTTATCTATCATGTCTGGGCACTGACAAGTTAAGGACGATTGCGGATTCTGGCATAAGATTGCCTTCCTTATTATCACAAAAACATCTTACCTCTTTTCCTCCTATACTTTCAAATAAAAAGATACCAAATGAAACAAAAATAAGTGATAATAATGTAATGTTTGATTATCCTTCCTTTTTGATAGAACTAAATTTTGATAAATTGCTGAAATCTGTATTCTCATGGTGTCATACATATCGAAATAACTCTCATCGAATACCAAAAATATCAAAATCCTCTTCTCTCTCTTCATCTCTTTCGTCGTCTTTTTCATCATCTCTTTCGTCATCTCTTTCGTCATCTCTTTCGTCATCTCTTTCGTCATCTCTTTCGTCATCTCTTTCGTCATCTCTTTCATCATCTCTTTCATCGTCTCTTCCATCATCTCTTTTCTCATCCACCGTTACTTCATCCACTCGTTCATCTACATATTCTTCTCCCGACACGTCAATGATTTCATCAGAATTCTCATATTACCCTTCAATACATTCTCAAAAACCTGAAATTGCTATGCGAGCAGAATGTGTCCTACGATCATTATTACAATTATTCTCTTTACGAAATAATAAAATTCAATATTTCTCATTTAATTCAGTACCTGGTTATCTTTTGAATGATGAATATTTTGAGAATTTGAAAAATATTGATTTTCACGGACTATTATGTGAACGAGAAACTCTGGGACTGTTTGAAAATGTTAAAGAGTGTCGACTAGAATGGGATGCTATGGCAGTGGATGGTTTACTTGATGCGTTTGGATCAAATTGTAGAAATTTGGTAAATTTTATTAATTAATTTTTATTAATTAATTTAATTTTTATTAATTTAATTTTAAATAATTTTAATAATTTTTAAATAATTTTAATGATTTTTAATGATAATTTTTTTTTTTTATATAGGAAACATTAAATGCGAATTTTTCACATGATCCGGAATACGCCAATCTTAATATAAACAAACAACAAGCCACAGATTTGGCGATTCTTATTTCTTCACAGACTTCATTAAAATCTTTTGTTCTACAAGATTATCAATATTTTACACATTACTTTTTAAAAGCACTTCAAACGCAAACGATTACTATCGCAAAACTTGAATTTTATTCAGTAGATTTTAAAGGATGTCATTCATTTGATGTAATAGCTCGATGTGATCAGTTGGAATTATTAGTATTTGAAGATTGTATGAATATCTCTATGGAAATGGCAGCCCCATTAATATATGCTAGTTTACCAAAATTAAAATATGTACATATTCGGAATCGTAACGGAATACGTGATGATGGTGATGGTGAAGGTGAAGGTGAAAGAGAATCTAGAAGTGGTTCAGCATATTCATCAAGGGCCTCATCAAGATCTTCTTCGAGATCTCGAAAACAATATCAAAATGATATTGATTCACAATATAGATCACTAATATCGGTTATGCATCATTGTCCTTCGACGTCATCCATTCATCATCTACATCAACAGCAACTTTCGGATGTAGATTTTATTACTGTATGTCCAGAACTTATTCAATGGGCTTATCGACGAAATAATCCAAGACTATGGTGGTCATCTGAATGGTGGAAAAAACAATTGACACCTCAAACACTTTTAGATTTTAATTATCTCGATTTTTTCGTTGATTGTGGAAGAATGATCTGGTATACATTAGGATTTTTAATATTTCTATATTTATTTGTTCCTTTTTTTGTGGGAGTTACCAATTTGGCGGGAAAGTGGATAGTGATTAAGATAGGTGGATATTTAGGAGTTGAAGTAATAAATAGCGATAGAAGTTTTGGACATTTATGGAGAACTGGAGGATGTAGTCCAAAAGGAAATTTGGATTTTATTCAATAAAATTTAAACACGAAGATTGAGGTTGAGTAAAATTACGAATTGAATTTTGAGGTGATCTTGTGATTGAAGAGTTATAAGTAATGAGTTTAAGAGTTTAATAGCGATTATGATGTTAATAATGGAACGACAAGCAGAAGAAGAGTTATGTTTCGTTCATTTTTTTTTAACTATCATGATATTTATTATATAAACATATTACATTCATTTTATTATTAAAAACTTTAAATATTATAAATATTTTTGTTTATAAATATTATTTAGGTCAAGTTAGTTAAGGTTGTCCATATATATATATAATATACATACAATTTATTCCCCTTCTTCTGTTTATATTTTTCTTTTTTAAAAACATTCTTGTTTATTTTTTTATTTTATATGTATTTTTTTTAAAAAAAAAAAAAATTTGGAAAGTAATATATGTAATATATGAATTACTTTTTGGTGAATTCTTTATCGGGAAAAATTGTTAAAAAGAATTATGAATTTATTTTAAAATAGATATTAATATTTATAGAATTCACATTATATATATGAACACATTATTAAAATCATTATTATTATTATTATTAAAATTATTTAATTAAAATTATTATTGTTAAGAATATTATTTTTTTGAAATTATTATTATTATTATTATTATTATATTGAAATTATTATTATTATATTGAAATTATTTTTATAAAATTGTTCAGTGAAAAAAACGAGAAAAACCATATGAAATAATTTATTTATAAATTTATTTTAGATGAATACAATTTATTATTATTTTTTACCAACAATAGGGGAATCTTCATTACTAGCATATTCGGTCCAACTTCCATCATAAACAGCTAATTTCTTTGCACCGATTTTCTCTAAAGCAGTATATAATATAGTAGCAGTGATTCCACTACCACAACTTAATACAATTGGTTTTGTTAAATCGACATTTTTTGATTTAAACAATTGCGTTAATTCTTCATCTTTACGTAAAGTGCATTTTGTATCTGGATCAATAACTGAATTAAAAGGCACAGAAATAGAATATGGCATATGTCCACTTGGAAGTCCCGGACGAGGTTCTGGATCTTCTCCTGTGAAACTATTAAAAAACGAAAATAAGCAATAGGGTAAACCATTAATAAAGCAATAATAAAATAAAAATAATATAATGCATCACCGTGCTTCAGGTCTAGCATCAAGAACTTGTTCAAAGTTCTCTGGATCACTTCTTGCATTAATATTCTTTCTAATATCATTATAATTTCTAACTAATTCTTTATTCATTGTTGGAATTTTATATGTTTTAGCCTACAAAATAAGTATAATATTATTATTATTTGTATTAATATTTATAATAATGTTAATATTTATTTAGAATAATAATAGTAATAATTAAATTATAATTATACCTTAATATCAATAGGACCACTTTCAATTTCTCTTTTCTCAGCTAACCATTTTGGCAATCCACCATCAAGAATTGATATTTTTTTGTGATTAAAAACCTTTTTTTTTTTTTGTATTTATATTATTATTAGATAATAAAAATATTGCTCAACATGTTAATTAATTATTAATTACCTACCTTGAATGTCCAATAAACTCTTGTAGCAGAAAATATTCCAACTGAATCATAAACTACCACATGATCTGTCTCTGAAATCCCCAATTTACCTTTAAAAAAACATTAATATATAAATATTAATATATATATATATATTATTATTATTATTATTATTATTATTAAGAAATAATTTTCTAACCAACTGCATCAGCAAAATCTTTAGGAGTAGGCAACATATGAGGTAAATCTATTGTTTTATCTTTAATTTCATCAATTCCAAAAAATCTTGCATTCTATAAATATTAATATTTTATTATATTTTTTTAATGGATTATTGATATTTTATCTGTGTATTAATAATTAATAATAATAATAATTTTTATTTTTAATTTTATTATAATTTTATTATAATTAAAACCTTCATTCTTCTTTCAAAATATTCTTGATATGCATCTCTATTAGAATTTGGCATATGCCATGATCCATCAACTGTAACAATAGAGTCTTGATTTTGTGCCACCCAATCTGTGGGTACGAGAGAAGGGAAATTAAATGCTGTTTAAAAAAATTATATAAAAATAAAATTAAATTATTGAAAAAAAGTAATATATATATAATTGCATTATTTATAAATTTGTATATTTACCTGTTCCATAAAATCTAGTCAGTAATGAATTTAAGGAATTAATTCCTCCTATTCGATAAATTAGATAGTTTGGTGATTGAAAAATTCGCATGTTAAGTTTTTTTTTTTTTATAAATTTTTATTTTTTTGATAAATTTTGATTTTTATCAGTTACGGACAAGATTATCAATTATTGTCATGTGAGAGTTGCTCATATTTAATTTTTATTAATTTATTTATAACATTTTTGTTTTCGTAAATTTCTGACTTTTAAAGTTTATTAAATAAAATCTCCCAATATTTCTATATACACGTTGCGCACGTTCGCATAGAAGAAAACCTGAAAATGTAAAAATAATTTAGTGAGAAAAAAGTGTTTTATATCGGTGATCTACGTTTGTTGTACGTGAAATATGAATTTAGCCTGATAAAGAACTTAAATTTTTTTTATTCTCAATAAAAGAGCGCTTTGACGAGAATTAAATTAAAATTTGATATCTATCAAAAAAATCTATTAAATATCTATAAATAATTAAATTATTGTAATAATATTGATATAATAAATTAGTAATAAATTATGCCGCAGTTAAATATTAGTTAAATATTAATTTAAATATTAATTTAAATATTAATTTAAATATTGGTTAAATATAAATATATTAGTTAGTTATATATTAGTTATGCCGCAGTTATTAGAGTTACAGGTGATTCAATAGGTCTACTCAATAAATACCACCATCTCAATATTCGAATACTTAATTCTGCAAAATATAATCTAATTGTCATTAATATTTTATCTTGAATGTATCCTAAAGTTCTCTTTAAATTAGGTGTCCCTCCTAATAAATACCATCTTTGTAATGGTCCTATCATCATCATGTCATCTGATACTTTATTCTTATTCTTTTTGGCTTGTTCAATTCTCCTTTTTTCTTCTTCTTGTGTTTCACACCATACTCCTCTTACTGCATATCGTGCATTCATTTTAAAACTTTCCATAGACTTTCCTCCTAATTCTTTATGAATTCCACGTACTAAATTAATTGTTCTAAATACTAATAACATATCTCTAGGTAATGATTCTAAAAAATCGAAGAAATCATTTAATTTTATATTTTTTAATTGATCATGAACCAATTCTTTTTCTTCAATTGACATATCTTCACCTAATGGAGTACTTGAATCAGGAATTCTTTGTGTAAATATTAATGGTAAAAATTGTATATATTGAGGAACACCTAATTTATCTACAGTTTCCTTTAATAATTTTGTATCATTTAATATAAGAGCTTTCCATAAATCACAATAAGTTTTACGAAAATCATTCGATAATTCTCTATAAAGTCCATGATCTAATAAAACCAATTGAGGTTTTTTTGTCACTGGAGAAATAGTTACTAAAGCATTTCCAGGATGTGGATCACAATGAACTATTCCATGACAAAATATCATTTCAGCAAATACTTCTAATAAAAGATTTCTCACCCATTTAGGATTTGCCCCCAAAGATTTTAAACCAACTAAATCATTAATTTTAACACCTTTTATATATTCCATTGTAAGAACTCTTTTGGTTGTTAAATCCCATATAATATTTGGTACAGTTAATTCATCACCACGATGTTTAAATCTTTGTTTAGTTAATTCACCATTTTTCGCTTCACGTAAAAAATCAAATTCAGAAATTAAATTTTGTTTAAATTCAGTTATAATCCAAGTTAATTCAAATTCGGGAAAAAAATAAGAAACTAAATTGGACATTGATTGCATTGTCCATACATCAACATGAAATAATCGAGAAACATCAGGATATTGAACTTTGACTACCACTGATTTATCATCTTTTGTTTTAGCTATAAATATAAATAAATATAAATAAATATAAATAAATATAAATAAATATAAAATAAATATAAATAAATATAAATAAATATAAATAAATATAAATGGATATAAATAAGTGTAAATAAGTATAATAAATGTGAATAAGTATAAAATAGTATAATAAATAAAAAATAATAAATAATAATATATAATAATAAATAAATAATAAATAAATAAATATAAATAATAAAGTTACCTATATGAACTTGAGCCAAAGAAGCAGCAGCCATCGGTATTTCTTCAAATTCAGCATAAATATCTTTTGGCAATAATCCGTCAAATTCTTCTCGAAATATTTTATTTACATCATTCATACTTCTATATGGAGCTCGATCTTGTAATATTGATAATGTTTCCGTGTATTCTCTTGGCACAATGAAAGTTAATGAAGCAAGATGTTGAGCACCTGAAAAAAATAAAATAATAAAATTTTAGCATAATAATTTTAGTAATTTTCAAAAAAAAAAAAATTATGAATTTATAGAAAATGGATCATAATAATAAAAAAACCTTTGATATAAATTCCTGTATGAAGTCTACAAAGACTCAATAATCTTTTAGCGACACGAAGATGAACAACTTTTTGTGCTGCGATATATTCTTCCGATTTGTAATCTGCGTTTCTATATTTATTATGTAATAATTTATAATCCAGCATACACAAACAACTAAATATAATAATTAAAAAAAAAAAATTTAATAATATAATAATGATAAGAGTGATAATAATAATTAACTTTTAATATCTATTAATATCTGTAAATTTCTTGTTAATATAATTGATATAAAAAATAATAATTAAAATATATAATAATTAGCGAACCTAATCATACCATGTTATCAACGTTACCGTTGACCTAAATAATCCCGCACAAACTAACGTAAATTTATCTCTATAAGGTTCAGACCAGGTCACAACCATAATCGTGGTTGCCGTGGTTATACCTAATATTCCTAAACCCACTTGACAAATAATTCTTTTTATTTTGGCCAAAGTAAGTGCATTATTATTTGATAACTCTTCAAGATTTAAAAGTGATTTAAAGCGACCGAAATTACTTAAATTATCATATTTAGGTAAAGGAAAGGTAGAATAATAATTATACTTAGGTTTTGAATAAAGGACTGGAAATATTTTTGATTTACATATCAAGGATTTTGAGTAACGATATGATAGAGGGTTATATATTATTCCTTTCTTTAAATATGTTCTTGTCCATAAATAACGGTTAAAAAAAGTTATGCGAGAAATTTTCATTTTTTAATAATAAAAAAAAATTAGTAAAAAAAAAAAAATCTTTAAATCTATAATCCATGTGTGTTGCACTAATCACATCACATTTTTTATCTTCTCGGAATTTTTGCAATGTATGGGAAGAGAAAAAAAATATAAAATAATGAAAAATATAAAATGCATTATATAAAACAAGTTCATTGTATTTGCTAAAAATACATTGATTACATTTACATATACTAAAAATACATTTTAGTAAGAGAATTGAAATAATAAATCTAAACATGAATTTTACAATTTCTTTTTTTTTTTTAAAATCTCGAATAATCCATGAATCCATAGTAATCATGATTAGTATCATTACGAGTGACGGATGAATCTATATGAGTAGATATTTGAGTAGATACAGGTACATGATAAGGAATTAAAGGTTCTCTTACAATCATTGATTGATAATAAGAAGGAACACAAGATCTTAAATGAGAGAAAGAATTTTGCCATGGATTATGATGAAATCCATTTATAATTCCATAATGTTGACCGTCTGTTGTAGAATCTGGTTGTGTGGTTGTAGTATTATTATTATTATTAGTAACAACAACAACATCAGATGGTTGTTGTGGTGGTAGTGGAACTGCTATACTTCCTTTTTCAATGACTTTTTCATCTTTTTCTTGACAATTTCCTCTTCCTCCTCCTCTCCCTAACCAATTTATTGCATTTGTATTAATTACATTTGTGATTTTCATAGGATCTGAAATTTCTGTTTGAGGAGTTGTTGTATGTGAAGTGGTAGTTGTCGTAACAGGAGAAAATGGATTGACGATAGAGGATGGTAAATTATTGAGACTTAGAGTTTGGAATTCTCTTTTCTCTATATTGACCGTGTTTACGTTGTTCATGACATTCACATTTGTGTTGTTGTTTACGTTATTCATGTTTACGTTGTTTTCACATTTAAAGTTTGAATCATTATTAGATTCTAATTTAATATCCTTTAATTGATATTGTTGTTGTTGCCTCTTGCGTAAACCTAATTGTTTAATAATTGATTTGCTTGGTTCAATATTTGCAAGTTCAACATATGCCCAAGGTGGATGAAGATCATCGTGATTGCCTAAAAAATATTTTAATCGATACGATGAATAAATATTTAATCGAATAATAAATTAAAATCAAAAAAAAAAGGAATTACCCTTCTTGTCTTCATAAATAATCATATGTTGAAGACTACCATCAACAGTAACAGAGATGGTTTTCTTATTGAATCCTTCTTTGCTATATATAAAAGTACCTTTATTACAAACATTATATTTTAATTGTTCGGTTTCAATACGCTTCTTGATAGATTCATCAATATCTTCGTAACATTTGACGTTATGTAGACGATACTCGAGTTCTTGATAAAGCAAGAAATCTCCATAGATTCGACTTGGCGACCATTTACTTTATAAAACAAACAAATATTTATTTATATTGATTTATATTTATAATTATATATATATATATATATATATATTTATTTAATTATTTAATTAATTATTTATTTATTTATATTTTTATATATATTTCTTTACTTACATCCCATCTGTCCAACGTTTGATGCCGGACTCGTTCTCATCATACAAAAAACTAATGTTTAATTTTTATTTATTGAAAAATCCGAATTTTTTTTTTTAAAAAAAAAATTTATTAAATAAATTTTTGAACATACACAGATCCCGGAACAAATTCTTTCTTTTCTTCTTCCAAACAACGGCGAGTAATTCTTTGTAAAATACCAAGTCGACATGCCTCTATAATAATTGAATAAATGAATAATTAATTAAAACATTAATAAAATAACTTATATTAATCATAAATATATGTTAAATATTATTTTCTTTTTTTTTACTACCAAATATGATTAAAGCGTCACGAGTATTTTCAACTTTTCCTATTAGTCAAAAAAAAAAATAAAATAAAGTTTTTTTTCTTGCGTTCATACTTATAAACACGAAAAAAAAAGACAAATTATTAGATTATTTAGGCTTTGGCTAAGAAGATATACTCTACCTCGAAAAGTTTCCATATTTGTTGATATTTATTTATTGATATTTATTGTTGATTTTGAGAAAGTTAAGAAAACTTTCACGCGCGCGTAAAGATAAAGAAAATAGAAAAAAAAATAATAGAAACTTTTTGGTAAAGGAGAGAAAGTATGTTTAACTCAAGTAGATGAAATTAACTTAAATAAATTCAAATAAATCCAAATAGATAAAAAAAATACGCGTCACTTAATAAAATAGCTTGAAACTATTATACGTGACTTGGAGTCTTTAGAGTCTACAAGAGTTTATAGATATATTTATGGTCATACATATATATATATTTATACATATTTATATATATATATTTATAATCGTATTTATATATTTATATAATAATAGATCTCATAAATATTTATATTCGTATTCATATTATCTTGGCTTACATAACGAATCATTGTTTCGGAAATGTAATCAAATCAAATCAAATCAAATCAAATATAATCAAATATAATCAAATATAATTAAATGTAATCAATGTAATGATGTGTATTATTCGCTTTAGATAATTCAGTAAAAGAATGTAAAAGAAAAGATGTAAAGAGATTATATGTAAAGGGAAGGGCACGATTCCGAAGAGATGAAGAAGAAGTTAATGTCAGAGATAATATATAATGAATGATTAATGATTTACGTGGACAACAACGCAACGGAGAAAATAGACAAAAACAGACAAAAGCATATATAAAAAGATAAAACGTAAATAATGTATACAAACCAAAAACGAAATACTATGACGTTTACAGACTTATATATTCTAAAACAATATTCTACAATGAAACTCTTTATATAAATTATTTTTAAATTTAGAAGTTTTATTATTCGTTTTGTGACCGGCGTTGTGTGTGTGGTAACTGTAATTTTATGACTACATTTATATTAAATTCTTTAGATTTTATTCTTTACATTTAAATTCTTACAAGTTTTTATAGATAAACATTTTAATTATTATTATTATTATTATTATTATTATTATTATTATTATTATTATTATTATTATTATTATCAAATTACCTTTACTTATGAACAGTATAACTATTATTTAATTATTTAATTATATAAATTCGAAATTATAAAAGTTCAAAGATAAAATTTAAGCTTTTAGTACATGAACCTGAAACAGAATGTCATCATTTATATATAAAAAAAAAGCATAACGAATCATGTGAACAATGTGAATAGAGTATTATTATTAATTCTTTCTTTAATTCATTGTCTATTCTATTAATGTATAATTATATAATCATACGTTATGATTATTGTTGATGATATTTTTAATATAACCAATATAAATACTTGTTAAACATTTTTGCATTTCTCTTCTTTTCCATAAAAGTAAATTATAGATCTAAATTAGTCAGATTCAAAATTTTTTATTCCAAATATGGAAATCTTCTAGATTACTTTATTTATATTTATTTAAAATACCAAGCATTCCACGTACATTCTCCACCACACAAAAAAAACATTACACAGAAAATATTTAAATAATAAATATAAATAAAATCAACTAAACCATATTTGACTTACACCTTCAAGAATAAATTTATCCAACAAGACAAAAAAATCTTTTGACAATTGACCATTTTTTATATTTTTATCAACAATATATTAAAAATGAAAGATGGGAGTATGCCGCCTTTGTTCACGACATTCCATAAGAGAAAAATTTTCATATACATATATATTAATATAAACTTATATAAAAATGATTGAAAAAACGTAAAAGCGAAAAAAACAAGAATTAAATTCTTTTATTTCATTATTTTCATAGATACTGTATTTATAATGTCAACATATTCATAAAAATTATATTATCATCCATAAAAAATTTATATTATATTTTATCTTTCTTTATATTATCGTCAACAATTATTATATTATTATATTATTATATTATTATATTATTTATTATCATAGATTTTCACATAAAAAAAATTACCAAACAATTTAAATATTTTTATATTGAATTATAAATATATAATTTAACCATATCACGTTAAATTAATACCTAAAATACGTTACATAAACAACACCCAACGCCCCTCTCTTTGATAAATAAATAAAAGCTCTCAAATACTTTTGACGCGCGAATTATTTAAAATTCTTTTTAAAACATGACCTACGCTAGCGATTTGACTTTTTTGAGTAAGTTCATAAAATATAAATAAATAAATCGATCAAAGATAAATGAAGCAATTGAAATAATAAATTTATTATTATTATTATTATTATTATTATTATTATTATTATTATTATTATTATTATTATTATTATTATAGCTCGAGCAGTATTTACGATATGGACTTTTCTTTGGTTTCTGCAACGTGTATGGAGTTTAGATGGATTTGATGCGTTACGATGGAAACGAATAAAAAATTTTGAATTGGTAATTAACATATTTATAATTGTTATAAATTAATAGTAGTTATTAATTATCAATTAATTTTTTATTATTAAATTATTTATTATAGAAATCAATGATTACGATTCTTCTTTGTATAATGAGTCCATTACTAATTGTATATGATATCGGATTATGTTATATAAAATACACTGAAGGTTTTCTATTAATACCAAATACTGGTGAAATTATTACGAAACCTCAAGATTATTGGAATGATTCAAATAGAAAACTTCTGATACCTTTTAATTATATTCTTTGCGCCAATTTTAGTGCTCAAACGTAAGTTGAATTATATATTTTTTATTTTATTTAACATTTTAACTTTATAATAATCTCAAATTATATAATAATAATAATAATAATAATAATAATTTTATAATTTCAATTAATTATTTATTTTAGTTGTCTATTATTCTTGTTACAGGCATTTTGGAATTATCTCGCCAATAGTATTGCTAAAACAACATTTATGAGTAGTTTCGAATTTAAATCCTATATCATTTATTCCGTATTCAGTGCTGCTTTATTTCCATTATTACAATGGATGTTTCGTTGTGATAAATTATACACGGAAGTTATTCCTCGTCTCGCTTATTCAGGTATTATGATTATTATTGCTCTCTTGGGAATAATAAGTGATTGGCGATTCTCCAAATTATTGAGAGCTACTAATGTGGTTAATGCTTCCCAATTAAGTATTATCGCTAAATTAGAATATTTTAAGGTAATATAATATTATATTTTAGTATATTATCGATTGATTATTATATTATATTATATTATAATAATACTAACTTTATTATTTATTTTTATTATTAGGCAATGAATAAATATTTAACATGTGCTCTCTTCGTTGGATCAAGTTCATTAATGATATTATGTCTCGATACATTTACTCCTATTAAATATCTTAACTCTCATAAATTTATATCCGACCTTTTAATGTGTCATCTTAATTTTGCTATTTGGACTGTATTCGTTATTTTAATTCTCATTTTTTATCCAACTGCAAATTGTCTTAACGATTTTATGTTAGATAAAGAATTATCATCTTCACTTGATGTAAAATCAAAAAATAATAATTTTTTGGATTCTTATAATAATGGTGGTAGTGGTAATAATGGTGGTAAACGTTGGTCAAAATATATTCCCGTAAGCGAAATTAGTCTTTGGTCTTCTCAAGTTTCATCAAGAAATGATAATTCTAATCGTTCGAGTTGGGATCCTTTAAATAATAATAGTAATAATAATAATCGTTCTAATTGGGATCCCTTTAATTATAATAATAATAATAATAATAATAACAATAATAATAATCGTTCTAATTGGGATCCTGATTCAGTTGTATTGGATATATTACCACCTTCTCCTTCATTTCCTCATCCTCCACCTCCTATTAAAACAAATTTTTCACGTTCTTCTTCTCCTTTTTATTTCGCTTCAAATAAATTATTACCTGAAACTATAATAAATTCAAATTTAAAATATCATCAACAACAATCACCACAAAAATATCAACATCATCAACATCAACATTCCGTTATCAGTGTAGATTCTTTAAAATATCCATCATCTCCAGTAATGAATAATAAAAGAAATAGTTTTAATTCTTTAACTTCATCATCTCCCTTATCTTCACCCCTTCCTATTCAAACAAATCCTAATTTACCAATGATTAAGATTACAGATTCATTAACTTCATTAAGGGCTAAAAAATTATTACAGGATAATGAAAAAAATGAAAAAAATGTAGAGAATGATTATTCTAATAATAATATTACTTGTGTGAAAGAAGAAGAAGATGATGATAATGAAGAAAATAGAATTGAAAAAGAACTTGCAGAAATTGAAAATTTAATTAGTGAATTGGAGAAATCTTTACCAACACAACCTTCGATTCAATCCTGGATTCAAATCGATAACAATAACAATAACGATAATGATAAAAGTATCAATAACGATAAAAATAATGATAAAAATAACAATAAAAATAAAAATAACAACAACAACAACAACAACAACAATAATAATAATAGTTATAACAATAACTATAATAATTATAATTATAATTATAAAAGTGAATTGGAAATTTCACAAAATTTGGCAACATTAGAAGAAATCCGAAGTGAGGCCAGCAGTTTAATTGAGAATGATTCATTTATAATAGAAAAATTGATAGCTTCAAGAAATATAATAATGATAGAAAATGATAATATTATTAAAGATGATTATAATAAAAAGGATGATAATATAAATGAGAATAATATTAATAATAAGATTAAAGATGATAATAAGAAGGATGATAATATAAATGAGAATAATATTAATAATAAGATTAAAGATGATAATAAAAAGGATGATAATATAAATGAGAATAATATTAATAATAAGATTAAAGATGATAATCCAAATGAGAATAATTTAAAAGGGGAAGATTCTCTTTCACAAATATCAAAATCAACTTCTTCACGAATATCAAAATCAACTCCTTCATCAAGACCAAAATCTAAATCACCAACACCAACAAAATCAACTTCTTCGCCAAGATCAAAATCCAAATCACCAACACCAACAAAATCAACTCCTTCATCAAGATCAAAATCCAAATCACCAACACCACCAAAATCAACAAAATCAACAAAATTCACTCCACCAAGATCAAAATCCAAATCACCAACACCAAAACCAACAAATGTAACAAAACCTACAAGTTCAACAAAATCAATAAAATCAATAAATACAATAAAACCAACAAGTTCAACAAAATTAACAACAAAATCAACAAAATTAATTCTTTCACCAATATCTTCCAATAATATTAACAACAACAATGATAATAATATTAAAGCAAGGTCATCATCATTATATTCCTCAAATCCTCTAAATTCAACTGATAATAATAACAAATTTAACATAAATTTGAAAGGGAATAATAATAATTTAGGACTTGCCAATAGTATACGAAATTCTATTGAAAAAAATAAGATTAAAAGTAATAACAATAATGATATTATTATTAACAGTAATAATAATAATAATAATATAAATAATAAAATTAATCATCATTCAAAAAGAAATAGTATAACTGAACAATCAACCATAAGAAAGAGATCAGATAGTGGATATAAAGGTGATAATGGTGGTGTTGTTGTTGGTGGTGGTGGTTCTAATGATTTGGTTATTCCAAGTAAAAGTAGTTATTTGGAAATCAATGCTAAAAAGAGTAATTCTAAAAAGAGTATTGCTAAAAAGAGTAAAGTGAGTGATTTAATTATAAATAATAAAAATGAGAATAGAAGTGAAGATAGAAATGAAAATAGAAGTGAAAATAGAAGTGAGAATGAGATTGAAAATGAAAGTGAAAATAAAAATAAAATCAAAAAGAAAGATAAATTTCTTAAAATCTCAAAGAACACTAATGATAAAAATAATGAAAATAATAATAATACAAAAGGAGTGAAAAAGATAATGGGGAAAATAAGGAATAGCAGTATAAGTAGTATTAGTAGTAATAATAGCAATAATAGCAATAATAGTAATAATTCAACTATTGGAAAAGTAAAAAAAGTCAGTAGTAGATTATTTAAAGATTAGAATTAGAAAGCATTAAATTATTATCTTTATTACGAAAATCCATATTTATATTTTCATTTGTACATTAAATTGATTTGTATATTTATAAATTTATTAAATTCGTATAGAATTAGAATAAATAAATTTATTTAAAAGTTCTCCGCATTCATTGCATTCCATTTAAACTGATTGAACTGACCGACTAAATTATGATATTTTCAAAATTAATTTATTTTTATATAAATAATTAAAAAAATTAGGTCAAAATTATAAATTAGATATATAGATCGATTTCGATTAAATGTGGGTAATGATTAAATAAAAAATTTTTTTTTATTCTTCTATGAATGAAAAAAGGTCGAAATAATCAATACATAATTATTCTTTCAAATAACACCCTCCTTATATTTGTATTATATTATTATTATTATTATTATTATTATTATTATTATTAATGCTAATTAAAAGACTAATTAAAAAAAGATATTATTTAAAAAGACACTATTACTATTAAATGGCATTATTAATTTTTTTCTATTAAAATGTTATTATTCTTTCTTGCTTAAATCCCATAGAGGCAAACTAATTGGTGAGAGATCTGGTGTTAAAAGTACACCTGCCAGACAATAGTATACAAAGGTAGAACATATGACTATACAAAAGAAGAATTTAGTAATTAGAATAGATTCATTTTATTTGTATTTGATTTAGATTATTAAAAACGATTTATTTTTATTATACTTATACTTACTTCCGAAAACACCTGAAATTTTAATGAGAGCTTCAGAAGCAGGAAAGAAATGATAAACAACTTCAAAACCGAAACTTAGTGTCAAGGCAACAAATGCACCCAATACTCCTGCATTTGTACGAATACAGGCGAGTGTAAAGATGAATGTGACTAAATTATTTATATAGTTATTTAGGTTAGTTAAATAAAATTATTAAATTCTTAATATTTTATTTTATACTGTTCTGTATATTTATTTTATACTTTATATTTTAACTTACATATTAACCATCCAAGGCAATAAATACCAAGAGAACTATGATATTGATAGATTAGATCAATTGCATTAGGATTGTTGGCTAAAGTTGGAGGTTGAAGAATTCCGTATTTATCAACAGTGAATCCAAATGCTTGTTGAATTCCCTAATTAATTATTAAAAAATTAAAATTAATTAAAACAAGTTAAAATTAATTAAATTAAAATTAATTAATTAAAATTAAGTTAAAATTAATTAAAATCAAATTAAAATTATTTTAAAAAACTTACAAATGCAGGAATAAATATAACACCGTATGAAGCCCAAAAACCTCCAAAAGCTGAGAATCCGGTTCCACCAAATGTGTTTCCAACTTTAAATTCCCACATACCTGCGGCAAATTGAACTACTCCACCAGTGAATAATGAAACTCCAACTACAACGTTAGGAATTGAAATTCCGAATGCACCGATGTTATAAATCGATAATACGAATACAGATAGCGCGAAAGCAGAAAGACCTATTTATTTATTTATTATTATTATATATATATAATATATATATATATATTAACTTTATTTATTTGTTGCCAAACATCTATTATATACTGATAGCATAAATTTACCGAGAGGTGTTGGATTTCCAATTTTAGGTGCTGATCTATGAATGGATTTTGGTCGTTGTCCTTTTTCGGGACGAGTTGGCGTATGAGGCACATAATCTTGAATGTAAATTGGTGTTTCCGGCATTTTTTATGTTTTGCTTTTTTGCTTGTTAAATAGAGGAAGTGGAATATTTTCTCAAATAAATAGTTTTAACATCTTTTTATAATTTATTTTTTGATCGTCAAAATCGTCAAACTAATTCTCTCATGAAAAAATTTACAGAAAAAAACATGACATGTGCTATGGAAATATCCCAATTAAAACTTTTAATTTTTTTAATTTCGTAAAGATCAAGAATCTACGTTATTTTTCGGCTTTAAGAGTCATAATCTCGTGATTTTACTGTTTATGAAAATTTTGTATGAAATTTTTATATGAAATTATAAAAATAATAAAAATAAATATGGATATGGATCGTATAGAATATTAAAAACTAAATAAAGAAATCATTATTTATTATTAGAAATAAAATGGTAAATAATTTATCTAGTGCAACATTGATATGATATAAATTGAACTCGCGATGATCTTGAGTTATTTTGAATTTTTAAATGAAAAATGATTTACTGTAGATTTTAGAATTGATCACCATAAATATGATTATAATTAAAAATCTTTATTTTTTTTTTATTTTTTTTTTGTATCTTTTTTATGTATCTTTAGAGAAAAATCAATGTGAGGAACTCCTTGAGATAAATTTCCCATACTTAATATATCAATGTCTTAATACAAATAAAAAAAAAAAATCGAATAAATAAATGAATTCCGAATAATGATTAAATAAATAAATAAATAAAGTAAATAAATAAATAAAATAAAATAAAAAAACAGAAATGATCAATTCTTACATGGGGAAAAGTATTCATTTATATTCTCTTCAGTAATTCCTCCACTAGCTTCAATCAAAAATTCTCTTTTCCCTTGCCATCTCTCTTTTAATGACTTTGCACATGATTTTAAACTCTCTCCTCTTAAATTATCAAGCATTATTATATTTGCTCCAGCTTGGATAGCTTCTTCTGCCTCTGATTCGTTACGACATTCGATTTCCAATTTTAATGAAAATCCTCCAACTCGTCTTGCCTTTTTAATAGAATCTGTAATAGATCCTAAAATGAATGAATGAATGGTAAGATAATATTAATAATTTCATCTAAAATTTAAATCCACTTTAGAATGAATCTATTCATTATTACCTTGACTCCAGATATGATTATCTTTTAACATGATCATAGATGAAAGATCCATTCGATGAGTATCCGCTCCTCCTATGAGCATTCCGTACTTTTCTACAAGCCTAAAACCTAAAAAAAGAAGAATTATAATAATTCAAATAAATTAAAATAATAATGGTTAAATAATAAATAATAAAATAAAAATAAAAATAAAAATAAAAATAAAAACAAAAATAAAAATAAAAAAAAATTATGGAAATTTTAAAAATTACCTGGAGTCGTTTTACGAGTTCCGGAAATTATACCATGATAATTATGAGCTTTCTTTTTATCAATACATTTCTTACATCTATGGAAGGACATCAAATACAAAAATAGAAATAATTATAATAATTATTGTGGAGGAAAAATAGAAATAATTATTGCGGGGGGAAAAAAAAGGAAAAGAAATACCTTGTGGCTATTCCACTACAACGTGCAATGATATTCAAAGCAGTTCTTTCACCTAAAAGAATATTACAAGCTTTACCTTTAACCCTTGCAATTTCTTTTATTGGTTCAAAGTATTCTCCTTCATTTAATAACCATTCGACACTTCAATAAGACGAATGGTTGCTGTCATATAAAATATTTATAATTTCAAAATTCAAAATTGAGTTTTAGTTTCTTGAATATATACTGACTTGCAATCCACCTGACGAAAAACTTCTTCGAAAAATGGAACACCGGCAAGCACACCCTAATAATATTATTGTTTATTATATTATTTATTTATCTAAATTATTAAATTTTTTAAAATTTTTGAATTTTAATTTTTATTTACTAACAGAAGATTTTCCATATAAAATTGCCAATTCTGGAGTTTTACCAACAACAAAGCCTCCATAATCAAATGAAGGAACATCTTCTTTCAACCAGGCTGAGATAGAATCCTTGATTGATGTAGTAAGAAGATTTGAAAAATCCGACATGATACCTATAACATCAAATATCTAATAATTCCTATACGTATTTTAGTCTCACGATATTCTTTTTTATAATATTCACGTGAAAATTCTCTACTTAAGGTGGCAATTAGCAAAAAAAAAAAAAAAAAATTTTATTCTTTGACAAGCTAATTGGAATTCAAATTATGCCAAAAACATTTTCAGGAAGTTCTTCTTTGGTAAATTCAAATTGCATTAATCTATTTTTTTGATATCAATTTTTTTTATAATTTTATAAATTTTTTTATAAAATTTCAATAAATTTCAATAATTTCCAATAAATAGGATAATGCACTTGCTGGATTTGCAGCTGGAGCTACTTCCACAATTTGTCTGCACCCATTAGATTTGGTAAAGACAAGATTTCAAAGTGAGTTGAATAAAATCGAAAAAAAAAATTATAGTTTTTAGATTTTTTAATTTTTTATATCTTCTTTTAACAAAACTACTTTGTAATATTATTTTTATAATATTATTTTATAAAAAACTTTATAATATTATTCTGTGTATAGTTGACGATGCAGTAAAAGGATCAAATGGAAAACGTTTAGGTGCCACGTTCAACGCTTTAAAAACAATTTTTGTAAAAAATAAATTTATAGGTCTTTATCGAGGCATATCACCAAGTTTTGTTGGTTCAACTCTAAGTTGGGGGATATATTTTTATTGGTAAGAAAGTTTTGGAAGTTTTGATCGTAATTTGAGCCGAAAAAAAAAGATTTGTATAGATTTGTAAAAGATGTATAGATTTGTGTGTGGTAGGTTATATAAGAAGTAACGATTTTAAGATTTCAACTTTATTTGAATTATTTTCATTATTATTATTTTTTTTTTTTACGTAAATATTATAATAATAATACTGTAATAGGTATGATTTAATTAAACGAAAAAAAGCGAATGGAGATAGATTGACTAAACTTACTGCGATACAACATTTAACATCATCAGCTGAGGCAGGTAAATTATTATTATTATGATGAATAAATAATTTATTATTATTCTTCTTCTTAAAGGAATTAATGTTTTTCTTTTTTTTTAGGATTGATAACAGCTTTAATTACAAATCCACTTTGGGTTGTTAAAACTCGAATGTGTGCAACGAACAAATCAGATCCTGGAGCATACAAAGGATTATTTGGTAAGCGAAAGAAAGAGAAAGAGAAAGAGAGAGTGCGCGTGCATGTGTATGAATTAATGATAAAAATAATAACAATAATAATTAAACTTGATTTTACTAGATGGTCTTTACCAGATAATTAAATATGAAGGTTTTTTTGGATTCTACAAAGGCATTATTCCATCTTTATTAGGTACATCTCATGGTGCCATACAATTCATGATATATGAAGAAATGAAAAAATGGAGACTTAAAATTACACCAGATAAAGATAGAGAGAGATTGGTAAATGGAATCCATTTTTGGGAACTAAAAATTTTAAATTTAGATTTCATACTGTTGTGCCTTAGATTAAAACTGGCCAATGTTAAGGTTAGATTTAGCTGAATTTAAAAATATCTACATAGGCCGTATTTATGATTCTGGTCAATCTGTGACATCAGCTTCTAGCTGAGGCAAAGCATCGATCTGAGGCACAACGTACATATATATATATAAGAAAAAAAAGAGAATTCTAGTAAAATTCTTTCATAATTTAAAATTATATAAAAATTTTTTATTTTCAGGATAATTTTGAATATCTTTTAATGTCAGGTTCATCCAAAGCATTTGCAAGCATTACCACATATCCATATCAGGTTATACGAGCAAGATTACAAAATCAGAAAAACGAAGCGAAATATTTAGGTATATTCGATACCATGAGAAAAATCTTACGGTAAGTATTTAATGAATATTTTATTTGATTTCTTTTGATTTTATTTTTATTAATTTTATTCTAAAATGGGAAAAAAAATAAATAAATAAATTAGAAAAGAAGGATTTTTAGGATTTTACAAAGGACTAGCACCAAATATTTTAAAAGTTCTTCCTGGGACATGTACAACATTTTTAGTTTATGAAAACGTGAATTCATTTTTCAAAGAACACGCAAGATATGATTAATTAGAATAATGAACATTCTACTTGTGAGATAAATTCAAGAAATTCAAGAAATTCCGTTTAGCAGATATAAATAGATTGAATTATTTAATTATATATACATATGTTCTTAGATCAGACAATTAAAAAATTTAATTTATCAATTATTCAGCTCACGTTCGTTTGTTGTCAAAGAGATGTTAGTTATTATTATTACATTTATTTGATTATGTGTGCGCTCTTGGTCATTAAATTGTGATCACTTAAAATTTTAAAGAATCAAATTATTTATCTTTGCATTACTTTCTTTCCCTTTAATGTTTTATATATGTCGTATAAAATTTAAATTCATTTCTTAAAATTTCGAATAAGATCATTCGAAACAAACGAAAGTAAAAAAAAAAAACTAAAATATATTAACGAATACTTAATATCAACGAATATTGAATATTAATGAATATATGAAATATAACCGAACTAAAAGAAAATTATGTTTGTTTTAAAAGTACTTTTTTCCTTTTTTTTGATATTTTTTTTTTTTTTTTGTAATTATATAGGTAAGAGAAAATAAGAAAAATTAGCAAGATGAAATGATAAAGTTGAATGAATGAGAGAGTATTAAAGAAATATTAAAAAATGTGAATATTAATAGATATGAAAAAAAAAAGTTAACAGATGAAGAGGAATAGGTGAAGAGAAAAAATTAACAGATGAAGAATGTTAAAATGCAATAAAAGGAAACAAGAAAAAAATATTTACAAGAAATGATGAAGAAATGTAATAATGATGAAAACAAAATTTTACAAAGAAAGAAATTATCGATGAAAGAAATATCGTTAGAAATATTAAGAAATATTAAGAAATATTAGGAACCATTACATTAAAGTGATCGTATATACAAAAGATTTAAAGAAGTAGTAATTCATTAATTCATCAGGTAATTCCCTGCTCATAATCGGTTAAACACGTGACGAAGGGATCCAAAACTTTTCATGGAATATTATTAATAAAATAATTATGAGTAGATGGTAATTCTTCTTCAACGATGGGATCTAACAAGATAGAATTACGATTACTACGAATAGAAGCTCTAGATGATTTACGTTTAACTTTAGTGTTGTTATTATTGTTGTTGTTGCTGTTACAATTGTTATCGGAAGAGGAGGAGGAGGAGGAAGAAGATTGTTGATCCAACATAAATTGTTCACTTAAACCACCAGAAGAGGGAACACGTCTTGGTAACAAAGAAGGACTAGCGATAGGACTAGAGTCAGAAGAAGAGTTGCCACTAGAAGTTGTAGGTAAGAAAGCAGGAGGATAACTTTCGGTGGTATAAACTTGACCAACATGATGATTGAGATTATTATGATGACCAGTAGAATAAAGAGAATGTTGAGATTGTTGATGATGAGGAAATGAGATATCAAAAGTTTGTTTGTAATAAACAGATGGATGAAAAGGTACAGAATATGGATCATTAGTGACCATATTATGATGTTCGTTGAAGAAAGTAGATTTGTGCATTTTGTTTGAACAAAAAGAAGAGAAGAGAAAGAGAAAAAATGATTTGACTATGATATTATTATATAAGATTTACTTAATATATTTAAAAATTATTTTATAACAAATAACCGATATTAATAATAACTGATACAATAATAACCGATAATAACCGATATGAAAACAGGGAATTAATTAAAGAAGAGAGAGATAATAGAGATAAGACAAGATTAAGTGAGAGTGAATTATTTTTTTAGTTATTTAAAAAAATGTGGATATCAGATTCTTTTATAAGGATCAGGACAATGAAATTTTTTTTTTTCAAATTGGATGGGTTGTCTTATAATATTATTTAAGGAATAACACAAGATTATCACTTGAAAAAAAAATGTGGCTTTTTTTTTTTTACTATTATTTCAGTTGTTATATTATTCGTGAATTCCGTAAATTTTGTGAACTCTGAGAATTCTGTAAATTCTGAGAATTTTGTTGTTGACGATGACAACAAAAACAAAAATTCAGGTTAAAATGTGGAATCAATTATTACACGATTAATTATATATAAATTATATGGAAATAATAGGAAAGAAGGTACAATCGTAAAAGTTGATAATAGAAAACAACGTGAATAAAATTTTAATGAAATCTGATTTCTTTTTTTTTTTTTAAAAAAAAAAGGCATGAAACGGTAGAATAAGGGAAGTGATGGATGATTTAGATGTTGATTTAAATGATTATTTGATTGACTATTTTTATAGGGGTAATTTGATAAAAAAGAAAAGAAGGAAAGGAAAAAAAAAATGAAATTATTTTTGGCATTAAAGAAAAATTGAAGTTTTTTATTCTTAAATTTATTAAATTTAACAAAAACGTGGTGGTTTTCGTAACAAACAATAAATAATCGGAAAATCGGGAAGCACAAAAGTCTCCACGCGCAATTTTATCTATCAATTTTTGTTCAAAAATGAATCTCCATTTGTAGAAAATATGTTACAGCTAATTTTCAAATATTTATTCAAATGTTTATTAGTGAACATTGAAAAAAATCATGTGGGAACTCAATAACATGTGTAAAGAAAAAATAAATATTAATATTATTAATTTGTTAATAAATCGTATTGTTTCAATCATCGTACGTATTTTTTATTAATTTGGTTTACACAAATATATAAATAAAAATACTATTTATTATTTATTATGCAAAAATTTGGTAATAAATTTGACATCACATGATGTAACGATCATAAAAATAGTTTGTATTACTGCTCATTAATTGGACTGTTGCTATATTTTATTTATTTCAAATGTCTATTTTATTTTATTTTGAAACAGAACAGAAAAGGAAATTGTTTTATGTCATAAGAATAGTTGTCCTTTTAAAGTCAAAGATGCTCCTTTTGGTTAACAATTTTTTCTTCTAACAAGTCCTTTCACAAACAAATAGTCAATAAAAAGTTCAATAAAGAATTGATTTTATTTATTTTTTTTATATACACTTTATGATCACAATAATAATCTAAAAAAAATAAATGAAAATACAATAATTGAAGATAAATAAAGCTACTGTTAAAGCATTAGCAATTTCAACAGTTGATTTTGATAATATAATTAAAAAAATTCAAAAATCTCTTGGTCGGAATTGGTAGCTCATCTTCAAATATAGATGCAAAAAGACTTAAAGTTTCTTATAAAAAAAAATAAATCCAAAGTTATTCAGTAGAATGATTTAATATAATACAAAAGAGCATAATTATTTGCAAATCATCAGAAAAATACAAATGATTTGTTTATTTTCAAAACATATTCAATACATATGGCCAAAAATTGTACCGCCTATTTAAAGCTTGATTTTATTTCTTTTTAGAATGAAAAATTCATATAAATAAAAAATAATTTATATTTGATTACATAAAAGATGAATAATACAACTACTTATATTTCCAAATTTGATGAATTGTGGATTATTATTTTCATAACTATTACAGATTTTGCAATTCAAAAATTCACAATTTCACAATTCACAAGTTTACAATTGTCTGCAAGTCCATGATTATTTCAATATCAAAATAATTCAATCAATATCTATCTATTCATTCAAGTAAAACAATTACCAAAATTTATAAAAAATTTTGAACAAAATTTATAAAAAATTTTGAACAAAATTTCAGATTTATCACAGTTACATTAAAAATTCTGCAATATGCTTTAGCTGTAACTAATTGTAATATTAATATTTGCTATAATCCATAATTCTTCTATAATCCGTGATTAGTGCTGCTCTAATCTATTACTATCATCAATGAATAAAATATCTTGGATGATGATAACTTGACAAATATCCAAGTTGGAAAGATGATTCAATAATAATTTTAAGTTTGAAATGAGAGCTTTTGAATGGTATTAGAAATACTTTAATCGAAAATTGTTCTCTGTTGTGTAAAATAGATCAGAAGGCATTTTTAATACCAATAAATATTAATGATTTAACCAACTTTCAATTGATATCAGAAATATCTTAGTAAAAAATCTCACTACATTGCATAAAACATAAAATTATAAAAATATATAAACATGACAAAGGAGATTGTTGCAACTATTGCCATAATACATTAATTTTGGAAGGTATCTTTATTCTCTACAACTCTACACAATCAATATATTTACCTTTCATAAGTTACAATTAATTTGAATTACATCAAGTATCATTACTTTTAACTTTCAAAAATGTCCTTATTCAAATTCTCTTCGCTCTAATAATCAACAATTTATTACTTTTAAAGAAGTTCCTCCAATTCATGAATTTTAAAACTTTAAAAATTTAAAATTAATAATGTTTGGTGTCGGAATTATTCTATATCACGCAAAATGTAGTGCCCCCAAAATATCAATCTGGTTCTCAATCTTGAATTATAAACATTCTACATCAATCGTTTCTATATATAGAAATATTAAGATTGTTTTGTTAAGTCCTTAAATAATTTAAATAATTTATTAATTTTTATTGATTTTCAAAGGTTTTCTAGAAGAATCAAATTTTCTATTTCTAATTTAAACTCAAATCAAATATTTAAAATATCATAACATTATATATGTACCTCATTTATAATTGAATTAGAGATACTGATACCAATTTACACATATATTCTTTATAAAATTTAAACATGTATGTATATATTACAATTTTATATTGAAGCAAAGCCTCGTTGGTTGACTAAAAGAAAAAAAAATTTTCTTTTAAATATTTATTCATTCATAAATCAAATTATGATTACGTGACACTACATCGTAAGATTTATCTCTCTTTCAGCACTTTTGAACTGAACTAATAAAGGCAAATAATAAGACAAAAATAAGACGAATAAATTAAAATTACGTGTATGTAATACGTAAATGACCAAATATGTAAAATAATGTAATATAAGAATCTAAATATCTATTTGTTGAATCTTAAAATTCTGTAGATCTTTCATGAATTTAACTACCACATAAAATACGTACCCACATCCCATCTCTTGATAACATGATTTGTGGGTCCATGTTTGGGGGGTATAGTAAGTGGTGGGTACAACTTAAAATTTCTATATATAACAGTTTGTACGCAATAATCAAATATTACAAAAAAGAAAAAAAAAGAAGTTGGAATGCACGCGAAAAATTAGCTATAATTACCATTTTGAAAAAATCCTCAAGCTTCAAAACGAAATATAGCAGAAACATTTAATATTGAACCTAAGCAATTAAGGTATTGGATTAGAAAAAAAGAACAGTTGTTGTCAGTAAGACCTCATATCAAGCGGCTTAATATAGGTGCAAAACCACGATATCCAATATTGGAAGATGAACTTTTGCATGGGTTAAATCTTAACGAACTCAACAAAAAGTCGTTGCTCGCCATATGATTTGTGAAAAAGCAAAATCATTAGTTAGAAGAATTCAATTTATTGCATTATATCCAAATATTTCTGAATGTAAATGGGGTGAAAAATGGTTGGCTGGATTTATGCGACACTATAAACTTAGTAATCGTCGCCGTACAACAGTATCGCAAAGATTACCAGATGATTTAATTGAAAAACAGCAAGAATTTTAAGTTTCATTTTATATTGACGTATTCAATATGATTATCCTTTGAATTTAATTGGAAATATGGATGAAACACCATTATCTTTTGATATTCCAAGTAATATGACTGTAGAGGAAACTGGTGCTAGTACAGTTAGCATACGTAAAACTGGACATGAAAAGTCTAATTTTACTGTTGTTCTTAGTTGTATGGAAGATGGTACAAAATTACCACCATTAATAATTTTTAAATTAGTAAATGTTCCGTTTCAAATATTTCCATCAGGGGTTGTAATTCGTGCTGATCGTGAGGGGTATATGAATTCAGATGAAATGATTTGGTGGATTGAAAATGTTTGGAACTTACATGCAACGCGATCTATTAACCCATGCTCATTACTTGTTCTGGATACATTTCGTGGTCATTTAACAGATGTAGTGAAACGAAGATTTGATGAAAAAAATACAAATTTAGCAGTAGTTCCTGGCGGCCTTACAAGTAAATTACAGCCACTTGATGTTTGTATTAACAAATCATTTAAAAATAAGGTAAAATGCAAAATTTATTTTAATTTTATTTAAAAAAAATAACTAAAACTATTAATTATTATTATTTTTTATAGTACCGAGAATGTTATAATAATTGGAGGGCAGAAGAAATTAAAAATTTGACACCAACTGGATGAATACAACGTCCTGCTTATAATCTTGTAGCTGAATGGGTACAAACTTCATGGGAAAAGGTTGATATCAACCTTATACAATGGTCATTTAAATGTTGTGGCATATTTTTGATTATGAGTGAAAAAAAACAAAATAATAGTAATTGTGTTTATGTAGATGAACAAAATGAGTGAGAGAATAATGAAAATAATGAGTGTGATGAGCGTAACGATGATGAATATGATGAATATAATGAAGAAAATAATGAAATAATTGATTTAATTAATGATGAAAATGATAAAGAAAATAATGAAATAATTGATTTAATTAATGATAAAGAATTATCTAATGATTATAGTGAAAATAGTATAGATAATTACTATCGAATTATACAAATTTATTTTAAAAAATAAATAATAAAATAATTTTGATTTTGATTGGCCATATATATTAATCCATGTAAAATACCCGGATATATTACATTCTACCATAAATACGCCCTATGAATTATACCTAGGTATCCTACTAGGGGGGTACATTACTAGGGTGGGTATCTTATGCGGCACTTTACGGTACGTATTGTTGATGTAGAGATGCCCAATTTGGAATCCAATAAGCTGCTAAATTTGAGAATACCTCCGTGTAATGTAAAATATAATGTCGCAAAAAAATGTAAAAATAAAGTGCAAATTATTGATAACCGCAGATTACTTAGAACATAATAACTGTAACAGTATAAAAATCTTAAGGTTTTATCCACTGAAATTTTTAATTTAATTTTAATAAAGTTTGCCTGGTACCAAAAAAGCTAATATACTACATGAGTTCTTTCTCGATGCGAATGCAATTGATTTTTTTTCTAGATATTTTTATTTTATTTTTTTTTATACGCGAGAAATTTCAAAACTAAAATATTTTTTATCATAAAATAATATAAAAAATTACTACAAAAGAGCCAATAATCCTCTCACAATAATTTCTCTATGTAATAAATATACAAACATATATATATATATGATATATAATACAAATGAATAAAAAAGTAATCACCTCGGTATCCATGTTTTTTTTTAATATGGATAAATTTATTTTTTTGTTTTAACTAATAACAATAATGGAATTATCTAACCCAATAATCGAGATTGTTCTTCGCGAGAACCAAAGTAATATTTTGAGGCAATAGGTTTTAAAACAAAGAAAGTTGCAATAAAAGCGTAAACTAATGCCGTCCAATGTATCCATGGATCAGATTGTTCACATGCAATACCATATAATGCCCAAGTAATTACAATAGCTCCCGAAATATCTCCTTTGAAATTTTCCACATAATTCAAAACAGTACCTTCTAGGAATAATATTCCTAAAATAACGAAAGCTCTCACCCAAAAATTTGGTTTATCATCCGGATTTTCTTTTGCAGGCGAAAAAGCCATAAAAGTAGATATTACACATAAAACAACAATCCAAGCGTGATATAAAGAGAATGGAGAATGAATCCATATAATATCGTTAATATTCTGAGGTTGATATTTGTATTTAAGAACGTAATAAACATATGAAACTTGAATTGCTGTAGTAAGAATAACAATCCAGGCCCAAATTGGTTCATTATTTTGTAAGAGAGCTAACCAAATTGTGTTAAGTAGAGCAATGCTAATAAAGTGAAAACGAACTCCATCAACTACTGCTTCTGTGGCAGAATCAAAGAATTGATAGATAACTAGAAATAGTATAGTGGTGATCAATAGTAATCTCGTGTGAAAATATTAAAAATATCAAAAAGAAATAATTCAATGATTACCGAAGCCTCCCAATAAGAAATGAATGAGACCACATACACCAAAAACAAAAGGAGCTGGAGTAATAAATGTATTATAATTATTATGGTAAGGTGAATTTTCCTGTATTATCATAAAATAAAATCAAAATCAAAAAAATAAAATAAAATAAAATAAATTAACAAAATAAAAATTTTTTTTTTTAAACCAAAATTTTAAAATATAAATTATTTGAGCCATAATCTGTAATAAAATTTTTGAGACATCTATTTCAAGTTTAAACGACCTGTATATACAGTGTATGCGTATGGGAAAAACTCGTACCTTGTCTTCGAAAAAACCCGAATAAACGTTAACACCAGAAAGAAATAGGTAAGCAAACAAATTAGCAATCTTTAAAGCTAGCGGGATAAAGGCCATCTTTTCATAAAAAATTCGTCACAATTTTATTTAAATATTTACAAACGAAAAGAATGAAATTTTTTAAAAAAAAGAAAAAATAAGAGAAGCAATACAATTTATTAATGAGAAATTAAATTTGTGTTAGATAATGAGATAATGCATAGAAACAATTGGTAACGTAGTATAAATTGCTTAGCCTGATCTTATTAAATATTATTTAAATAATTGTTCACTTATCAAACCCAATGAAGTAATTGAATGAACAAAAAGATGTTTTTATATGCAGTTTTTTTTCTTGGATGTATAAAAAATAACTTGTTTTTTTTTTCTTTTTCAAAAATGGAATTATTATTATTATAATTATGAATATTATCTTTGTAATTGGTTTAAATATAAATAAAGATTCAATATTATTTATTTATTATTTATTTAAAATAAATATATATCTCTCTTTCTAATAATATCTCTAATCAACACTTCTCTTTTCAATAAATTCCATTAAACCTTTAGAAAATGGATCTTGTCTTAATTGCTTTTTCTCTACAAAGAATTTAGTATTTCGACCACCACCATTATTATTATTATTTTCGGAAATTCTAATCCAAGTAACCCAAGAATTTAATCCTTTATATTCTCTTAATTCATTCAATTTAACAGTTTGTCCTTTAATACGACCTGACCAATTTTGTATTTCCATATAAAGAGTAGGATTGACCGATATAGGATCAATTTTTTTGGGATCAAAAGTTTTTCTCATCTTTGGATTATACCAAATTTCTGATGGAACATTTATAAATAATCTACTAACATATGTAGCACTTATTTTATTAATAAAGAGTAATGGGATAACAGCTGATATTGGAGCTAAAATTGGATTAATTGATTGGATTAAAAATTAATAAATTAAATTAAATTTCAAATATACAAAAAAAAAATAAAATAAAATAAATAAAATTAAAATTTATTACCTATAATTCCAGCAATAGGAGCTTTTCCATATAAATACATTGTTGGTGCCATTAAAAATCCAAGAAAACAAAAAAATAATGCTAATCTTTTGTAATGTATCATATTTCTTGCCAGTGGACCGGTATAAATTAACATACGATGTGGAAGTTGTTTGGAAGTAATTGATTTAATTATATTTCCATTATTAGTTGTCATATAAACTCGAGAAAGAGATTTATTACTATTATTTTGATTTTGATAAAATTTTAGATTTACCAAATTTTTATAATAATAATTTTTATTTAAATTATTATTTAAACTTTTGGAAAAAGTTGTAAAATAAAATTGACGAGATAAACGATTTAATGGAAAACATGATAATTTTTGGTGGAATAATTTTGGGGATAACAACAACATTATAAATCATAAACTAAAAAAAAAACAGTAAATGTAAAAGTATAACAGTGAGAATATTGTTAGTCATTTAAATATCATTGGTCAAAAAAAAAAATTTGGCAAAAATTTTTTTTTGATTTTCTTTATTTCTCTATTTTTTTTTAAAAAAAATGGAAACATTTTTAAATTCAATTGTTTATCAAAATGTTCCCGCATCAGATATTGAACGAGCATTTGAACTTGAATCTCAAGGTTAAATTCTTCTTCTCATAATAAATTTTTATAATAATAATAATTTTTAATAATAATTATTATTATTATTAAAAGTATTTTTTTTCCTTTTTTTTTGATATAAGGATATCCACCTGAAGAAGCAGCAACTTTAGAAAAACTTGAATATCGTCAAAAAAATGCTCCAAAATTATTTCTTGGAGCATATCTTCCTTCAATTCCTTCTAATAATAATAATGAATATTTAATTGGTTTTATTGTTTCCACATTAACGACTTCACATTTTTTAACAGAAGAATCAATGTCTAATCATGAACCAGATGGGAAAACTGTTTGCATTCATTCAGTGTGTATTGATAAACAATATAGAAGACGTGGAATAGCAACTGATTTATTAAAAGAATATATTGAGAGATTAAAGAATTTATACAAGTATGAAAGAATTGTATTAATTAGTCATAAACATTTAATTCCTTTATATCAAAAAGTTGGCTTCATATGTAAAGGTGAAAGTGAAATTGTTCATGGTTAGTAAAAATATAGAAATAAATATTACAATAATCATTATTTCTATAGTATTAATGATTTTATTTATTTATAGGAAATGAAAAATGGTTTGATCTTGTTCTTGAGCTCTAAAGACTTTGAAAAATTAATTGAAAATTAAATTATAAATAATATTGTGAGAGTAATTCTAATTTTAGAAATTATTTAATTTTTTGTATTATATAATTTGCGTATTCTTTTCTTTCAATAATTCACTTATTTTTTTTTTCGTTCACTATTCTTTTTCTTATTTAATTCTACCCAATTCATATATTCTATTCTTATAATATTTTCATTATCTGATGAATCACGTAAATAAAGATATTTTGCTATTTCGGAATTTACAATTAAATCAAATAATCCAAGTGGACGTAAAATATTTTCTATCAAAATGAACCATCCAATTGCAAACAAGATTCCAGCAATATTGCCTACTATTATTTGTTTAGATGTGTGATAATTTAAATAAATTCTAGAATTATTAATGTGATATTAATTAATGTGATAATAATGTTAATAATAATAATAATAATAATAATAATAATAAATCATAATAAAACTAGAGTAATTTATGAATGACAAAATTTTATACCTTGAATATGAAACAATTATCATAAATCCAATCAAAATTAATGATATTATATATTTTAAAGAAATATCTCTAAAAGTTATTCTAACAATAAATGTAAATAAATAAATTTTTGAATTAATTAATTATATAAATAAATAAATAATTATATATAAATAAATTACAATTAATATAATTAATATAAAAAATTTAAAAATTACCTTGTGAATAAATATAAAATCGCAAAAATTGAGAAATAAGATACGAATTGAGCATGAGATGATGGCATTCCATATCCAATTTTATCTTTATTAAAAAAAGAAAATTAATCATTTATTAAATATAATCATTAAATTATTTTTAAATTATTCAATAAATATTATTTGTATAAATTTACCATTAGGTCTTTTCTCTTTGATCCATCGTTTTAAACCAAAACTTACTATTTCGCAAGTTACTTGTCCTATAAACATGTTTATCGTTGCTATCTCCCTTCTTGCCAATATTATGGAGACATATGATACAATTAATGCTAAAGGAGATAATGTGATGAAAGCGAATATAAAAGATATTGGATCACTAGGATTATATTCTACGAAAGTTAATGAGAAAGGGACAAAATGATCTGGTGAGGCTGTCATCGTTTTAACAATAAATTAATATCTATAATATCCAATTGTAATAGTAACAATAATAGTAATATATTAATGGTGTGGTAGAGAAAGAATTTGAAACTTAATAATTTAATATATTGATAAATTATTTTTTAAATACAACGAATTTTTGAAAATTTTATAAAAAGTGAAATTTGAGAAAAAGAAAAAAAAAAAAAAAACGAAAAATGTGAAACGATAACCATTATAACCATTATAACCATTTGAACAAAGGTTTTGTAACTTGAACGCAAATCTGAAGGCTTATAGTTACACGAAACTTAAAACTTCGTCACAAAACTTCTTGCAGCACGAACAAAAAGATCAATGATATTATTAATATTCGATATCCATATTTTTTTTTTACAACAAAAATTAACGTGTGTTGTGATTGTTGCGATTGTTGTGATCGCACTCTTTAAGTCCCATATTTTAACTCATTCAGCATATAAATACTAAACTTTATTCCTTATTTCGTATTCTTTATTAGATTGCTTCTGTTTTATTTCTATTTTATTTATGGTTTTATTTCTGTTTCATTTCCATTTTGGTTTTTGTATTAATATCTTTTATTTTTAGATAAAATATTAATACCCCGTGACTTCTAAGCAATAAATCACATGATATTCAGTAGACTTCCAAAAATGAATCTTTTAATAAATCTTGTAAAAATGGAAAATTTTAGACACGTACAGCACGTTATTATTTTATACTTATTTATACTTTATATTTTATTCTTATTTTTCTTATTTTATACTTATTAATTACAATCTACAATTTACAGTTTATTTTATAATCATTGTTATGTTTACAGTTTGTTCTAGATAATAATCAATCAATCTAAGGCGCAAACAACAAACCTATTTTCGTATGCTAAAAAATTTGAAATATTGAAATGATTGTTGTTTATGCATAATGGATTACATAATTCCAAATGGAGAATTTATAACGAGAAAACATTTAGAATCTTTTGAATATATTCTTTTATTATGATATTTCTCAGAATAATTATATAATATCCCCTTCATTTCTTTATTATATCAATTATCAATTATTTTTATTTATTTTATCTCTCCTTTGTTTATTATTTCATTTCTTCTTTGTTTATTTTATTTCTTTGTTTCAATTATCTTATTTTTTATGTATTCATCAATTGTATTAACAGCTGATGTCCTTCACGATATTTTCAAATTTTTTAAGAATGATCAAAAAACACTTTATTCCTTAGTTCGAGTTAACCATTTATGGTGTTATCAAGCAATCCCTTTATTATGGAGTAAACCATTTGATATGACTACACAAGATAGATATTATGAAATAATTCAAACTTATGTTACTTGTCTTCCCGAACATATAAAATCTCATTTAGTTTATGCTGGCATAAAATTATCAACAAATTATTCTCATAATCAACCATTTTTTGATTATCCATCTTATTTACAACATTTCGACTCGGATAAATTTAATCGAGCGTTAAATATTTGGTTAAGAATAACTTTAATAAATGAAAATTACGTCGATCCACTTTTAATATTCTGTGGACCTTTAAAGAAAATTTTGGGTCCAATAGTTAAAGATTGTTATATAATTTATCCACAAAATATCTTACAAAGAACATTAAATAAATGCCTGGAACCAGTGATAAAGGATTATTACTCAAAAAATCCAAAATATAACTTATTTAAAGAAATAACTCATTTAATATTTAGTAGATGTAATAGATTAAAAAGTCTTTTAGTATATGTTGGTGATGAACACACTTTATCTTTGGTAGATATGGATTTTTCTTTACTCACCCGACGACATAATGCTTTATTAAGTTTACAAAAATTCGAGTTAACCTTAAGAACACCACCTTCTTCTTCTCACTCCCCTCCTTCTTCCTCTTCTTCCTCTTCTCCCTCTTCTCATTCTCACTCTCCTTCTTCTCCTCACTCCCCTCCTTCTTCATCTTCTTCCTCTTCTCCCTCTTCTCATTCTCACTCTCCTTCTTCTTCTTCTAAAGATGACATCTTAACCAATCTATTTACAATGATGTCAACTTTTGCTACAAATATTCAAGAAATTACAATTCAATCATACACTACAAAATTACCATCACAAGTTCACAGTAGTTTATATAGAATGATTGAATCACAAAAATCTTTACAATCATTTATGTCCAATTATTTTTGGGATGTTACATACCCTTCTTTATTTAAAGCATTATTAAATCAATCGCGATCTTTAACTAAATTTCGTCTTTGGGGTTTAACAAATATTGATAATTCATTAGTAATTGGTTTATTAGAATGGGATGCTTTAGAAACATTTGAATTAATGGGATGCCCTATATCTTCTTTACCGGATAATTTTTTTGATTCCTTTTCAAATGGTCAATTAAAAATTAAGAATTTTTTTTTAGGAAATGGTTATGGATCTTATCCTTTCATAACTAATGGTCTTCTCAAAATGATAAATTTAAATTTACAAAAATTGGTAGTGGAAGGAATAACACCTGAAATAGTGGAAGCGGTTAGAGAAAATTGTCCTCAATTAACTCATCTTTCAATTTGTGCTTATCAAAGTATTCATCAAACTTTACCTAGATTACTTTCTTCTTTATCATTATTAGAAACTTTAATTCTAGGAAATCAAGAACAATTCTTATACACTTCTGATACATTAATACAATTTTCTCAATCAATACCTTCCTCATTATGTACATTATTTCTAAATTTTAATATTTCTTCACTTTCATTAAAAGTGATATTGAAAGAATGTCAAGCTTCATTAAATATATTAGAATTACATCAAATACAAAGTAAAGAATATGAATTATTCTCTATATTAATTCAATATAGTAAAGAAAATGAAAATTTGAAAGAATTGAAATTATATTTAGCTAATAATTTTAGATATTCTGAAAATGTTAGTCCTTATGTTATAGAGAATGCAAGGAATTATTTAACCATTATTAAACAAGATGCAAGAAATTTTTATAACCTTTGGTAATTATATTATCAAATTATTAAAATTATTATGTTTAAAAATTATGTTTTTATTATTATTAGTTGTAGAATATAAAATATATAGATTATTTTGTAGATTATATGTAAATTTCTTATTTGTAAATAAAAAAATTCTATTAAAAATTTTTTTTTTTAAAAAATATAATAATTAATTCCAATTAATAAAAATTGATAAGATTTTAATAAAATTAATAAATTTTTAATTTTTTTCTTTTAAATATTATCTGAAAAAAAAAAATAAATATAATAAAATCAATATTTCTTATGAAATTTCTAAAAAATAAATGAAAAAAAATGAGAATAGGAAAATGAAATAATGACATTATTAAAATATTAAACTATAATACATGTATAAGTATATTTTAAACAATTTCAAAATCATCCTCGTCATCATCATCATCATCTTCCTTATAAATTTCTTTCAAAATAAAGTTAACTGCATCTAAATCAGACCAATAACTAAGATGAACTGTGATGGCATTTAAATAACCAAGATCTAGAAGACCTTCCTATTATTGATATTATTAACGTAATAATAATTTAAATTAATCAAGATTTAAGATATATATTAAGAAACATATCAAAAACATATATTAAATAATTATACCTGCAAAACATAGTCAATCCTTCCGGAGGAATTTAAGTTCTCGAGTTTTGCTGCACTTACAGGATCATATTTCTCTTTAATAATAGAAGAAGAAGAATAAGAAGAAGCAGAAGTTACTGTCATTGTTTGAGTTAATTGAGTTGAACCACTAATATCATTTATTTTATCCGTTCCTATATATGAAGGTGAAGAAGATAGTGAAGGAGGAGGAACTGGAACTGATGATGAACGTTTATGAGATGAAGTTGATCCTTGTGGAAGCATGGCCTGAAGTCCTCTGGTAAACATTAATGATGTCTTCACAGTAGAAAAAATACTTGTAGCTTTGCTAGCAAGATCATTTCCAAATTCTTGAATTCCAAGATGAACAGCTTTAAGTCCACCTTTATGATAAGGAATAAGAGCAGGTTTTAAACTAGCACCATAATGTCTTGCGACAAGGGGTTCTATAATATAATAAAGTTAATACCGTGTACTTAATATTACTTAATACTATAGTAATAATTTCACTTACCTAAACGATAAGCAATTGGATCTTTGTAATAATGAACAAGAATATATTAGACGACAAATCCTTTTTTTTTATCAATTGAGAAATATAAATATATTCATATATATATAAATATATACCAGCATTATGAATAATATTATAAAGATTTCTCACTGCAGGATGACATAACGGAATTTCACTTGATGAAGATGTGTCCATGCTTAGTTGCAAATTCGAGGCATTTTGATCCAACTTTTTTGTTAATCGATCTTTTCTTGATGAAATTTTAAGACCTTTTAACAATAAAAACAATCCACTATTTTGTGAAAATAAGTATTTAAAGTATTAAATAAATTACTTGCAAATAATAATAATAATAATAATAATAAATAAATAAATAATACTAATACATACATTGGAGAACCAACTGCAAAGAAATTTTGTACTTTGAAACATAATTTTACAGAATCGTGATTAACACGAGCCACATCAGCTGAATTGGGTATTTCACTAAATATACTAAATGCTGATGAAGGCATAATTGGTGGTTGATGACAAAGTACATCAAATGCTAATACGGAACCAAGTGAATGTCCATATATTGATACTTTCCCCCCATTTTCAATGAATTTAGGATTTCGTTCAATAAACAAGTTATATACTCGATTTGCTTCCCTTGTAACTGTACTTATCATCACTTCACGATATTTAGGCGTCATATACAATAAAACTAAAGAAAAAGAAAAGGAGAGATATTAAATTAAAAATATAGTAATCATTGAAAATTATTTGTTATGCTTATAAATAAAAAATTAAATTCATATCATATTCACACTCACCATCCATTAATACATCTGAGATTATATTTCTTAATGTTGGAACACCTTCAAGAGTAATTTCTTCAAGAGTGGTTTGACCTTCTTTAGCAACTTCAGGCATACCCAAATCTCTTTGAAGATTTTCATCATCAGATGCCATACCAAACTTTTTTTTTTTTTTTTTTTTTTAGAAAATAAGCATATTATGCAAAAAAACTTTAAAATATAAAACAATTACTAAAGTTAATCTATTCCCTACTTTCTATTTCTACCTTGATTTCCTGACGCCATAATATTGGTAATACTTGAACACCATTTCCAATTTGTGAGCCTTTTTCTGATGGTGTAGAATTACGTCTACTAGAATTAGCACTATTTTTCCCCGTGGGATTTATATCAGGTGGATTAGATGTAAATGTTGTTTTAATGGTTTTCCTTAAAACATTAACATCTTTAATAATGTTAATAATAATAGCAACAACAACAGCAATAATAATAATAAAAATAATAATAATAAATAATAAATAATAATATAATAATAATAATAATAATAATAATAATAATAATAACCAACCATGAATAAAATTAAATAATCCCATCTTTTCACTAAATTTTTGACCAATCCTAATTTAATAGAAAAAAAAATTTTATTAATTATTATTTATTATCTCTATATATTATTAAGTAATATTGAACTTACCCATGAATGACTAAAACCAAATGATCTATAACTCTTTCTTCTTCATTTTCTTCAATATCAAAATCCTGACTTTCTTCATTTATATTATCATCAGTAACGTTCTCTGACTCTTCCTTACTTTTCTTGTCAGTCTCCTCTTTAGTTTTTTGTGTTTGCGATGTAAATTTTTTCATTTCATTATATCCTCGAATAAGTCTAATTCCTCCCAAATTTAAATTATTTGTAAATGTGGAAAATAAGGTTTTGGTAAGTCTTCCTGTCATGTCATCTGTCAACAACCATGCGGTTGTGGGATTTGTGTAGGTTACATATTGAGATAAATATTTTCCCAATAATGCCCAACTTTTTTCTCGTACAGGTTCTGATCCATTTGGATCCGGTTCGGGTGATGGAATCCAAGCTTTACGACTTCTAAATAATAAAAAAGAATTGAATTCAAAATATGTACCTGTACTTAACTTTATATTTATATCGTTAATGACAAAATAAAATTACTTACCTGTATCCATCTTCTATCTGGGCTGCTAAATTTTCTTCACAAGGAGAAAATTTGCTACCATCTCCTTGTTGAAACCAAGTGGCACGTCTAACATCATATGAAGGCCCTGTCCAATATACCTATATTTAAATATGTATTAATTAAAGTGAATTAAGTGATTAAATTTGACTAAAATTGAGTAAATGTAATGTATACCGGACTAAGTTTTCGCTTATCAATATCAACTTCAAACAAATAATCCTCATTACAAGGAACTTTCTCTCCAGAATTTCCTGACTTATATGCTAGTTCTAATGAATCATTATCACGTTTAGAAAATGGAACCCAATTTGATGGCAGTTTGTTCGGAACTTTTGAAGTAACGTTTGTTTCTTGAGGTGTTTTTATTGTTTTTTTATTTGAATCATTTGAATCATTTTGAGGTATATCTTTCGCATGAAACCTGATATTTTTATAAAATTTAAATGAACAAAAAATTATCGAAAGAAAAGAATAAAAAAAGTTATAAGATACCAATAAGAAGATAATTCTGGAAATTCTATAGTAGGCATCTTCGTAACGTAATGAAAGCAAATTTTTTTAAAAAAAAAGAATTAAATAATTACAAACTTTTTTTAGCATAAAAAATTAAAATGTTATCTGTTGTACAAACTTTAAAAATAATTTTAAATCAAATACCCAAAGGGTAAGTATAAACGTCATAATGGTGAACGGTATACTAATTTAGTAACTACACGACGAGACCCTTGTAAATTATGAAGTCGGAAAAAATCCTAGTTTAAAAAGGTAAAGGATGTTTGTATAGATTGTAATTCTCACTATTACTTTTACTATAAGATATTATATGATCCCATACATTTGGAATACGAATAAGATTCTGACTCATTATTACTACCTTTACGAGAACAATTGGTAATTGTTAGGAAAAATGGTAGGAATCTGAAATAAGAATGATGATAAATCACAATAAAAAAGAATGCCAAAAATAATGTAAATATACCAGCCTGATTTTGTCTATTTATCTTATTCTTAGTATGTTTTTACTAAAAAAAAAAAATACCGTTTTTCTTCATTTGACATGTGGAGCATTAAAGATTAAATTACAAAGAAACAAAGGTTCGAAATCAAAAAAAAAAAAAAAATCGAAATTAAATTTAAAACAAATTCAATAAATTCAGTAAAATAAGCATTCGTCAAGATACTAAATAAACAAGTATTTAACAATTTACTTTCGATATTTATTATTCAAAGAATTATTGTTTCCTTTAAAGAATAATCTATAGTATTGTAAAACATAAGTATTAAGTCAATATTAGAAAATGGAGGTGGTTCTTTCCATTTTCAAATTTGTGGGTTCATATTATTTAAGTTAATCTTTCATTTGGATTAAAGATCATTGCTAAATTTCAAACTTTACGGATTATTCCAATCCGACGACGTATAATAGGTAATAAATAAATTATTTTCGAGTGTATAAGTGAAAAACTAAAACTTTTTATTTCAATTTAAATATGAATTATAGAAATTAATTATTAAACATTTCCAAAAATTTTCTCATCACACTAACCCGGCCGGAATGATACAAAAAAAAAAAGTAGAAAAGAAATTACATTAACGATACATTTTTTTTTTTTTTGAAAGAGAATAAATATGTACAAAATAATTATTGATTATAATAATGAAAAAAAAGAAACTAGTAAAAAAAATTATTTAAAATTAATGTTAATTGTTCTGCTTTTTTTTTTTTTTTGATGAATGCTAAATATCTACAAAATTATGATTGAAATGTATATTTTAATTTTTGATAATTTTTAATAATTTTTTTTTTTTTTTGGTAATTTTTAATCGTTACACATGAGAGCCAGAGAAATAGTTCAACTTTCTACCAAGTACTAGCATCCTCCCAACTAATCCCACCCAAAATTTCTTTTAAACTATTCTCATCAACTGAACTTTTTTGCCATCCACTTAATAAACCTTCGGGTTCATTGGTGATACTTTCAATATCATCTTCTGTTATTCCAGCAGCATCTCCCATTGTTATACATCCCAAATGTCCAGACTTTCTCCTTAATTGTGCTAAATACCTTAATGAATCACAAGTTATTAATCTACATCCAATTATGGTAAGACATATAAGAGAATAACTATTTTTGGCAATAGATTCAATAGAACTATTAGTTATAGAATTTAAATATGAGAGATCAAGTAATTGAAGATTTGGACATTTTTTTGTTAGCATTATAATTGATTTATCTGTTATTTCATCATCATTATATTCATGTAAAGTTAAAGAATTATTATGATGATGATGATGTGAATTGGTAGTGTTAATTGGAAGAATTGAAGGATTGGTTACCGAAGAGTAAGCAGCTTCTAAAGGAGAAGGACGTGCTAAATTCAACCATTCTAAATTTTCTTGACATATGTCAGCAATCAATTGAATAGTAGAATCTTGAATACGACCAATTCGTGCAATATCTAACCAACTAAGACGTGGACAATTGAATAATAATGCTTCAATTGATTGATCAGTAAGACGAGAACAATCCGAAAGACGAACTTGTCTTAATCTTGGACATCCTTTTGCTATGGCTGAAACACCTTTATCAGTAATCTTACCACAATCAGAAATATTTAAAGAAGTAAATTTTTGACATGACTTTGATAACATTTTAAGTCCGGTATCAGTAATCTTTCGACATCCACTCAAACTTATAGATAATAAAGAAGAAGCACAATGATGTATTGAAAGAGAATCCAAAGAAGAATCAGAAATGTGCGTACACCCATTTAAACTTATTCTACGTAAATTTGGACAAGTGAGTGCGATAGTTTGAATGGTAGCATCCGTAACAAATTCTATACCCGATGATAAATCCAAAATTTTAATTAGGGGACCAAATTTTTCGATAGGAAAATTTAAAGGAAGTTTTGATTTAGAATTTAAAATTGATTTTGATTTAGTTGATAAGATTGTATTAGAAGAATTATTGACACCATTAATTTCATTAATATCCAATGAAGAATCTAATGCCGTTGTCGTTGTCGTCGTTGTCGAAGAGAATCGATGATAAATTTGAGGAGATTTATATAAAACAGGTAATACCAAAGTATTCCAAGATTTACACACGAAAAGACAAGTATAAATTTCATTACGTGTAGGTAATAATTCAAAAATGCATAACATTATTTCGGGAGGCAAATGACGTATTGTGGTTTTAACGGATTTTGGTTTAATGATTACTATGGAATTTATTGTAGTTCGAGGGAATAATCGATGATATTTTGTTGATGTTTGACGAATTCTCATGGTGGATGATTGATCTCCATGTTTTTTGTTATCATGAGACTTTGAATTTGCAAAACTTGAATTATTTGATGACTTTTCTTCGACATGACGTTCAATCAATTTACGCCTTTGTTCATATAATTTCATGTTGTTATTATTATTATTATTATTATTATTATTATTATTATTATTATTATTATTATTATTATTATTATTATTATTATTATTGTTGTTGTTGTTGTTGTTGTTGTTGTTGTAATTATTACTGTTATTAATATTATTGTCAATATTATTATTGTTGTTATTGTTTTTTGAATTGAAAATTGAATTGTTTTGAAGTGATCGTCTCTTCTTTTTTCCAAGTTTCCGTGTTGTTGTTGTTGTTGAATTACTAGATGATCCATTTATAATATTATTGTTCTTATATGAATAATATTTATGATGATGATTATTATAATTATTATTATTATAATTGGTTCCCTGATTAAATAAAGGAGTTTCGTTATTGTTGTTATCTGAAGGCGAGAAGAAAAAATAAAATGACTCCATCAAATAGTCAATATTTTTTATTATTGTTTCATTTAAAAATAAAACTGGTTTCCAGAAGAAGAGTAAAGAAGAATACAAAAGGTTGAAACCTAAGTTCAATATGTTAGGCATAATTAATTTTTTTAATTAAAAAAAAAATAAGAAAAAACTAATTGCGCGTTTTTTTTTTGTCTTTTTGAAAGATTAAATGAATATAAAGATTATAATTATATATAATGAAAATATGACAACTATTGTAGTGAAATTGGGAACAAAAAAAAAAGGGGACGTTTATATAAATGTAAATTTGAGAGTTATACAAATGGTAAATATAAATCGAATAATGGATTACTGAATTAATAATGGCGTTATGTATGCAGGAAAATAACCCTCAAAGAGAAAAGAAAAAATAAATATATTACGAGAATATTCGTTAATATTCTATCAATATAATATTTTGATAAATATTATTTTATATTATTTTTTTTTATAAGAACAAAGAGAAAATAAGATAAAGTAAATAATAAAATAGTAATAGTAATAGTGTGGTCATTAAAAAAAAAAAAAATAAAAGACACGAAAGTTATTAAAATATATATATAATACTTTTTTTATTATCTGTGTGATAAAGTGATGAATGTTTATTTTTTTTTCTCTTCTGAAATCGTATCGTGTTCGTGAACTGTAATTTTTTTTTAATCTGACGATTGATAAAAATTGGGTTTATTTATAAATTTTTTTTTATTTTTTTTTGAAAAAAAAAAAAAAAATATTATAATGATCTTGAAAAATTTATAATCGATTAAAATATTTTAATTGTATACATAAATATTTATATATATTTATATATATATATATTTAAATATATACGTATATACTTTATTTAATATGCATATAAATATATTATTTTATTGTAATGAAGAATATCAAATAAATAAATAAAAAATAAAAAAGAAAGATACTATAATTCCATAAATGGTCATAAATATAAAATCTGGTTTTTTTTATCACCGCAAAAACTTTATTTTTTTTATAAAGGTTTGTCCGATAGTTTAAATTCCGCGGAAAGTTTCATAATTACAACTCCGGATATAAAGAATATCTGATATACATGATGATGATGGATAAATGATGATATACGTTGATGAGGAAAGGAATGATTGGTTTAATAAATTAATTATAATAATAAATCATAAATAAATAAATATAATAATTATAAATAATAATTATAATTTTTAAAATATTTATAATTTGTGCGTCGATTTAATTATTAATTTTATTTAGAGAAAATTAAAATTTTAAGGTACAAAATTAATTTCTTTTCTATGAGATTGTTCTAATTTTTGACGGGTAATACAAGTTATTTTTTTTTTATTTTTATTTAGCGAGTGATATTTTGGTAAATATTAGTGAAGTGATATTAGTGATTTTTTTTTCTAAAAAAAAAAAGAAATAATTTGTCGATGGAGTTGATGTAAATAATATAATTGATGTAAATAATATAATTGCTGTGTAATAAGGTTTCGGCCAGTTATAAGAACAGATTTATAATTCGTATATCAGAATATCAAAAGATATCAAAATGTACTAATTAGGTGTATAAATTGTCGTTATTGATGAAATTTATTTATTTTTATAACGCGTCCTAAGATTGAATAAGTGTAGATAAAAAATTTTTGTGAATAATTATTGGATCGTAAAAGACCGGAATATTATCTAATAAAAGGATCTTTTTGTTTATATGTGTTTACATATCGTTTATCTACAAGTAACACAAATGAAAAAATAATATATGAATATATATATGAATAGATGAAAAATAAACCTATAAAACGAAATGTGAATATATGGATATATTTTGGGTTTAGTCTTGCGTGGGTAAAGATGTGGGTGTCAGGGGATTTCTAATATAAAAGAAAATGTGGGTAATATGGCAGATGATGATGAAACTCTCAAAGTAATCAAATAATATTTTTATCCAATCAGAAAAGATAAACAAGTTACCACGTTTGATTTCAATAATTCAAAATAAATTTTTTAAATTATAAATGTACGAAAATGTATAAGAATGCACCCGCCACGCATATAAATATCTATGTATATTGATAAAACGAAGTAACAAAAGGTTGAACAAATTGAAGCTTGTGTCATTTACCTTTTTAGATTAACACTTCATTAGATCACATATATATGTAATATCTTTTCGCATTTGCCCAATTAGAACATTTTCGTTCCTGCATTCGAGTTGTTGAGAGTTTTTGGTCAATATTGTGATGCATTTTATGTTGTTTTATATCGTTGTGTTTTGTGTGATGTCGTGCATTGTGATTGATCAATAATTCAAGAATCCAGAAATTCAGATTAAAATATTTGAACTATTTTGGAATAAATGTATGCACTCATATAAAAACTGTAAAGAAATCTCAAAGAACAAGTGACAAAAAAAAACAATCACAAAATGTGTTTTTTCATGATTTTAGAATCCGAAATACTTTGGCAAATTAATTTTTATGAATTGTAATTTCTTTAACTTATAAAAATTAAAGAAATTGATTTAGTTGTTTAAATCCCCCTAATTTCCTGAAATTTTTCTGATCTGCATACCCAATTCTCTAATTTTCCTCTCAAAAATTTCTTTCCTCAATACAACTATTCATATTATTTATTTATGATATTCATATATATATATATATATATTACATTCACATTTTAAATTATCTCTATATTTTATAACTCATTAGATACCAGATAAGCTTATGTTTATGCTTATATCGAATGCAGTGTGATGTCATTCCATAATAATAATAAATAAATAAATAATAAATAATAATAACAAATAATAATTAGTGAATAAAATAATTATTATTACTTCGATAACCAAAATATGAAAAAAAAAAAAAGGATTATAATTCTTATTATGATCTTTGTGATAGTTAATATCAATATATAGTTAAAATGTATAGTTTAATATTATATTTGTTACACGAAAAAATATATTAAATCGGTAATAAAAATCATCGATTCTTTTTCTGTTGCAATAAAAAAAGAGATTAAAAATTAACTGTAATAATAAACATCATATATCTTCAATCATCTATTGAAATTATGTTAATAACTGGTTTTTAATGTTTTTTTATTATTATTAATTATTATTTTTATTCTAATATTTTTAATTTATAAATTTTTGTGATTATTTTATTGTGTTATTGAAATAAAGCTGTCATTGAATGAGAAAGAAAGAAAGAAAAGTGAATTCATGCAAATATTTAAAAAAACACGCATATAGAATCTTAGACAAATATAGACGCTTAATTAGACAGGAAAATGGAAAATTGGCGAATAGACATGTGCAGCGTTCAAACAACAAACATCATCTGTACAACAGTAAGAATAACAAGAGAAGTATTCAAAATCAGGTAAACAAAAATAATATTATATAAGCATTATTTTGAACCGTTATTTAAAAATTATTTGGAATCATTATTTAAAACCGTTATTTTGATTGGATCTGGTAACTGTCTTACAAAGAATAACAGGAGAATCTTTATAAATTTTATAAATAATGATTATAATAAAAAAAAAATGAAATAAAAAAAAAAAAATAAATAAAATAAAAAAAAATAAACCAATAAAAAAAATAGAAATAAAAAATAATGGGAAAATCCTTCATTTAAAAATATTATATATATATATAACCATAATTTCGATTGACTGATTTTGTACATTTTTGTTATTTCACATGGAAATTGATATTTCATCGGGAGAAATCAAATAAATATTAAAATTACTATTTCTAATCATCCATTAAGTTAAATGTACATGTGGCAATGAAAACCATTTAATAATAATAATAATGGTGATGATAATAATAAATAACAAAATTAAATGCAATGATGTTCTTTCACCGAAAAATGCAATTATTTTATATTATAAATTTAAAAACAATTAACTAGTATAAATGTTTGTAACACAAGTATTTTCCAGAATGGAAAATAAAAAATAATAAATTGAACTAACCAAGTATATCAAAAAAAAAAAAATAGTATACCCGACATAATACTCGAAGATTAGAAAGATTATAACGAAGATTATTAAGTTTGAAGGTCAATAACAAGATTTATATGATAATCAAAATAGTACATATTCATTAAATTATTATCAGATATTTTAGATATTTTAAATATGGTATATTTATGATGTCATTTTTTGAGTTATCAGTTTATCAGTTCAGTAAAATAAATATATAAATTATAATTTATCAATAATTAATAATTATTTATTTAAAAAATTTATCTAACGAGAAAATTTCTTAAAAATTTTTTTCTATTGTAATACTCCGTGGTCAGATATAATTGGTAATTTTTTTTGTTTTCTTTAGCCATAATTAATAATAATAATAATTACCTCAGCCATTTAAAGTCATTTAACTCTAAAAAGATTATCTGTTATAAATTTATATATATATAAAATTTATGAGTTAACCAATTAGATTCACAAAAGCATGATAAAATTGTCTGCAAAATAATCTGATTCTTATTTTTTACCGAGTGTAGAAATATACACACGCAATAATTTCTAATTAGTTAAATAAAGTTATTTAAACTGTACATTATTTATTACATTTATTACATTTATATATTATTATTATTACATTTATAATTATTTATTTATTATTTCTTTATTACATTTGTTACATATATGATTATTTATTACATTTAACCTTAATATCTGATTAAACTTTTGTTATTTTATTATTTATCATTATTTACTATTTAACATTTTTTTTTTTTACTCCGTTATAATAATAATGATGATGATGATGATAATTATTATTTGAAGAAAAGTTTAAAATCCAAGATATTATTATTATTATTATATTTTTAGAATTTTTTTAGAGGCTAGGGTTACCAACATTGGAATATTGATAATTATTATTTTCCCAAGAAAGAAACTATTTTGACTTAACTTGGAAAGATAAGAAAGAAAACTTGTATATTTATATATATATAAGGTTTAGAATGAGAAAAAAATGTTCTTGAGAAAAGTTTATGATTCTCTTTTTTTCACACGCAACGACCACCTTTTCTATCATCATAAACAATGCATTATCATCCGGTAAGAAAACTTGATCACGAAATTTTTTTTTTATATACAGTATATTTTTAGTATTATAATAATAATTTATTGTATTATGTGTGTAGTTTATAATTAAATAAGTAAATTTTACTTTGATCATTGCCAAATTGATTGTAATGATTTTAAACTGTCAAAATTCCTTTTATTATGAAAACTTGTTATTTTATTATGATCATGTATATATATAATGTAAAAAAAAAACATGTTTAAAACATGTAAAAAAAAACAATAAATTCCTTATTATTGTTGTTTATATGATATGAATTGATAAATGTGTACATCTTTTTTCTTAATTTATATCTTATCCATTATCTTTATATTTATATATATATATATTGTCGCGGATTTTTACAATAATAATAAATTTCATCCATTATTCTCTTTATCGATTTTATCTACAATAAAATAAACAATATAATGCTTGCTTGCTTTGGCTCTATTCGATTTTGTCATGAATATCATTAATTATTTTGCAATGCTGAGCATAAAACTTGATCTAATTTTTTTTTTTTGTTTCTTCGCATACTTGAATGAAAATATTAAAAATTGTGTATTCTTAAATTTATATAAATTATAATAAAAAATAAATATTATAAATGAAATAGGAGTTCTTTTGGACTTGTAGAATATAGATTTCAAAAAGGTTTGAAGATTTTAAAGATTTTAACACTTAAAACGTAAGCATTTATTATTTAATAGATTTGAAATGCATTAAATTTTTATATTATAATTACAGGTTTTATTCGAGTTAATAAATACTGTAGATATAGATTGTAAATACATAAATTATGATAATAAAATAATGTATTTTTTAATAATATAAAAATTATAAATACAAATTACAGAAAATTTATTTTGAAAAATATTGATATTTATTTAATAAATAATAACTATTTTGTTATTTTCGTTTGTTTCTTTCGTCTATTTTTTATCATATAATATTATGTGGAACAATATATATATATTTTCTCGGATATCACTTATGTGATATAATAAATTTAGTTGAAGCCAAATCAGCCCACAAAATTTGTATCTGATAAACAATAACAATAAATAAACATTGGGACCAGGTGGATGTTAATCGTGCATTCGAGCTAGTATCAAAACATCTACCGTTGACCGCACTTGGAGGAAATTTTTATTTATTGTAGACGAGTGAGTGTATTAATTAATAAAGATTTAAATAAAATAATATATTACGAATGTAAGCATCAATGAAATCAATTATCTCAATTTCATGTGATAATATAATTAAGAGAATAACCAAGTTTATCATTTCCAATTTAAAATAAAAATTTAAGTTTTCAATTTTTGATGATAATTACGTAAAAAATTCAATTATCTCTAACTTGGTTAAAACTAATTATTATCTCGAAGGAAGTGGAAAAATAAAAAAGACAATTCGATTACATTATTCACATGAAATTATTACATTGATCATTACATAATACACAATCAAATATTGTTATTACGTAAAATCGAGACGCGACATAATTATAAATTATCACGGGATATGTCCCATTGTACGTTGTTGATATTTTGGGTTATTTTTTTATAATAATTTAAAGTGCTTTAATTTTTCTTTATTACTTGAGACAAAAATATAAATTAAAAAAAAAAAAAAGTTTTCTATCTTTTTATTAAAGATACTTAAAATTATTATATATAAATATTAAAAAAAAAAAATAAAATAAAATAAGTGAATAAATAAATAAATATAATTCTTAAAGATCTATTTATTTATTTTAATTATGAAAATGCTTGATGAATAATAGATATCGATACTGGCATCTGATATTAATTATTAACATTAATTACTATTTAATTATATTTCTATAATAATAATAATAATAATAAAACTCAAAAATAACAAAAAAAAAATATCTATATGATTAATTTTGATTTGATTCAAAGAATTAATTAATTATGAAAATTGCCGTGTTAAAAGTTCCTACAAAATATAAATATGTAATATATATAAATTAATATAAAATACATATAAAAAAAAATATTATTAATTAATTAAATAATAATTAATTAAAATAATTAATTAAAAGAATTAATTAATATAATTAATTAAAATAATTTTAATTAAAAAAAAAAACCACTTACATAAGTCATAAAAATGATGGCACTTGAAGGAGCAGCTCTCGCCACAGTTATTCCACAACCACGATAAAATCCCGGAATTCCATCGGATTTAAATATATCTCTACCAACTTTAAAAAATCCTCTTCTAACAATTTTCTTTCCTGTAGCTTGCATGATTTCTTCATCAGTTTGAATTTGACTTTTAATTGAATCCGCGGGAAATATTAACAAATTATATGCCATCCCGGCACATGCTCCAGCCGTCATTAATTGTGGTGCACTTAAATCTGTTTTCTTAATTGGAGATAATAATTGTGATGAAGGTGATGAAGATAATCGTGAATGTGATGATGAAGGTAATGAAGGGGATGATGATGATGATGAAATATTATTCATCAACATCGATTTCTCTTTTCGTTTCATAAATAATTTTAATACGAATTCATAAGTTCCGAACCAAATAGCTCCACCAATAGTTTCTCGAACTAAAGTACCAGAATGACCACGATAAAATCCGGGTATTCCATGTTGTATAATGGTATGTTTAATAACTGAAATTGGACCAGTGTAATTTGTCGTAACTCCAAAGGTCGAATTCTTATTAATTGATTTAAGATTATTAATTTGTGATGATATTTTAGGTGAATTAATGATAATATTATTATTCTTGATATTATTATTATTATTATTATTATTATTATTTTCGATTTTTCCGTAAGTGAAAGTTTCTTGTACTTGTAATTTACATTTAATCAATTCTACAGGAGTTAATAAAAATGAAGCACAAGTTCCAGAAATTGCACCAGCTAAACATAATTGTATCATGCTGAGAGGAATTTCTGTAGAAGAATCTTTAAAATTATTTAAACGATGTCGTTCACTGACAGGAGTTGTGTATTCTTTAATCATCATTTGAATTTGATTATACATTAGAAATAACATTGCATTTTCTAACATTGCTCCTACCATAGGAGATGACATTCCCTATAGATAGATAGATAGGATAGGTAGAAAGAAAGAAAAAGAGATATAGATAGAGAAAAAAAATGAGATAGAGAGTGAACGTAAAAATAAGAAATGTAAGAAATATAAAAATTTTAATTATATAAATTTAATTATATTATATTAACTCTATATAATCCCCAAATATTTTCGTTTTTCAAGGTTTTTTGAAAACAATCTAAAGGACCTTTGAATATTTTATGATCTGATGGTTGAGCTTGAAGACGAGTTTTAACTGTATCAAACGGATATTCTACTAATTTCCCAGTCATTCCTGCGATCTTTTTAAATAAATAAAAATTATATGATTAAAATTTAATTATAATTATTTTAATTATTTGATTTAATTTAATTTTTTTTTTTTTTTTTCATTTATTTAATTTTAAATAATAATAATATTTATGTTAATATTTAATTACCGAGCCATTTATCATATTTTTAATACCTTCATCAGTTTTTGTTTTTGGGGGAGTTTTAGTGGTTGATGGAGAAGGTACTCCCAAAGATATTGAAGAAACCTTTTGTTCTTTAGCGAATTCCATATTTTTTTTTTATTCTTTACTTATTAGAATAATAATGTTATTATTTATTGTTATGTGGAATGTAGAATGTAAATTTTTGGGTAATGCAAAATTTGTAAAGAAATTTCCCCTTTATCTATCCTATTTATTATTTATTAAAAAAGACTATTCGAGTAAAAAAACTAAACTATCGAATCTAACGATCCATTAATTCATTAATTACCAGTATTACTAGCCAGTTTCACTTTTCATATTGTACATCTTGTTGTGTCATAGTGTCATATGATATGACATATATTTTGTATTTTCTATTTTCTAGGGGTAAGACTTGATCGGCTTTATTCTCCCACGGGTACACATGATTAACCACATGAATAAACAGTCACAGCCACATGAACTTTTACGCGTATTTATTTCCTCCGTGTACAAAAATTTAATTAAACACAACTACAACATAACTTTGTAATAGTTGTGATAAATAAAGATATTTAAAAATGTAAATAAAATATTAATTTATTAATTTCATCAATTCTAACCAATAATTTCCATTCCATTCATCCATTTCCTTAATACTTTTGGTATAACAATTTTACCATCACCTCTTTGAAAATTTTCAAGTATTGAAATGATCATTCTTGGTACAGCGATTGCTGTACCATTTAATGTATGAACGAATTCTGTTTGTGGTGATGATGAATCATTATCCTTATCTTTATCCTTATCAGTATTATTCTTATTATTATTTTGTTCAGATAATAATGGTTTATATCGAATATTTAATCTTCGTGATTGATAATCTGTACAATTTGAAGCTGAAGATATCTAAAAAAAGAATTGAGAATATTATTATTGTGTGCATGTATTGATTGTTTTTGTTATTTGTTTTTAAATATATATATAAAATAATTACCTCTCCCCATTTACCACGTCCTGGCATCCAGGCTTCCATATCAAATTTACGATAAGCATTAGCTCCAAGTTCATAAGTTGGCATATCCAAAATCCTACCATAATAATAACATAATTGTAACATAACAAATAACAAAAATAAAAGAAGATTAACATAACAATAACAAAAATATAAGAAGATTAATATAATATAATAATAATAATGATATAATAATAATATATAATAATAATAATAATATATAATAATATAAATATAATATTAAAATATTTTACCTAAAACATAATCCCAAATCATTAAATATTTCTTCTTGTAATCCAACAATTTCATTAAACATATTATCACTTTCATGAGATTTAGTTAAACAAAACATTTCCACCTTACTAAATTGATGTACTCTGTATAATCCTTTAGTATCTTGACCTCTTGATCCTGCTTCAGCCCTAAAACATTTTCCATATCCTACCATCCTTATGGGTAATTGGGAATCTGTTAATATTTTATTAGAATAAATTCCTGCTAAAGGAATTTCTGCTGTGGCTGATAATAAATTTTGATATAATATATTATTATTGTTGTTGCTATTTTCATCTAAATTGCTTTGTTTGAATGATGATGATTTTTGTGAAGACTTTTGTGAAGATGAAGAAGATTTTTGTAAAGTTGGTAAAGGTAATGTTGTTGTTGTTGTTGGTGTTGTGGTAATATAATAATTTTGAGATACTTCGTCATCTCTAGGTTGAAATCCACATGCATTACTAAATTCAGTTCTAATTACATCTGGAGTAATTATTGGTAAATATCCTTTATTGACTAATTTTTCCATGGCATATTGAATTAATGCTAATTCTAATAATGCTCCTGCATTTCTTAAATAATACCAACTTGTACCTGTAACAATTGATGCTGTTTCAAAATCTATTAAATCTAATTCTTTGCCTATTGTCATATGATCCTTTATTATTATTGGTTGTGTTGTTACTGCTGAATTTACAGTTTCAGTTGTTGCTGCTTCTGGAGATGTTGTTGTTGTTGAGCCTACTATTTCAGTTGCAAGAAGAGGAGTACCTACAGTCTTTATAATTCTAGTAACTTCTTCACCACCAACTCTAACTTCTTCATGAGTATCATTGGGAATTTTTAATCCTTCAATTAACATTTCTTCTTCAACTTTTCCTAATCTCGATTCAATATTTTGAATTGCTTCTTTAATTTCTCTTGCTTGTTCAACTAATTTATTTTTTTCTTCTTTATCTTTGATTGATCTAATTTGTTTGGTAATTTCATTTCGTTTATTTCGTAATGAATTAATTTGTGAAGTCATTTCACAAAATTTTGTATAATGAATATTCACCAATGAGATATTGGCATCTTTCAAATTACGATTCATAATATTTTTTGCGATCTTATTGAAATTTGCAAGAAAGTATTTGTAATTTAAATGTGGTCGAAGGTAAGAGAATTTTTGAGATGGAGATGAAGATGAAGGTGAAGATGAAGGTGAAGATGAAGGTGATGAAGATGATGATAAAGTTGTGGTGGATAAGAATTTACATTTGAAAGAATGAGAAAAGGATGAAGTGTAGTAATTGATATTTTTGATATTTGAATACTTTATTGATAGACGCATATTTTTAATCTAAAAAATTTTTTTTTTGTAAAAGGAAAACTTTTAAGATTATCATGCAGATCTATTACATATATATATTTTCGAGTCGAGTAATGCATTCATCTTCTGAATAAGTAATATTTTATTAATTAGAAAATACGAAGAAAAATATATATATATTAATTAGATGTGTAATTGCGCGCTGACCTTTGTTAGATAAACTTATTAAATAAACTTTTGCTAAATAAACTTGACTTCTTAAAAAATTTATTAATAAACTTGTTTGCATGTCACTAAATTTAACTAATTAAACTATCGAAAACTTTTATATATATATATAGATATAATGAGAGTTGCTTATAAATCGAATAAATTTTATTATTTTAGAATTTCCTTTCTCTCTATCTACTGCAACCAACTTTACTGCTTTTACTGTCTGCCTGTCTGCTTGTCTGCCTGTCACTTTTACTGTTTGCCTGCCACTCTGCCACTTTATTTTGTTCTTCTCGTGTAAAATGAAATACGGCCAAATTATCATCAACATCGTACTTGACCCGACGTGCTCATCACCTTCTTCATCACCTTGCTCATCTCCTTGTCCATCGCCTTGTTCATCCTTGCCTTGTTCATCATCACCCAAGGATAATTTTCAATCTACTCCTACTACTACTACTACTACTACTAGTTATCAGGATTATAAACCACCAACACAACTATTATTACCATTACAACAACTATCTTCAACGACACCACCGCCATTACTCCCTTCACAAAGTTCACTTTCACTATTGACTTTACAACCATCACAAGTACAGGAAGAAAATAGTAAAGAAAATAATAATTGCGATGAATCAAGGTTCACACAACAATCACAACAATTACAATCATCATCATCATTATTATCATTATCTAATCATCCTGGATCAATAAATCGTATAAACAGCTGTTGCTTAAACTGTAAAGGTTATGAACAAAAATTAAATAAATCCAAACAACAACTTGAAATTTTACAACGAAACCTTACGGATCATGAACAAAAATTAAATAAAAGTCATCGTGAATTAGAAAAGTTGAAAAAAGTGAAAGATGGATTATTGATTGATGAAAATAAAAATAATAATAATAATAATAATAAAAATAATAATAATAATAATAATAATAATAATAATAATAATAATAATAATGATAATAATAATGATAATAATGATAATAATAATAATAATAATAATAATAATGATAATAACAAAGATATTTTACTAAGGGATAACAGTTTCACGAGTATTACTTCAAACACTTTAAGCATTAATAATACAATTACTAGCAATAATAATACTACCAAAATTAATTCTTATCCTTCTTCATCTTCATCTTCTTTATCTTCATATATTTCTACTCCTAATAGTAATTCTTCAACTATATTCTCATCATCTTCATCTAATTCTTCGAAAAATAATAATAGTAATAATGATAATGATGATGATGATGTTGAATGGTTTATATCATCCGAGAAATCTTTTGATATCAAAAAACGTAACGGTGGTGATCAATATATTTGTTTTGACTGCAAGAATTCTCTCAAAGGTAATTCATTTAATTTTCATATATTTTTTAAATAATAATTCATTTTTATAACATTTTTAAAATAGGAAAGAAACCAAACAAATATGGAAAATTTCAATCAATCCCGTTTCGAAAACAACCAACTTTTATTGAATCTTTAAAAGGTGAATGAGTGTATATCTGAATCTGATATAAATATAAAAATAAAAATAAAAAATAAAAATTTTCACTAAAAAAAAAAAAACATTATATAGATTCATCTTTATATCAAGTATATTTGGGAAACGTGAGATCATACATTTGCTTGGTGACACTAAAAGTTTGTTTGGAGAAAGATTTTGGTCGCGTTGAACAGGTTGAAAAACCAAGGCCTAGGGTTTGTATTTATTCTTTCGGAAATTTTTTTTAGATTCATTAATTAATTAATTTATAGAATTATATTATATTTAATAATTTTATTTTTATTTATCTACAAAATAACTTGATTTGTTTAGGAAAACTTCGCATTTGCTTTTTTCGCTGAAAGAAATGCATACTATAAAGCAATCGATACTGGTACAGTCTTGGTTCAAGGAATTTATATATCAATTGATAGATGTATGAACCCAAGAAGAATGTTCAATGGCAGGGTCCTCGACATTTGTTAAACGAATGGAACGAACTTAACAAATAATAATAAGATAATCTCAATAATCTTTTTATAATCTTGCAATCTTTATATCTACGAATGTGCTGTGCATGACAGGAAAAAAAAAAAAATAAATATTTATCTAAAAAAATGAATATGAATTTGTTCAAATTAGTCGATTACGTAAACATGACGCGTTTCTTCTTGTGTCATAATTTCTCATTATTTTCGTATGATGAAATATTCTTTACATAATGGGATAAATGTTCTGTATTAAATAATCATAATTCTTCAGTCGAATTTTTTCAATCTAGTTCTTACTCTAGTTCTTTCATAATAATGTCTCATTTTATCTCACCTAGCGAAGATGCTCCGATCGCTGGATATGGTAAAGATCCTCCACCTCCCGAAACAATTTTAGTCAGTCCAAAATCATTACGAGATAAACCACCTTCTACCACTACCACTACTACTACTAATAATAATAATGATAATAATACTAATACTAATTCTAATTCTGAGAGTGAATTACAATATCCAAGTCACACAGTAGATAAAGTAATAATTTCATCTAAAGATGGAACTACTGTCATTTCCGAAACAGCTCATAAAGTGAAAACTGATCAAGATACACCAGAAGTAAATACTATGACGGAATCAAGATTTAGACATGTTAATGCTGGAGAAGATCTTGGTACGAAAAAGTTTATTATTAATTGATACTAAATGTATTTTTGAAATGTATTATTTTAGATTACATCTGAACCAATGATAATAATAATAATCTTTTTTTAATAGCGACGGGAAATAGAGTTCAAACGGATGTTAATCATAAAACAATGTCAGATAAACCTAATTTTTCGAGTGAAATTACATATCAGAGTATAAATCCGGATGAAAACATTTAAAATATTTATAATAATAATTTAATGTTGATGAACAATAGTAATAAAAGAAGTAGAGTCCATATATTCCTTAATAAATTATGTAAATTATGAATTTTGTATAAAATTTAATTTATATCAAAGATTACTTTGTTTAATCTTTAAAGTATCGTTTTCTTCAATACTTTCATTATCTTTCGTATTTAAGGTATTGCTATCGTCATTTGAATTTAAAGAGTCAAAAGAAGCGAGTATCTTATTTAAACGTTCCACGGATGTTTTTTTCCCGATTGCTTTAATTGTCTCGGCAATACCAGCTCCAACCTTGAAAATAATTTTAAAGAAATAATTATAATAAATGTAAATTGTTTAAAGTCTATTATTAATAATTACCTTGATTCCTGTAAAAATATATCTTAAAATCATCATAACTTCTGATTGTTTTATTTTAGATGAATTGCAAATATCTTTAATCGTTTTTTTAATTTTTTCATCATCATGATATTCAAAATTTTCAAGTTTTCGAAATTGTTCGTAAGCAATTGTCGCTACTTTCTCTATAAATAAATAAATATTATTACTAATTACTCTTTTTTTTTACACACACACATATATATGGTCAAAATATCACAAAATATGTAGAGAAACTAAAAACTAACTCAAAGCATCATCGGTGAATAATGATCTCAAATGAATTGATTCTGACGAAGAATAATCGGGATCAACAAAGAAATATTTACATAATTCTGGAATATCACTTAAATTGTGCATTCGTTGCTAGGAATTAAAAGATATGCGAAAATATTAATAATTAATTAAATAAAAATAATATTAAATTATAATAATATTATATAAACTTACTAGAATTGTCTTAATAACAAGTGCTAAATATTCATCTTCAAGTCTATATTTCTCATCTGTTAAATACAAACTATATATATATATAAATAAAATACATATCAAATTAATAAATTAAAGTAATAATAATAATAATAATAATAATAATAATAATATTTTTACCTCTCTCTAAATTTTTCATTCACAAGTTCTCTTAATGAAGCTGTTAATTGAGATAAACCTTCGGGAGATTTTGATTTAAGTAATAAATGTTGTTTATTCAAAAAATTTAATTTCTCAATTGATACTATACTATTTGAATGACCAAGATTATTTATAGAAAACTATTAAAAAAAAAGGGAATTAATTAATTAAATATTTATTTATTTATTTTCAATATATAATATATATATATATAACATAATTTACTTTTATTTTAGTTTTTTATTACCTCAGAAATTAATTCATTCAAAGTGAAAATCTCATCTTTTCTTTCATAAGGAGAACTCCATCCTAATAATGCGACAAAATTTATTAAAGCTTCAGGCAAATATCCTAGTTTCTAACTTCACAGAAAAAAAAATATAAAAAAAATAAAATAAAAATCACTATACAATTCATGATATATATATACATATGGATTATTATTAAAAGATATTTACCGCAAATTCTTCCACATGAGAATCTCCAGTTCGTTTTGATAACTTTGATTTATTGATATTAAGTAATAATGGAAGATGAACAAATTTTGGAATATCCCAACCAAGTGATTGGTAAAGAATCATATGTTTAGGTGTAGAAGGAAGCCATTCCTGATCAAATTAATTATATATTAGTTATATATAAATTATTATTATTATGAAAATTTATTATTATTATTATTAATTGGTTACCTCTCCACGTAATACGTGTGTGATTTTCATTAAATGATCATCAATAACATTCGCTAAATGATACGTCGGGTAACCGTCACTTTTCAAAAGAATTGTATCATCGATATGATTTTTATCAAATTCCACTTTGCCGCGAATTAGATCTTTTACTGTTACGGCACTATCCGGTGTCTTTATTTTTAAAACAATTTTTATATATTTTATTGTACTATATTATATTAAATTTTTTGTATTATATTATATTCTATTCGATTCTTGTTTTATATTATATTATATATATATATATTTATTTATTTATATTTAAAATTTACCTTTAGTCGAATCGTAAAAGGAATACCTTGCGATATATTTTGTTCAATTTCACTTTGACTCAAATATGAACAATGGCGATCGTATGCAACACCTTTACCAACTTTTTGAGCCATCAACCTCATATTTTGAAGTCTTTCGGAAGTACAAAAACATCTATACGCATTTCCGTCCTAGCCATAATAATAATAATAATTGATAATATTGTAAGAATTGATAATAATGATCTTTAAAATAATTTAAAATCCTTTAAAATCCTTTAAAGAGATCTTACTTTAAGAAGCTTGTTCACATATTCTTTGTATATTTCTGTTCTCTCTGACTAGGATAATTTAAATTTTTTAAAAAAAAATCAATTTTTGTTGAAATAAATCTCGAATTAATTAATTACTAAAATCTCATTTAATTTATACCTGATAACAAGAACCATAAAATGTTGTCATACCAGGCCCTACATGAATAAATATATAATAATAATTAATTTAATATAATAATAATTAATTTAATATAATAATAATTAATTTAATATAATAATAATTAATTTAGTATAATAAATGTAAGAAATAAATGCCTTCGTCATAACTTAATCCAACCCATTTCAATGTAGAAATCAACTTTTCAACTGCTCCAGGAACATAACGAGTCTATTACATTATATAAAATAATCTGTTTTGATAATAGTTATCAAATTCTTTCGTAATTTCAGAAATATATATATAAAAAAAAAGATATATTCCTTATATATATATATATTCTTTATTATTCTTTATACATATTATCTAAACATAAATTCTAAATAAATGGATAATGAAATAAAAATAATTCTTACTCTATCTGTATCTTCAATTCTTAATATAAATGTACCTCCTGTTTTTCTAGCTAATAAAAAATTAAATAAAGCAGTTCTTAAACCTCCCAGGTGAAGATATCCAGTAGGACTAGGAGCAAAACGAACTCGTACTGCGGAAGTTGGTTGTACGGAAGAATAATATCGTTTACCGCCAAATTTTATAATATAAAATACTCTTTTAAGTATGAAATTTTTATGTATCGATAAACCATCAAAAATGCTTTTAGAATTTATAGAATTCCACATTTTTTTTTCTATTTTTTTTTTCTATTATTTAATTTATTTTTTATATTTTTTATTTTTGATGGAGAGATTATCTAACTAACTTTTCCATTTTAGGGTTCCATTATAAAAAAAAAGGTCAGAAGAGCCTTGAAAAAATCCAATTACTAAAGACGAGAGAGCCTTGGAATAATCCAATTTTCTACTTAATTTTCATTATTACTACATTGTATTTTATATTTTCTTTTTTTTTTTTTTTTTTATTAAAATGGCAGCAAATTTTTGGGCTTCAACTCACGGGTAAAGATCAAATTTTTTTTTTTAATAAAGAAATGTGGGATATAAAAAAATGGGATAACAATAATTTATTATTACTATTATTATTATTATATTATTATTTAGAACACATTGGTTACTTAACCGGCAACAACTTATAAATAGTAGGAAGGATGACTTAAAACATATTAACGAACACGAATTAACGAAAGTCAATATATGGTTCGCGAAAAGTTGGTATAATTTTTTATACCGATAATATAATTTATTTTATATTTTATCAGAATTTATTTTATTAGTAGTTTATTGCTTACATTTACTATTTGTATATTTACTTCCAAATTACTATTATTATTATTATTTTTTTTAAAATAAAAAAAGTAATAACTGATCTCGGAAAGAATCTTCAGGTCAGGCAAATTATAATTGCTACAGCGATAACTTATTTTAAAAGATTTTATACAAAGTTAGTGTTTATCAAATTTATTAAATTTATCACAGTCAAATTAAATTATTAAGCAATTAAACAAATTTTTACAATTAAATTCTTCTTTAGAAATAGTTATAGAGGAACTGAACCATATCTGGTCGCTGCAACGTGCATGTATTTAGCATGTAAAATAGAAGAATCACCTCATCATATCAAAACTGTTATTTCCGAAATGAAAAAATTAACCGAAGGTGATGATAATGATGATGATTATTATTATTATGATTATTATTTGTTTCAATTCACAAAAATCTTTACTCAAAAAAAAAAAAATTATATTACATAGGTAAAGGAGGTTTTCCTTATGAAAATCAAAAAGTAGCAGAAATGGAATTTTACCTAATGGAAGAATTGGATTTTAAAATGATTGTATTTCATCCTTATCGAGCATTAGCAACTTTGGCTCAAGATCTTGGAACAAAGAATGAAGATGTTCAAAATGCTTGGTGGGTATTAAATGATACTTATCGAACTGACATGTGTTTATTGTACCCACCACATGTAATCGCTGCTGCTGCACTTTATTTACCTATCGCTCTTAAAGGTGAAAATAATAGATATGGTGATAATAATAATAATAATAATAATAACGACAATAACAATAATAATAATACTCCTCCTTCTCTGAGTGGAGGAGGGGAGGGAGGAGGTGCAGGAGGGGTTGTTACTAGAGGCGCAAAAAAAGGACAAGTTGCGGCTGCAGCGGCTGCTGCTGCTAATAGTAGTAGCAATAATAATAATGAGACATCAAAAATAAAAGATATACGCGAATGGTTTGCTCTTTTGAATGTTGATTTGGAACAAGTATTTATTATTTATTTATTCTTCTTTTATTCTTTTATTTTACAATATTTTTAATCTAATTTTTAATTTTTTTAGATTACAGATATTGTTCAAGAAATAATATCATTATATGAATTATGGACAGAATATAATGAAGAAAAGCCACAGGAAATTTTGCAACGCTTATTAAAAAAATGATTATAGAATTAGATAGAATTATAGAAAATACAAAAATTTTTGAACAATTCATTAGAAATAGATGTTTGAGAAATCATGTAAATACCTTTTTTAGAATTTAATTTATCACTTTTTAAATGGTTTTGATGATTCCTTTATGTGAAAGATGATAAGATAAATTTAGATAAAAACTTCAGCTTTAACTTGTAATTCACCTTGGACATTTGAATTTTGACATTTTTTACATATTACATAGACACCTTAGAATAACTTATATCATATACAAGGTTCATGCATCAATAATATAGAAATTGAAAATTTTAATTTAATAAAATTATTCATTATTTTTATTTTATTTAATTAAATTTAATAATTAATTTATTTAATTTATTTATTTATTTATTTTTCAAATACAAAATTTACAGCCTTACCACCACCAACATGTATAACTTTTTTAATTTTCTTTTCATTACCATTATTATCAATAAACCATTTTTCATTATTTTTTGATTTCTTGATTAATGATTCTATTAATAAATTATCATGTAACATTGTGGTAGGTAATTTTATTGTAAATCTCATTTTTCCATCAATCTAAAAAAAATTATGATAAAAAATATAATAAAAAATAAAAATCAAAATAAAATAAACCAATTATTCAAAATTAATTTCGTTTAAGATTACCTGAACAGCACAAGTAACTTCTTCAACAGAAAATGCTTTCTCATCAACTTTTGGCCATGATTCATCAAATATTGTATTAATTTTAATTTCATTTTTAATTTCAGATGATTGTTGTTGTTGTTGTTGTTGTTGTCTTTTATGATTATTCAAAGTTTCCCAAAATTCTTCACCAATACTGGGAGCCATTGGTGCAATCATTTTCACCAATGATCTTAATCCATATTCATTTACTGGTGACATGTTTTTGATATTAATATTAATATTAAAATTTTCAGATAAATTTGTCTCATTTAAATTTGATGAAGAAGGTGATGAAGGTGATGATGATGTGTTTGTGAGATGATTTGTGAGATGATTTGTTAATTTAATTAAAGAAGATATCGCAGTATTGAATGAAAAACTTGATTCAAATACTATTGTCACCTAAAATTGATAAAATTAATTAAAAATTAATAATAAACAAAATTATCAAAATATTAACAATTTATTTATTACAGCCAAATTATATAATATAAATTGGTCACCTCTTTAATAGTATTGTTTATAATTCTATATGTTTTTTTTTCTTCATTACTCATTAAATTTAAATCACCAACAAAATTTTGAACATATGATGAATTATTTGTTGATAAATTATTATTTAAATGATGATTATTTTCAACAACATTTTCTACAAGTCTCTTTACTCTCAAAATCCATCTCTGTATACCAACAATACTTGATTCTTCCCATTCAAGTACTTCTGAAACAGGAGCTTTAGAAAGTATATGTAATCTTGTGGCATCCGCTCCAAATTTATTTATAGTAGTCTGTATATTATATATATATATATATAATTCATATTATTTGATATTATTTATTACAAATTATTTAAAATAACTTACTTCCGGATCAACTCCATTATATTTACTCTTTGACATTTTTTCATATGAAACTAGAGAAGTAAGTCCTGATGAAATTTGTATTGGATTGTTTGGATCTAAAAAAAAAAAACGAATATTTAAGAAATATTTTAATAATAATAATATTATTATTATTGTTAGATATTTTTGAAATCATTTATTTACTTGTCAGATCAACTTCCTCTGGTTTTAGAAACCTTTTTGTTATTGGATCTTTAAAAGTTTTTCCATGAACCATTCCCTGAAATTACATAACATAAATATTAATTAATTAAAATTATAATAATAATAATAATTATTATTATGATAATTATGATAAAATAAAGATCTCTACCTGAGTTACTAATTGCTTAAATGGTTCACCTTGACCTTGAACATTGTTCACATTGTTCATATTATTATTATTATTATTATTATTATTTCTTGGTAAATACATTCCTTGCTTAAACATGAATTTAGTAAAAAATCGAGAATATAATAAATGCAAAATTGCATGTTCCACTCCTCCAATATACATATCAACAGGGATCAATTCTGATGCTTTTTCTTTATCAAATGGTCTTCATATAATATTGTTATGTTATATCGTTATTGATAAATAAAGAATGGTAAAAAATATGAACAAATGATTGAAACAACTTACAATGAGTTATTCTTTGGGTCAGTATATCGCATAAAATACCACGAAGAATCCACAAATGTGTCCATAGTATCAGTGTCCCTTTGTGCAGGACCTTGGCATCTAATATAAATATAATTTATTAAAAATAATTTATTAAAACAACTTATGAAATAAACAAATTACTTACTTGGGACATTTACAATTAATCCAATCATATGCTTGTTTTAAAGGTGAACCATTTCGACCAGTAAAAGATACATTCGTAGGTAATAATACTGGTAATTCTGATTCTGGAACAGGCACAATCTAAATAATATTTTTATATTTTTTTTGTCAACCTTTTAACCTATCTTTTTTCTTTGGAAAATTCAAGAAACTGACCAAAAATGAACTTCTTTAAATAAATAAATAAATAAATAAATAAATAAATTATTCTTAAAGAAATCGTACATCACAATTTGAACAGTGTATCATTGGAATCGGTGCACCCCAATAGCGTTGTCTTGAAATCAACCAATCTCTTAGGCGATACTAAATTATTATTAATAATATAATTATTTCCAAACTAATTATGGAAAAGAAGTTTCGCATATAAAAAACTAAAAATAAAAGAAATACCTGCACAGAAAAACGACCATATCCAGATTTATATGCATCCTGAACAATTTTCTTCATGGCTTCTTCACTCGTTAATCCTGCATATTGTCCACAATTTTCTGTCAAAATTCCAAATGAAGTAAAAACCTTATTATCATCATCTTTATCATCCTTTTTCACGGGTCTAACTGCCCTTTTGATATTTATATTATCATTATCGTGAAAATTTCGTTTGAAAAATTCCCAATCACGTTTATCATGTGCCGGAACACCCATCACCGCGCCTGTACCATAATCCGAAATTACATATGATGCTATATATAAAGGTATTGATAATCCGGTAAAAGGATGAGTTGCGAACATTCCTGTATTAATTCCTAGAAATAATTATATATTAAATAAAACATTAAACATATTAAATGAATTTTTGTCAAAATATATATATATATATATATATTGAAATCAAATATCATGAATAAATATTTACCTTTCCAAAAATTTTCATCATTCATATCCAATAATTTTTGTTGTTGCTTAATTTGATTTGCAAATTCGAAGATTTGAGAACATTTGTCTTGTGGTAAAAAACTATAAAATATCATATACAAAATATTAAAAATATATAAATATAAATATAAATATAATATAAATATATATATATATATATTTAATAATATTTAATAATAAAAAGAATACCTTACTCTTTTGACACAAGTGGGTGATCTGCAGAGATTGCTAAATATTGTACACCGAAGATTGTATCAGGTCTACTAGTGAAAATTTTAGTGGTGAATGGGATATTTCCTGAATTCTTATGTTATTATTAATGTTATCTAATTTAATTTGATTTCCTTTGTAAATTCTTGTAAATTCTCCTAAATTCCTGTAAAATACATACTACTACAAAATCAAATTCGGCACCTTCAGATTTTCCAATCCAAAATCTTTGCATTTGTTTCACGCGATCCGGCCATTTATCCAAGGTATCAAGATCATTTAACAAATCCTATTATAAAAAAATATTGATGTAATAAATAATTAACTAATAAGTTAATTAATTATATATATATATATACATACAAATATATATTATATATATTAAATATATTCATATATACTTTAGCATAATCCTTAATTCTAAAAAACCATTGTTTTAATTTTCTACGTTCAACTTTAGCACCTGAACGCCATGAACGTCCTTCCGAATCTACCTTTTATATATAAATAAAATTCATTATTAAAAAGTGATATATAATATGTGATATGAATGAAATGAGTGATATCTATGATATATGATATATGTGATGAGTGCTATATGTGATAACTTGAATTTAGGAATTATAAAATTAATTAAATATTACTTGCTCATTAGCCAAGACTGTTTGATCTATAGGATCCCAATTAACTAATGCTTCGTTTTGATATGCCATATTTGCTTTATACATTTGAAGAAAGAGGTATTGTGTCCATTTATAATATTCCGGTTGACAAGTGGTCACTTCCTAATTTCAATTTTTATTTAATAATTTTTAATTTTTTAACAATTTTAATAGCAGAGTAATAATAAAATTATTATTATTTTTTTTTTACCCGATCCCAATCAAAATCAGCCAAAATTTTTTCCATCTGAGCTTTCATTAAAGAAATATTAGATATAGTCCAATCAGCTGGATGAATATTTCGTTCCATTGCGGCATTCTCAGCAGGAAGACCAAAGGCATCCCAACCCATTGGATGAATTACCTTTATTATATATATTCATGTTTTAAATTTTTTTTATATTTTAATCATTTTTTTTCTTTGATGATATTTTATTTATTATTATTAATAAAAAAATATAAACATTAAAATATAAAATACAAAAAAATACAAAAATAAATCAAAAACAAATAAATTTTCTACAATACAATACATCATATCCAAGCATTTTCCGAAACCTCGTTATGGTATCACTAAGAGTATACACTCTAACATGTCCCATATGTAATATTCCACTTGGATAAGGAAACATTGCTAAAACGTAAAATTTCTCTTTTTCATTATTATTATTATTATTATCATCATCATTTTTTTGTTGTTCTTGAGAAATTTTTTTTTTTTTAGAATTTTTTAAAATTTTCCATTTATTTATCCATTTACGTTCTATCTCGGAGAAATTTATATTATTTGATGATAATGATGGTGATGTGGATGATAAAGTAGAATATAATTTATAAAATGTTTTATTATGCTTTAAAGAATTATGAGAATTATGGCGACAGTAATAATAATAATATATAATCGAATTTTGAAAATATGATTTTTTAAACATTTTTTTTTATCGTGAAAGAATTTTGATGAACGTGCATAAATATTATTTTATCTTCACGTGGTTCTGTATAGCAAGTTTATTTTAATTGCTTTATTTTATTTTAATAATGAATTCCTTTAACTCAAAAATTCAGTCACATAATGTATTGCTTACATAATATACATAATAATAAAAAATTAGGATATCAAATATGAGTAATAGAAATGGATTATTCATTCATTTATTAATTGTGAATTACCTTATTATTCATTATATTCTTGCTATTTACAGCTTCCTGATATTGGGAATCTTCTTTACATTTGTTATGATAACAGATACAATTCAATAAAGTTATGAAAAGGGCATTCAACCTAAAGTGTTGATTTCAAATAAAAATCTTTGCTTCTCAACCTGAATTGTAAAACACCTCAAAAAGAATTTTCAGTCAGATGAAAATGATACATTTTATTATTGTGGAACAGGGAAACACAAATGAACCAATCTTAAAATAATACAATGTAAATTAAAAAATTTATAAAAAAATATATAAAAAAAAATATTACGAATCAATGTTCTTATTTTAAATCGTCGTGCAGCAGAAGAATTTGAAATTGGTAATCTTACTAAAGGAGAATCATTAAACTATCTTAAATATACAAATTAACTGATAGATGAAAGCTTATAATCGATTTTTTTTTTTTTTTTTACATTACGTGAATTTATTTAATTTATTATATTTTTTTATAGACATTAAGTGTAGTATCTTATTTTTATACATATAAAAATATATTGCATATAAAATATATTAATGCATGCGAATGCGAATTAAAGTTTTTTTCATATATATGAAAAATTATTGTTCAAGTAAAATAAATATTTGAAATATGAAATATGAAACATGGGAAATAAAATTGTATTATTTTAATTTGTACAATATTACTTGTTTTTTTTTTGCAAAATATCAATGTCCAACTATTTTTTTTTTTTTTTTTTGAATTTTTGAATTTTTGTCTAATTTATATAAATTTTATATTTAATTATTTTAATATATTTCCCACAATTGAAAATTTTAAATTTTATTACAAAAAGTAGCCCGATTATTTACGAAAAAATCTCTTAAACTCGTCCCCGAAACACCTGTAATCATTTCCAGATCTCTTGTCACTTGTACTCTTCGAGTCCCACCACTATTATAACTACCATTAATATAATTCTTTTCTTGTAATCCCCATAATTCTAATAAATAGGCAACTTCTTCTTTACTCGGTATTACTTCAGATAATATTTGATATAATTGATTATTTGGTAAGAAATCTGGAGTTATTTCTCGACCTAGACCCAATGATGCTTTAACGGCAATTTCATCCGTGGTAAGTAAATTTGGGCCGGTTATTTTATACATTTTACCGCCATGTCGTTGAACAGGACAATAAAGTATATTGCAAATAGCCCTCACCAAGTCACCCATATCACAGAATTCAAAAATTGTTGAAGGATTATCAATCAAGGGGATTTTTGAATGCTCAATTATGTGATGTGAGAATAATAACAAGTGTTGATTTAATACTCCAGGATATCTTAAAATTGTAATTTGTGAAGGAGGGAAAGTTTCTTTTAACATTAATTCCACTGATTCAAATTGATCTCTGTATGAAATATTATTATTATTTATTATAGATGATTCAGTAGTCGTCATCGTTTCACCTTTCTCATCAGTTGGAGTTAAAGGAGGAGTATGTGGAGTATCAAGTTTAGTAAAAGGTGTAGGAAAAATAATATGTTCAACATTTGCTTCTTTTGCCGCATTTATATATCTGTCAAAAAAAAAAAAAGTTAAAATAAAGAGTTAACAATTAAAGTCAATAACATTAAAAATTAACATTAAAATTAACATTAAAAGTTAAATTTAACTCACCCTCTTGCATAAGAGAGAATATCATTTCGAGTGAGTTTCCCACTTAACGGATCAATTAACAAAAGTAATTTTGATACATTGCTTAAAGGATGCACGATAGCTTCAGGATTGTTTATAGGATCAACGTTTACAACCATCGCACCTCTTCTCTCTTCCAAATTTAATGATGAAATCTTGTCATTATGAACATTCACTCCGGCATATACAGTAATGTTGGGAAGATGACGATGAAGAGTTGGCATTTCTAAGAGTCTTTTTATAATATATGAACCTTTTATTAAAAGAAAAATAAAAGTTTCTATATCAATCTCTTGATATAAGATTTATTGACAACGACTTTATATAATAATATTTTTTAATTTCCTTTATTTTATTTTTTTTTTTTTTTGACCACATACCTAATTCACTATCAGCTCCAGAAACAAAAACATTATCAATTTTTGATTTCATTTTATTTTTTATTAATATCTTTATTATTATTATCTTCTATTATTATTATCTTCTATTATTTTCTTTTATTATTTTTTATAATCCTTTTTTTTGTTATCTTTATTATTTATAATCAAGGTTTAAGAATAAAAAAAAACGAAAATTTTTTTTTTTGGAAAAACAAATCAAAAATTGATGGGTTTATATATATATATTTTAAAATAGAAAATGAGATCCAGTCAAGACTTGTTAATATTTGGAAAAGGTTCACGCCATGGTATTATTGGTTAGCACAACTTTTTTTTGACGCCAACAATTTTAATTCTTAATATATCCATCAAAATTCCAATATCAGAATATATTATATTTATTAATGTTAATTGTAATTTTATCAATTATGTATCTTATCTATAAAAAATCTGTTTTTAATATGCGCGCGTGGTAAATTGCGGTAATTTTTGGTAAATGATGATAGAAATGTGTACAAATGTGTACAATATTTGACTTGACTTGTCAGTAGTTCTTTTCTTATCTTTATTTTTTTTTTTTTTACTGCTAAAACTTTAACGGAATTTTTTTATGAATATATTTTAATTAATTATATTAATTGGAGAAAATCAACTATAAAATTATGCAATGCATCATAAATTATGACTCAATGCGACTCCAATACAATGACTTCTTTTTTTGACAAAATCAAGATTTCCCTTATCAATATAAAAAAAAATTTCACCAACCAAGATTTAATAATACTGTTCACAAGTACAACATAAAATGAAAGTAATTCTTTAAAAAAAGAACAATATTATATATATATATATATATATATATTATTATCAGTTGTTAGATCAAGATATCAAAAAAAAGAAAAAAAAAACTTGAATTTTTTATCCAAAGATCAATGTCTTTTACTTAATAAAGAAAAAACGTAAATTGTGCTAGGATACAAAAATATTTATTTTTATTATTTTTTTGTTTATTTTTATTGAGATTAACCTTTTCATTTTAAAAGAAGTTTATTTCAAAAAAAAAAAATTTGATTATCAGAATGCATCGTCATCATGATAATTAAATAACCTTTGTTGTCATTTATCCGTTATCTATCCTGTGTTGGAACTTTCATTTTTACTTGTGATAACGTTATCCATTTACGGTTTTTATTTTAATTACCCATGTCGCGTAATAATACTTTTGAACAGATGCTCAAAATATTTATTACGGTAACCGTGTTACAATGACTTCATTTCATTCATTTATTCATTCAATTCATTTTTTTTATTCATTTAATTCAAATTTTTTTTATTCATTCAATTCAAATTTTTTTTTATTTATAATTAAAAATTATATAATCGTATTTCTGGGTATGCTTACCTTTTCAAATTATCATCTGACCAAATTAGTTATGTCATATGCATATATAGTATGAAATTTGATAGTCACGGATCGGATCTGTCCACATCCCTTTGTCTCAAGTTTTACAGGATTTTTAAACCAGAGGCAAAGACATTGATTAAATATATATAAAGTTACCCCTGTCGTACGGTTCCCCTAAAACTAAAAAAAAAACTAGAGGTAATAAAGAGCTCCCTTTGTATTATCACATAATGTGATTAGTGATTCACATCAATCAATCAAATCAATCAAATCAATCAAATCAATCAAATCAAATCATCAAATGAAAATGACATTGAAATAAATGAAATTATTGATCATTTGTATTACATTACTTTAATGATTTCTTTTCAATAATAGAGCATTAGTGATTTAACACATTGGACTAATATAATTTGTCAATTAAAAAATCAAAATCAAAAATCAAAAATGGGTCTCTAATAAAAATAATAAAAAATAATAAAAATAATAATAATAATAAAAATAATAATAATAATTTTGAAAATTGGAGCTCTTTAATATATTATCTATATTTTCTTAAAGGACTTTCTTCACATCACAAAGATCAAAGAACCTTCTTATCTTCTCTTTAATCTTGAATTTAATGTTACACGAGCGATACCCTTCTATCAGCTGACCATTAGCTATAGATACAAACAAGTTTTTAAGTTTATACAGACACGTTATTAAAGTTATACAAAAAAAGAAACAAAATAATATCGAGTTTTACACTTTTTTTTTGTTATAACTTTGATTTCATTCTTACTATTACTATTACAATCAATCAAACAATAACAATTTAAAGAACTCTCAAACATACGTTATGTCAACCGAACAACAAACGACTTCTGACGAAAAAACTAGTACCGGAAATGAGCACATTAATCTAAAGGTGGTTGGAAATGTGAGTCTTATTTAAAAGAATATTTTCAAGTTGAAAGTTATGACAGCTTTATATTAAAAAATATTATAATATCAAAAGTGTAAATCGTGGAAGAAACTTTTGTCTTTTTTTTTAAAACAAAAAGATTATAATACCTGAAATCAATAAAATATATAGAGAGATATATTCATATATATTTTTAAGAAATATATATATATATATATATATATATATAACGCGTAATAATATGAATTGATTATATTATCAATCATTATTTTTTGTAAAGGATCATAACGAGATGTTTTTCAAAATCAAAAGACACACACAACTCAAAAAGCTAATGGATGCTTTTTGTGCAAGACAGGGAAAGTCTTTAGCTTCACTTCGATTTCTTTATGATGGTGAACGTGTACGTGAAAATCAGACTCCTCAAGAGGTAAATATAATTTTATACATATGTATTTTTTTTATGGATTAATTAATTTTTTTTTTTTTTTTAATAAATAAATTTATTTTATAAATTTTTTAATTTTAGTTGGATATGGAAGATGGGGATACTATCGACGTTATGGTTGAGCAAACAGGTATGATCTTTGATTTTAAAAAACATTTAACTTTTATTTTCCATTTATATTCACAAATTATTTTTACTTTTTCTAATTAAATTAAATTTAGGGGGGGGGCTACGTCTAAAGTTTCAAAATAAAAATCCAAAATACAAATTCAATAAAATGAATTATTTCAATTTTTATATATTTCAACTTTCTATTTTTTTACATATTAATCCACAATCATCTCGAAAAATTATATATTCACTTCTTTCCTCTTCCTCTCTTCTTCCTCTTAATGACTCAACAAACCTACCTCTCTATCTCTCTCTCACATGTTTTTTTCTTACAATTTACTTATATTTTACTGGACTTAAAAATAATAATAAGGGAGTGCACTAAATAAAGCGAACATTTTAATATCTGTGTACGACACTTTAATTTGAGAACTCAATCCATCTTTATTACAATTATTATTATTATTATTTAACAAGGAGTTGTACGCAATGATAAAAAAAAAACTTAAATTTCTATTCCTTTTTTTTTTTTTTTTTGCTTGGAAGTATATACATATATAAAGACGTTGACATATCCAAAAAAATTATTATTATAAGCGTAACGAATTTTCATGCTTTATTATTATTATTCTTTATTATTTTAAACAAGATTTTTCTGATTTTTCTTTGATTCTTTCATCCAATGTGTTTTCATATGTTATTTTTATTATTATTTAGAATTGTAGATATAATAATAATAAAGTACAAGTACAAAAAAAAATAATTTTTAAAATATTTCTTCTGTAAATCACTAATTTTTTGTAGCACGTTCCAAATTAAGAAAGTTATAGATTATCAAAAGTGATAAAAATCAGTTAGAGAATTCAATTTCTTTATCCACAAAAATAAATTCCTTTACATTACTATCTAAGATATATGCACAATTATTTGATAGAGCCTATCGAAGGCAAAACGTCATAATTGAAGTTAGACAAAAGCCATATATAATTCGAGCTCATTAAGTACGCGCATTTTCGATGTTTTGAAACTGCTTTAAAAAAATGAATGGTAAAAAAAAGAGTGGTATAATAATTCTTAAAAAAAATCTTTGTGAATATATTTCAAATTATCCTTCGGTAAATTTTCAAATTAATTGGTTTAACAAATTTAATAAGTTTGTGTTTATAATTTTTAAACTTAATACAAATTTAAAAAATTTAAAAATTTAATGTTTTACGTAGTTATATATACGTTGGAACATATGAAGGATTGAATATATTAAATCTCCTAGTCGCCGCTGATGAATTAAATCTTATGGAACCTTTTGAACCTATGCAAGACATTTCGTGCAATTGGGATAAAAAAATTTCTTGTATGTTCGGAATTTTTTTTAAAAAAAAACATTAAATTGGAATGTTCTATACTGAAAATCAACCAGAAATTTTATTATAGTCTCATGGATTTCCTCAACATCTAGTGAACTTCTTGAATTAACATTAAAGAACGAAAATTTAAAATGATATGAGTGAAACAGAAATTTAGGATCGTATTATTACCACCAGATTTACAAATTGATTTTTATTGTACAAAATTGGGATGAAAAAGATTTTGGAAACTTTAAAAGAATTCATTCCATTAATTCGATTTTTCTCAATTCTTTGGTGGATTATGGTAGATTATTATAATAAAGTAAAAAAAAAAAAAAAACTTCTTGAAAAAATTATTCCGGAATCAATTGTTTGTTATCATCTTTACATCAATTCTCCAATCTGAAAAAGGATTTTTACCTCCGAGAGAAATTGGAATTGATTTCACAACTTATTAATACTACATAATTAGCACAAATAATTAATTGGATAGGAAATAATTCAAATTATATTTATATATTTTTTCAGAGATACCATATAAAAATTTAAACTTAAGAGGTAGCATTGATGGATTTCAAAGATTATATGCGGATAAAAATATTACTTTAATAGTTATGGACATGCGAATGGCAGGAACATTAGATTTAATTGGTGGATATAATCCTTATTAATGGTTTACTTCTAGAATAACATGATTAGGGGACAAAGGATGTTTTTATAATCAATTTTAAAAATAGAATTGATAAAGAAAGTGTAATTCTAAATCGAGTTAAAACTGATAAAAAAATAAATAAATTTATTATAAGATAAGATTTGACGATGGAGATTTAATTTTGGAGGATAATTAAATAATATTTTGTCAACATGATTCTTATCAATTTCCTTTAATAGATTCAAAATCTGTTATAAAATTTTCTATTAAATTTCTATTTATCGAATTTGAAGTTTGAGTGATAAACACGTGTTATTATCAGTTATAGTAGTAGTTATAGTAATAGTTATAGTATTGATAGTAGTGATAACAGTGATAATAGTTATGGCAGTGATAATAGTAGTAGTTATGGCAGTGATTCGGGGCTAAATGATTTTAGGACAGTTTAGGAATTTAAAACAAAAAAGGTTAAATTGTCTGGGAAATATAGTTATAGGTAGTCTTGACTTGTACATATTGTGACAAAAAAAAAATAATAATAATAATTTAAACCGTAACAAATAAATAAATATTTTTTTATTGATAACTATAATAATAAATAAACATCCTTATTTGAAATCTAACAAATAATATATATTTACATAATAATAATTGTCAATTAAATAAATAATTTAAATTAATTAGAATAAATAGACAGATTGAGTTAATGGTAAAGATTTAATAGGATCACAGGAACAAAGAATTCCATCAGCTTTAACAACATAAGTTTCAGGATCAACTTCTATATTGGGTAAAGCATCATTTAATTTCATATCAGATTTTTTGATATTTCTACAATTAACCACAGGTTCAATCTTCTTTTTAAGTCCATAATTTTGAACTTTATTATTTTCAATTGAAGCTTTACTCACAAAAAGATAAGAATTTTTAGATGCAGCGCCACCATAAGCACCAAACATAGGTCTAGAAATAACAGGCTGAGTAGTGGGAATTGATGCATTTGCATCTCCCATCTGTGACCAAACAATTATACCGGATTTAATTATAATTTCAGGTTTTGTACCAAAGAAAGCTGGTGAATACATCACTAAATCTGCAACTTTTCCAACTTCAATTGATCCGATTAAATGACTTACACCATTAACAATTGCACTAAAACAAAATGAATAAATATAATTATTTAATATAATTTAAAATTTAATTAATATAATTGATAATTTATATAGTTAAAGAAATATAATTTAAATTTAATAATAATACTCACGGATTAATTGTATATTTAGCAACATAACGCTTAATTCTGAAATTGTCAACTAGTCCATCTTGGTCATTACCTAATCTTCCTCTTTGTAATTTCATTTTATGAGCTGTTTTCCAAGTTCTAAGAATTACTTCACCAATTCTACCCATAGCTTGTGAATCAGAACTAATAATACTGATTGCACCCATATCATGTAATACATCTTCTGCTGCAATAGTTTCAGCTCTAATTCTTGATTCTGCAAATGCAATATCTTCCGGAATATTCTTATCTAAATGATGACACACCATTAACATATCAATATGTTCATCAAGTGTATTATTTGTATAAGGACGCGTAGGATTTGTTGATGATGGAATAACATTAGGTTCTCCACAAACGCGAATAATGTCAGGTGCGTGACCACCACCCGCACCTTCTGAATGATATGCATGAATAGTACGATTTTTAAAGGCTGCAATAGAATCTTCGACAAATCCTGATTCGTTAAGAGTATCTGTATGAATGTTTACCTATATACAAAAGAATACTATTTTTTAATGAGATAATATAAATTATCAAAGGTATTTAATTAATTATATTTAAAATTACCTGAACATCTAATTCTTCAGCAACCTTTAAACATGTATCAATAGCTTTAGGAGTGGATCCCCAATCTTCATGTAATTTCAAACCCATAGCTCCACAATTAACTTGTTCTTGTAAAGCAGCTACATCTGATGAATTACCTTTACCAGTAAATCCAAAATTCATTGGCATATCGTCTGTGGAAGAAAACATCATTTCAAGATGGGTTTCTCCTGGTGTACATGTAGTTGCATTAGTTCCAGTATTGGGTCCTGTACCACCACCAATTAGAGTTGTAATTCCTGATGATAATGCCTAAATATATTTCATAAAATTATATATTTATATAAAATATATAAATATATTTATATATTTCCTCCAAATCATCAAAAAACCGTTTGAATATTCTTACCTCCGGAATAAGTTGAGGACAAATGAAATGAACGTGGCAGTCAATAGCACCGGCAGTAAAGATATTTCCTTCCCCAGCAAGAGCTTCAGTATTAGCTCCACAAACCATACCAGGTGTAACATCCATAATATCCGGATTACCAGCTTTACCAATTCCGATAATTTTTCCATCTTTAATACCAATATCTGCCTATAATTTAAAATAAATTAAATAGATTATTAAGATTATTAAGATTACTAGGATTGTTGAGTAAGGATTAAATTGTCACCAAAATATTAATCAGTTTACCTTGTATATACCACTCCAATCAAGAATTATCGCATTTGTAATAACTAAATCTAAAGCTTCTTTATTAATATCTGTATTTTGACCCATTCCTTCTCTCAAAACTTTACCACCACCAAATTTGCATTCATCCCCATAAAAGGTATAATCCTTTTCTATTTCTATCCATAAATCTGTATTTCCTAATCTTACTCGATCACCAACTGTAGGTCCATAAGTATCCGCATAAACTTCTCGTTTAATAGTATATGGTTTAACTCCCATGAAAGCTGAGAAATTTTCAATTTGAGGAGTATGTTTAAAACCTTGATTTCTTAATTTTTTAACTATATTCTCAACTTGTGAAGTATCAATAGGTCCACAAGCAAGATCGTTTCCTCCTGAAATAACTTTTTTACCACCAATTTGAATAAGGGAGACAGTTTTGATTTCCCCAGGTTCAAATCGAACTGCGGAACCAGCAGGAATGTCAAGTCTTTTACCATAAGAAAGTTTTCTATCAAATTCGAGTGCAGAATTCGTTTCAATAAAATGATAATGTGATCCAACCTTTTTATAATATAATCAATATAGTCAATATAACTCTAGTGTCAATAGAAATTTAAAAATAGAAAAAAAAAAAAACTTGTATTTTATAAAAACATACTTGAATAGGTCTATCTCCACAATTTTTTACTTTAAGGGATACTCGAGTACGTCCTTTATTCAAAGTAATTTTACCAGGTTTAACAATAATTGCACCTGGTGCAAATTCGGAAGGACTCCCTGTAGGAGGTGCGGGAAATTTGGATTGATCAGGAATTGGTAAAAAACTTCCATAAAGTGCCCATTCTAAATTTCCATTAAGAGAGGAAACTGGTTCATGAACGGTAACAAGATACGTTCCGTCGGGAAAAGTTCCTTCAACTTGAACTTCAGTTAATGTTTCAATAACATCTGTTTGAACATGACGTCTTCCAAGCATTTGTTTTCCCATGTTCATTAAATCTGAAACAGAATAAATTCCATCTCTCATAAATTCAATTAATTGTGAAGCGATAAGAGCCGCCGCTTCAGTATGATTCAGTTTTACACCACGTGCAAGACGTTTCTGAGCAAGGAACCCAACTTGGTGAAGAACAAGTTTATCAAGTTCGCGAGGTACTAAACGCATGGTTGTAAGAAATTAATTAACTTAATTTCAAGAATGCAAAAAAAAAAAAAAAAAAAAAATTGGGAAATGTAAAAGAATGAAAAACGCGTGAAACCTTGATATCATTTTTTTTTTTACGAATTTTATAGTTGAGAAAACTTTTTTTGTATTTCCCAAAGATAATTTAGATGTACAGTAGTACGATTGAAATCGTTGCTTGTTTTGAAAAAAAGTTTTATTAGTGATGAGGATAATCTGAAAATCTATCTTTATAAGGCTCCATTCCCTCGATGAGAATAATGCCTTTAACGAAAAATGTCTTCTCCAAAAGATGTTTGTCATTTCGAAGACCACATGTCTTCAAGCAATAAGGTTGACTCACATTTTCATGGAGAGCACTTACATTCACATGACCAACATGGGCATACTCATGAACAATTAGATAACCCTGGTAAATACACTGAAAGAGAAAAACCTTTATATGAAAGAAGAAATTGGAAAGAACGAGCTTTTACAGTAGGAATTGGCGGGTAAATAATTAAATTAAAGATTTTTATTTGAAATATTTATTATTTGATTTATTTTTGAGATATATATAAAAAAAAACAAAGGCCAGTAGGTTCAGGAAAAACGGCGCTAATGCTGGAATTATGTCGAGCACTTCGAGACCGTTACTCCATTGCAGCAGTTACCAATGATATATTTACTCGAGAAGATACGGAATTTCTTGTCCGTAATAAGGCGTTACCTGTAGAACGTATTCGAGCTATTGAAACTGGTGGATGCCCTCACGCTGCAATTAGAGAAGATATCTCAGCCAATTTAAATGCTTTGGAAGAACTTCACGCTAAATTTAACACCCAAATATTATTAGTAGAAAGTGGTGGTGACAATTTAGCTGGTAACTTTTAAATATATATATATTTTAATGATTTTAACTTATATGTTTTAACATTTCTTTTAACAACACGAGTTTTTTTTTTTTTTTTTAATATTATAGCAAATTATTCTCGTGAATTGGCCGATTATATAATTTACGGTAAATTTATTTTTTGTATTTAATATTGTTTTAATAGTTTTAAATTTTTCAAAAACTCAAAAACATCAAACAAATTATATATATTAGTAATTGATGTGGCGGGAGGTGATAAAATTCCTCGTAAAGGTGGACCGGGTATTACTCAATCTGATCTTTTAATTATTAACAAAACCGATCTCGCTGAAATTGTTGGTGCAGATTTAAATGTCATGGAAAGGGATGCACATAAAATGAGGTTTGTTTTATAATTCTAAATAAATATATATAGTTATTTATTTGTTTATTTACAAATTATTAAATTATTTCTATGTATTTATCATAGAGAAAATGGGCCAACCTTGTTTGCTCAAATAAAAAATGGCGTTGGGATTCAAGAAGTAGTTGAATTGATTTTAGGGGCATGGCGGTCATGCGCAGCCGAAGATGTTTAATCTTCTACTTAATATAGAAATAATAATATTATTTATTCAATCATTTAGATATTTTTTTTATAAAGAAAAAATAAAAAAAGAGTGAATTTCATAAGATGATTTGTCGTGTCTCTAAATTTAGTTAGTTCAAAAAATTAAAATATCACGTGGACGATCGTCATTTTTTTTTTTTAAATATATAGTGATTTAATGTAAATGTAGTGAACCCTTTAACTGTTAAGTATGTCATTTTTCTTAACAATTTGTTTTATTCTTTTAGTATAAAATGAATCTATCTTATGCACGTTGACCATCTACGTTTACAGAAAAGTATGTGCGAATCTTTATTACATTGATCGCGTAAAATTATTAAGAGATGTAAATTTTTTACTTTTACAGTAAAAAGTTTTCTCCTTCTAAAGATATATATATGTATATATATTTATTGACAAAATGATTGTAAAATATAAAAAAATTTATATTAAAAAAAAAAAAACAAAAAAAAACCAGTACCAGTACTAGCATAAAATAAAGAAATAAGAATTTAAAACCAAGTAAAGTGTGCTGATCGTATAAATGAATGTAAAAATTTTTCTAAAATTTTCTAATGCTCATAAATCAAATCTCTAATATTATTCTTGGTGGTTTCCAATAATTCATTTCCACCATATATAAGGGTATCTAAAACCCAACCAGCGCCTGTACCTAAAGCTCTAACCAAAGCAACAATACAAACGACTGCAAATACAACACCAAATAATACACCAAAAATTAAACCTAAAGTTCCACCTAAAACACTTAATGCAATTGGAGTACCAATACCACCAATTGCTGCTAACATTCCGAAAATTACTGGTCCAATAAATAATGAAATGAATGCAGCAAATATTAAAGTGCACAAATAAAGATAATGCCAAACTTGATGATCAGCTCGAAGTTCATGTGGATGAGAGATATAATATACAACTCCTTTACCGGGTCTACTGATATTATAATCAGAGGATTCATTTCTTGGTATCATTTCAGCCATTTTATTTTGATATTTGGTTCTATCATACAATAAGTTATCTGCGGAATTAGAAAAGAAAGAAAATCATAAATCTCTATTGAAATAATTGAAACGTTTGAATTGAAATAATTGAAATATACCTAGACCAGTATTTTCTGTCTTTGTGGTGGTGGTGGTAGTAGAAGAAGACATCTTTAAAATATGTGATATTTTTTTTTTTTATTTTGAAAAAATTAATTATTTTTTAGTTTTTCGGTGTGGTCTAAAATCTGGGGGAATAGGGTTAAGGATTATTTATATAGGGTTGAGGATTATTTATATATGGTAGCGAACTTATACTAATCCTATTGTGAACCGTGAATTCCTGTATGATGATATAGCTATCTTTGATCAGAAATAAGCTGCATAAAGATTTTTTTGATTTTTTTTGATTTGTTGAAAGTAGAACAAGAGTCTTGGGAGAAAAATCTTGTGAAAAATCTTTTTTGTGTATGATCTCCTTTATGCATTCAAATTTTTATAACTTTTCTCGTGAAGGCACATGCGACACATGCGAATTGAGTTGTCACAGGATTTTTTTGTTGCTGCATTGAATACAAAAAAAAAACCTGAAAAAAAACTGCAATTGGAAATATCTATTCATTTTATTTTCCCATTTTTAGATGCAAACTGCAAAATAATTATTTTTCACACAGACATGATTTCTGCTCCCCGCAATATTAAAAAAACAATTTATCTTTATTTATAACATACATTCTTGCCTATTTATACCATCTTTTCTTTTTTTAGTTTATAAAATAAATGATGCATATAACATAAATAAAACTTTAAAATAAATCAAAGTATTTTCCTATTGTAGATATTAAAAGAAGTCATGCAAAAATATGTAATAACAAAGGTTCAATTCAAAGTTTAAAAGATTACAACTATAAATGTTTCAAAATTCTGCAATTTTTATGCCTACATTTCCATTAACCAAAAAAAGAAATTATCATCATTTCATTATTTATGTAATTTATTTAAATAGATTAGTTTTTTAAACTACAAAGAAAATTTAATCTTAAATTTTATTAAATAAAAATAATAATGTTTTTTTTTTGAGAAAAAGGGAAAAAGGTTAAAACTAATTTTAAAAATTAGTTTAGAACTTGTTTGCATAAAATATGTACATACATTTAACAGAAACAGAAATAAAATAAAAATAAAATAAAATAAAATAAATTTACATATAACATAACATAATTTATTTTAGATTATATGTAATATATTACCATCTTTTACCTTCTTTTACTGTCTTCTACCATTTTTTGAATGGTAGAAACTTTCCTTCAAATGTAATTTTCACTCTTTCTTGATTTTCTCCAGTCTTTTTTATATATATATTGATAATTAAAGCAATCAAATGTCAATAATTTAAATAATAATAATTTAAATAATATAATAATATTATTTCATACCTTTTCAACATTAGTGGTAAAATCGATTGCCGACATAATACCATCTCCAAACTAAAACAAAAATCAATAAAAATAGTAATGAGATAAACATCTTGTATCAAGATTATGAAAGAAAATGAAAATATAATGACCTTCTCATTTATAACAGACTTTAAAGGATAACCGTAAACCTATAGAAAAAAATATTTCAGTAAAAGAATATTATTACGCGATAAAAAATAAAATTTCATCATTAATTCACCTGTAAAATTTCATAAAAACGATAAAGTAATGGGTCCGAAGGTGGTAAATCAAATAATCTAAATTATCATTAAATTTTTCATCAAAATTCATTTGTTAAATTATTTTGTCAAAAATTTTTAGTTTTGTTCTTTATATATATATATATATCTTCTTACCTTCCACGAGAAGGAAAATAAGTTTCATCATTAAAATCAGTTAAAAGATATTTTTCTGGTATATCTAATAATTCACTTAATTTTTTGAGATCAGATTCTTCGGGTTTAGCCTTTTATATAAATATAATATAAATATTTTTAATTCGCAAAAATTAATTAATAAAATTTTAAATTTAAATTAAATACTTGCAACAAATTAATATTAATTAATATTTTACCTGTCCATAAAAGACTGCAGCAACCCAGACTTCATTTCTACCAAGTTGGTTACCAATATCTGCAAATCTATTTGATTATTATTATTATTATTATTATTATTATTATCATCATCATCATCATTATCATTATTATAATTTATTTTATTTTATATTCTCTACATACGTAAGTTTCTTTGAAATTTTTGCTTCAAAAAGTTTTGTTGAAATAAAAGAAAGTTTGCTCTTCAATGTTGGCTTGAGTAAATTTGAATAAATTGAATAAATTGAATAAATGTGAATATTTAAAAATGATAAAATAGAAACTTACATCCATTCTTTTTTGAAAAGAGAGAAAATGATTTGAAATTTTATCTTCGTGTAACTGATTATAAATGTGGTGCTACGTCTTATTCAGTAAAATGTCGGCATATCAGATAATCTGTTACACAAACTTTGCTTATAAGAACGTAATAAAATTATAATAATAATAAAATTAGAAGAGAAAAGTAAAATAAGTTTTCGCAGGGTGGAGATAGGGCTCATGAGTTTTTAATCATTTTCATTGGGCTTTGAGGTCAGGTGACACTTGTTTATTAAGAGTTTAGGCGAATGTTCTAAACACTTACATATTTAGAGTAGAAATAAATTTCTTACCCAAACATTGATCTTCAATGTGATTGGATAAAATGATAAAAATGCCCATTCCGAAAATTAGGAAAAGTTGCGTTTTATAAAAATAGATAATCATAAGATTTATATCATTTCATTGTTCTTATTTCGTCATCATTAGCATCTTTCTATAAAATATAGATATTGTAATTTCTTGTTTGATTAAGGAAAGAATATTTTTATCATTACTATTATTATCACAGTTATCACAGGGTATTTATGATTTCTCCCCTGAGTTTCGATATCCAATAACAACACAACATAGATTTATAATGTCTATATTACACCGTGAGAAAATTCCAAATAAAGAAAATAAAGAATATTAATTTACAATGGAAGGTAATTCGTTTGTTGATGGTTTGTTAGTACGTTTGCTTTTTTTATTTTTTATTTTTTGAAATGAATTTCTTACGAAGAAGTAATAGTTCTTATTCTCTATTTCATTCCACTTCATTACTAATTGGTCCTTTTCGAAATTTCATTCGAATTCAAGCTTTAAATAAAACATTATCATCATCGAAGTTAGCAATAAAAACAAATAAAGATTTTTCAAAATTGCGTAATAATAATAATAATAATAATAATAATTACAATAAAATATATAACATAAAAAATAATAAAATAAATAATAAAATAAATAATAAAATAAATAATGATACAATAAAAAATAAGAATAAAAGTTCATCAAAAGATTCTGAACATCATGCCGTCGTTAGTACATTCGATCTTTTTAGTATAGGTATAGGTCCATCATCAAGGTATGTTTATTTTAAGGGAATTATTATTAATCTCGTACATTAACTTTGATAATTTTTCTGATTTTTTTCTTCTTTTTAGCCATACGGTTGGTCCAATGCGAGCGGCCAAGATTTTTATAACAGATTTAAAGAATCATAAAGTTTTTGATGAGGAAATTTTTAAATTATAAATTAATTAGTCTTTATTTTTTCTTTTTTTTTTATTTCTTGATTTTAAAATTTGACAGTTATCCATATGTAATTTTTTATTATAGGTTACGAGAATAAGAATCGATCTTTACGGTTCACTCGCTTTAACCGGAAAAGGTCACGGGACGCCCAATGCTATTATAATGGGAATGGAAAATGAATCACCTGAAAGTATTGATACAACTACAATAGCTATGAGGATATCGAAAATACAAGAAACTGGTAATAATTCTTATTTCTTAATATTAATAATTTTTAAATATTTTTTGTTAATATTTTTAATCTTTTTGTTATAGAAATTCTTAATTTGGGTGGAACAAAACCAATTCAATTTAATACCGAAAATTGTTTAATATTTCATTATAATGAATCACTTCCTCAACACCCAAATGGTATGAGATTTTTGGCATTTGATAAACACGGTGATTTATTAGTTTCCGGTGAATTCTTTTCAATTGGTGGAGGTTTTGTGATAAATGAAACAACAGTTCAAAAACATGGAGATAATGCTTTTTACAAAAATTATAATAAGTTATCAGTTGATTTACGTGTAAAAAATCAAGATGAAGCTGTTACATTTGCCGCATTACCATTTCGTAACGCTGAAGAATTATTACAAGTTTGTAAAAAAGAAAATATTTCAATAGCTCAAGTGGTTTATCGAAATGAACTTCATTGGCGAAATAAATTTGAAATTAATAAGAAATTAATGGATATTTGGAAAACAATGGATCAAAGTATAAAAAATGGATGTTTTAGTAATGAAGAATATTTACCAGGAAATTTAAAAATACGAAGAAGAGCTCCCGATTTATTTAAAAATTTATTAAATGAAACGAATTATTTATCAAATAGAAATAAAAGTAATCAAAGTGAAAAAGAAATAATTGGAGAAACATTAAAATTTCTTCCTCAAAAAAAGAAAATTAGTTTACCTGCACTAGATTTTCTTTCATTATATGCAATTGCAGTTAATGAAGAAAATGCAGCAGGTGGACGTGTAGTCACTGCTCCTACGAATGGTGCAGCAGGTGTTATTCCTGCTGTACTTAAATATTATTTAGAATTTATTTCGAATAATTATAGTATTGATATTATGGAATTTTTATTTACTAGTGCAGCAATCGGTATGCTTTACAAGAGAGGTGCAAGTATAAGTGCAGCAGAGATGGGATGTCAAGGTGAAGTTGGTGTTGGTTAGTAAAAATTTATTTTTATTTAATATTATTTTTTAATATAATTTTTAATATAATTTTTAATATTATTCTGTATAAATGAAATTATAACGAAAATAATAATCCTTTAAAATTTATAATTCTTTAGCATGTAGCATGAGTGCAGCAGGATTAGCGGCAGTGATGGTATATATTAAAAAAAATACATTAATCTGAATTATTCTATACAAAGAAAACAAAAAAACTTAAAAAACTTTTAAAAATTAGGGAGGAACACCAGAACAAGTGGAAAACGCGGCAGAAATAGGAATGGAACATAATTTAGGTTTAACTTGTGATCCAATTGATGGTTTAGTGCAAATACCATGCGTAGAACGTAATGCGTTAGGAGCTGTAAAAGCTGTTACTGCTGCTCAATTAGCATTGAATGGTGATGGATATCATAGAGTAACTTTAGATCAAGTAATAGAAACCATGCGTCAAACTGGTCTTGATATGAAAAATAAATATAAAGAAACTAGTTTAGGTGGACTTGCTGTTAATGTTCCCGTTTGTTAAAAATTATTTCCCTCTTCTACATTCTTGAAATATTAGATATTAGATATTTTCATAGAAAATCATCATAATTAATAGAATAGAATTTTGAATTATTATAATAAAGATTTTTTTAGATAAATCTGTTGTGTTGTATATAAGTGCTCATGATTACCTTTTCAGAAAAAAGAGCAACCTTCCTTTTCCTTCAAAGTTTTGTATGTGTAATGAAGAACGATATATATATATTTAAATTTAATTTACGCCATACATGAAATTTTCGTATTTTGCTTATTCTTTATTATTTACAAAAAAAATGGCATTGAAATTTTTTTGATAAATTATCTCAAAATTTTACGGAACTTCTTACTGACAAAGATGATTACAATGTAATTATCGAAGTCGGAGATAAGAAAAATTTTACTGCGCACTCCAATGTACTTAAATGTCGGGCACCTTACTTTCGTAAAGAATTGAAAAATATTAATCCAAATGAAAATAATGTCAAGACAATTATTAAACCAAATATTTCTGCTCAAATTTTTGATATTATTCTTAAGTATGTTATAATTATTTAAAATTAAAAATAATGTTATGATTTGATTTAACTAATGAATTTAATTATTTCAATTTATTTATTTATATTTATGGTGGTATGTTAATTTAGAGAATATTGAAACAAGAATTATTTTTGACTTGATGTTAGCGGCTAACGAATTTGAGATTGAAGAATTATCCAAGAAACTAGAAATTATTCTTATTGAAGATAAAGCTTCTTGGTTAAAATCTCACTTTTCTCTTATATATCGTACAATTTTTATTAATAATTACTTTAAAGATTTAGAAAATTTTCGCAATGACATTGTTGCTAAATATCCTAGTCTTATTTTTGATGCTGAAGATTTTACATCTCTCCACGAATCTACTTTGGTATCTCTTCTTAAACGAGATGATTTGCAAATGGAAGAGATTAAATCTGGGAATATACCATTAAGTGGGGAACCCTAATTTGCCTAACAACCTTGAGGAATGGACCAAGAAAAATTTTTTAACTTTACAAACTACTCTACAACAATGCTTACCACATATCAGATATTTCCATCTATCTAGTGCGGACCAACCAGAAAATCAATTATTTTACCAGCAAGAACAGTTTTAGTTCCTGAATTACCTATTCGAGTAAAAGAACCTTTTTCAACGATTATTTCTGATGAACATGTTGCAGAAATTTCATCGTAAAATTACTACTTATCCTTCAACAAATTATCCATATGAATTTCAGTTAATTTTTACGAGGAAGCAAAGATAGATTTGCCCCACAAACGTTTTGGAACATGTGCCATGGTCACTCTGGTACGGTAGTTATTATAAAAGTCAAAAGAACTGATGAAATTATTGGAGGTTATAATCCTTTAAGAATACTTCTGGTGTTCATAAGGGAACAAATGATAGTTTCATTTTCTCATTGAAAAATGGTAATGTTCAAAATTCAATTCTTAGTAGAGTAAAGCAACCTCAATATGCATTATGGTATTGTGGAAACGTTTTTCAAAACTCTTATTGCTTTGATTTTGGATCAAGTAATCTTTTTATGTGCAGTAATCAATCTAATTTTGCTATAGATAACATATCTCAGTCTAATAATAATAATAATTATGAAAAACCCATTAGAACAGATGTAAATTTTTCAATTATTGATTATGAAGTTTTCAAAGTCAATAGAAAAACTGCATAGGAAATTTAATTTTTAAGAAAATGTTTATTCCTCTATTCTTTATATATTCTTTAAAACTTATATTAGTTCTTTCACAAATAATTACACTTTAAAATGATATTAATTCCATTATATTTTTAATTAAAAATTTTTTGATTAACTTTAGAAAAATGAAATTGGTTTACATTAGTTATAAAATATCAGTCTTAGTTACAGAAATTACGTCTTGCAAAGGAAATCTTTTTTCAACTATTATTTCTGAAGAGCAATTTTTACGGTCATTATATACCAAACCAAGAAAACAAATGAAAATTTTTATTTATTGCTCAAAATAAATAAATAAAAATTTTCTTCACATATTAATGGATTTTTTATTTATTTAGAATCGAAAGTACTATTTCGCATTGATTTCTTCTTATGATTAAGTGATTACTAAAAAAAAGTTATAGAATTGGTTTTTAATATTTAATTTCATTATTTTTTATGAAATGATACGTGCTACATATAATAAAAAATCTCGGAACTCGAAATATTATTGACGGAATAAGTTACACAAGATTTTAAAAATCTCTTCTTTTCCCCCGTAAAAAATTTTAATGATAAAAAATTGTTTTAACACATTATACTACTTTAAAAGTTCTTATCATTTTCGTAGCATTTTATGTAATGCAAACATATACAGAACGATAATAAATGAAAGATGTATTTTAAAATGTCAAAGACTTTACTCATCATCATCTGATGGTATGTAATTTATATATTTTTTTTATATAAAATTACCGAATAAACTAGTTAAAAGGTTTTAAAAAGTTCTTCTAATTATTAATAGATTCGATAACAAAAACAAGAAACATTGGAATTATAGCACACATCGATGCTGGTATTTCATTAAAATTTGCTAATTTTTTTTTCGAAAATTTAATCATTTAAAATTATAATTTATTATCATGTAGGGAAGACAACAACTACAGAAAGAATGTTGCATTATGCTGGATTTACAAGAAGAATAGGTGGTAGGTAATTAATTCAGTAATTTATTTTATTGAATCATTTTTTTCATTTTCAGTTCATTCTTCTATTTCTTCTTCACCTCTTTCCTCTTCACCTTTTTCACCTTTTTCACCTTTTCACCTTTTTCACCTTCACTTACATACAATTAAAGATGTGGATGATGGAGACACGGTAATGGATTACATGAAACAAGAACGTGAAAGAGGAATCACTATAACTTCAGCTGCAATTACATTTGGTTGGAAAGATCATCGTATAAACTTAATAGATACACCAGGTCATGTAGATTTTACAATTGAGGTTGAACGCAGTATACGTGTACTTGATGGGGCAGTTACAATATTAGATGCAGTTTCAGGAGTTGAAGCTCAAACTCAAACAGTTTGGGATCAAGCTGATCGTTACGAAATACCCAGAATTGCTTATGTCAATAAAATGGATAGAACAGGTGCAGGATTTGGAAGAACAGTCAATGAGATGAGATATAAACTTGGTACTATGCCATTAGTTTGTCAAATACCTATAATGAAAAAAGATAATAAAGGAAACACCGTATTTTCTGGAGTAGTTGATTTTCTTAATATGGAAGTATTAGATTGGGGTAAAGATCCTAATGGTTCTATTATTAATAAGACACCATTATCAGATAAATATCCAATGTCAGGCTTATTTGAAGAAACATTAAAAGGAAGAGCAAGTTTAATAGAATCTCTATCAGATTTAGATAGTGAAATGTTAGATACATTTTTAGAGTTAGAAGATCCTATGAAAATCACTGCCGAAACTATTAAAAACACATTAAGAAGAGTTGTTTTAAAAGGACAAGCAGTTCCCGTGTTTTGTGGTGCTTCTTTTCGCAATATTGGTGTACAACCTTTAATGGATGCAATAATTGACTATTTACCTTCTCCTTTAGATCGACCTGCACCTATGGCTAGTTTATCAAATAACGAGTCAGTGAAAATTGATCTAAAAGAGAATAATAAGTTATGTGCCCTTGCTTTTAAAGTCATTTATGATTCTAAACGTGGATTAATGGTTTTTGTTCGGGTATATTCAGGTAGAATTGATAATCGAATGGTATTATTTAATACTAAAACTCAATGCAAAGAACGGGTAAATAAATTGGTACAAATGTATGCAGACGATTTTGAAGAAATTCCATCAATCACAGCTGGAAATATTTGTGCTATAGTGGGACTTAAAAACACTAGAACAGGTGATACTCTTATTCGATTTGACGACACAAGAAAAAATCTTAAATTGCAAAGTATAGAAATTCCTGCACCAGTGTTTTTTCAAGCTGTTGAAGCTGCTGGTATATCTGATGAAAAACCTTTAGATGATGCACTCAAGAATGTATTAAGAGAAGATCCTTCTCTTCACGTTTATGTTGATCCGGATTCTGGACAAAATTTAATTAGCGGTATGGGGGAACTTCATTTGGAAATTGTAAAAGATCGTTTATTAAATGATTTTAGAGTCAATGCAAAACTAGGAAAAATGCGTATATCATATAGAGAGACAGCTACTGTGGAAAAAACAGATCATACTTATCTATATGATCGAGAAGTAATGGGAAAAAGAGTTAAAGCGCAAGTTTCTTTAACTATTTCCCCTCTTCCTGAGAATGATCTTGGATTATCAGAAGAAGGAGGAAATAGAATAATACTTGAACAAATGATTATAACCGATGATTCCATAGATATTAAAGAACAACAGGAAAATGTTTCCTTGTTATTACCAAAGACGGAAATTGAAAATGCGTTACGTTCAGGACTAATGACAGGTTTGTACAGAGGTCCAATTCTTGGATTTCCAATAACAAAACTATTGATTAAAGTGAATTCAATAAAATTATTTGGTGCCGAATCAACAAAAGCGGCGATTAGTTCATGTGTATCACAAGCTCTGGTAGATGCAGTCAAAAAAGGAAATCCAGCATTACTTGAACCATTAATGAAGGTAGATATTGAATTGACAGAGGAATATTTGGGAGATGTTCTTGGCGATTTAACAGGAACTCGTCGAGGAATGATTTTAGGATTAGATGCAGCTAAAAGTACATTTGACAAAATTGATCAAAATATTAATGTTTACGCTCCTCCAGATCCTACATATATTTCATCCAGTGAACGTAGTGAACATACAGTATTAAAATCGAAAAAAGTGATACATGCACATGTTCCATTATCAACTATGTTGGGATATTCTTCTGCTTTAAGATCTTTAACTGGTGGAACTGCATCTTTTGATATGAGAGTGCATTCAATTGGATTGATGAGTGATGATCAAGCTAAAAATGTGATTCGAGAAATGCAAGGTGGATACTGAAAATATCCTCATTCTGGAATTGAATAGATTAATTTTAAATTTTATTTAAAAAAAAAAAAAAATTATATCTTAAATATGCATCTCTAACAAAATTTTATTGTAAAATATATGTAATTCACAAAAAAAAAATTACCCAGTTAGAAAATAAAATAGTACTATTTGTTTAAGTGTGTAAAATTTATGATAAAAAGTTTTCATATATCAAATATATATATAATATGTACCCTTATCACGATTACTTTTATCTAGAAATTTATTGTTGCGAAAAACAAATGTTTCAACACCAACTCTAAGATGTAAATTGTTCGTTAAAGTGAACTTACAAGAAATCGTATAACTGAACTTGATATACATTAAAATAATTTGATAAATAAATATAAAATTAAGTATAAAATCTAAAGTCTATTTAAGGTAATGCAATTTTATCGTTCCCATAAATTAACAACATTTTTTAATTTTGAATTATCCTTTTTATATAATTTATCTCTTTCATGACGGATTAATCTTGTAAAACTACTTGATACCCTCGCACAACCTTTCGGTCCACTTATAAAATAATCTGCATTTATACAAAGTAATTTATCAAGAATTCCATGTATTCCGGATCCCTTAAATTCTTCTTCATATTCCGAATTATTTTGATATTTTTGGAATCTTTTTAGAGAGACCCAAGTGTGGGATATTGTTTTGTCATCGTTTATAAAATTCTCTTTTGTTTCTTTTGTATCATCTTCCACCAAATCTTCTAATCCTTCAGCATCAATACCAGTTTCGATATTATTATCAACATTATCGATATTGTTAGAACTTTTACCATCAAATATTGGTACTCCAAGTATATTCATAGCTTTAGTGTGAAAATTAGAAACTACATAGAATGTTTCTGATTGAGCTTTTCCACCAAGTAAAGGATAATCAGTTGCTAAATAAATATTTTTAATTCCGTATGATTTTTTAACTCTTAATAATGTCTTCAATAAATGTTTAGCACATCGAGGCATATTTTCAGGAGTTGCTTGTTCCATACGCCAATGAATTGCTATATAAGGTCTTAATTTATCAATTATTTCTTGTGATTGTTGATAAATATATGGTGAATAAGGAATTGGTTTATGAATTATTGGAAGCATTTCTCGAGGTGACCTATTTAATACCATTATTACTTCATATTTCGTTGTTTCTGATAAAACTTTGGTCAAAAAGTTAAACATTTTTTCATGAAAATCAGGTGGTTTAGAAATTCCGGTATGAAATTCTTTATAATCAGTAATATTTAAATCAAATTGATTTAAACAAACTTTCCTTTTTCTAATAGAACCAAATTTAATTCCTTGTTCTACTGCCATATTTCGATGTTCTCTTACGGACAAAGAATCATTTCTTCCATCTTGAATCATCCATGCATGTTGCGTGTTAGGTTTAGTTTTTCTTTGTTTAGTCCATTTTAAGAATTCTGGTTGTGTTATAAATTTTATGTCGGGATATTGCCTCTTTAATTTTTCAATATCATAATAAAAATCGAAGTGAAATGGTGAACATGCACGAATTCGTGAATGACCAACATTTGGTAATACCATAATGCGATTAAGGGATCGTGCAAGATGAGTATAAATACGTAAATGAATATTTGCTCGAGTTTCTTGTTCAGGTTGCTAAATAATTAAGAAATAAAAAAAAAATATATATAAACAAAAATAAATATTAACAAAATTATAAATATTTTTAAACGACAAGACGATAAGAAATAAAATTAAAAATTAAAAATTTACAAAATATGTGAATAAGAATTTGCAAATTTTTTCTCCACAATATTTTATATTTATCTTTTCATCTTCAGTGAGAGGAGGTGGTTCGTCAATTTGATCCTCTGGTTTAATAAATTCATTATCTTCATCTTCTTCTTCGTTTGTTGGCAAGTCATTAGAAACTTCATTATTTTGATCATTTTTATCTTCGTTATTACCATTTTCAATAATTACTTCATTTATTTCATTTGTTACTTCATTTTCTTCACCAATTTCTTGCATTCCGTCTGCCTTCGTCTAGAAAAAAAAATAATAATAGTAAAATAAATATATAATATGAGCGAAGTTCTAAAATTCAATATCAGATATCGTGAATGTAATTTAATTATTTAAAAACTTACCATTTCATCCGACTTGAATTTATCATAAGGTTCTCCTTTTTCAGTAACTTCATTAACTTTGTTAACTTCATCACTCAAATCATCTGTATTGAGAATAAAAATCATAGAATTCCATAATATATAAATTATTATGATTGTTATTGCAAGTTTCTTTGAAAAATTAAATGAATGTCGAGTTTGTATGCTACGATTTAATAGCATTTTTTAAAGAAAAATCAAAAAAAAAAATAATAAATAAAATTTATTGAAAAAAAACTCTATTTATATTTAATGTGTTTCGCATCTAAATTTGTGCTATGAATATCAAAACCAAAATAGGAATTTAATCTGAATTAAATTTTTTTTTTCAGTATCTTAAAGATATAAATAAAAATAGTAGTATTATTCTATTACACGATTACTGAATTAAAAATAAGTAAAACCCAACTTAGAGAATAAAATACAATATTGTATAATTAATACTGGCAACAAACTCTTTCTAAAAGATCTAACATCACATCTTGATAATATGATCAATTGTGAATGTGAATAAAGTAAAATAAATACAATTTCCTAGTAATCTTCCCATTATCGTAGAATTCATAGAATTTATAGACTTATGAAATAAATATCCTAAACAATAGATTGTGCAAAACAATATTGAGATTTTTTTATCGCACATATTTACTAACAAAAGAAACACAAGTTACAGGATTTTAATATATGATTTTCCTAATATGGATAATTTGAATGAATAACAGGTCAGAAATCTGTCACACTGAAAATTTGAATAAATTGAATTGAATAAATTATTGTAAGAGAAAAAAGAAAAAAGTTATCACAAAATTTTATTGAATTTCTTAATGATAAAGATGATTACGATATAATTATTGAGGTCAAAAATAAGGAAAAAACTTTTATGGCACATTCCCATGTCGTTCACCATATTTTCGTAGAGAATTAAAAAATATTCACCCGAACGAAAACAATATCATGATGATTAACAAGTCAAGTGTATCTGCTCAAATTTTTGATGTTATTCTTCAGTAAGTGTAGAAATTTACTTTAAATATTATCATTTAATAAATTATTTTATAAATTTATTTACTATTATATTATTTATTTGTTTTATGTAGATATATTTATGGAGGAATTGTTAATTTAAAAAATATTAAATCTAGATTTATTTTTGATTTAATATCAATTGCAAATGAATTTGAATTTGAGGAATTGAACTAACAATTAGAAATTCATCATATTTAAAACTAAGGGCTCCTGATTGAAAACACATTTTTCCTTTATTTATCATTCCATCTTTAGTAATACTAACTTTAAAAAGTTGGAAAAATTTTGTAATGATATTATTGCAAAATACCCAAACCTTATTTTTGATGCAGATGATTTTATATCTCTTCAAGAATCAGCATTAGTGTCTCTTCTCAACGAGATTATTTGCAAATGAAAGAAGTCTTAGATGCAATTAAACTCTATAAAAAAATTCTTGATAAACAACTTTGGGAAGACATCAATCAGCATTTGTTAGATCCTGATCGACCAGTAAGATCAATTATTTTACCAGCAAGAATAACTTTAGTTACAGAATTACCCCCTCGTACAAAAGAACCTTTTTCAGCTATCATTTCTGAAGAACATGCATCAGAAATTTCTAGTTGGATTGACCGTAAAACAACTGCATATTCTTACGAATTTCAAGAGGAACTAGAGATGGATTTGCACCCCAAATGTTTTGGAATATGTGCTGGTACAATGGTAACAGTGAAAGTCAAAGGAACTGATGAAATTATTGGAGGTTATAATCCTTTATTGTGAAATAATACTACTAATGGTGTTAATCGGGAAGCAAAAGATAGTTTTATTTTTTCACTAAAAAATGGCAATATCCAAAATTCAATTATCAGCAGAGTAAAAAATTTTAAAAAAGCAGTATATAATGGAAATAAAAATGATCAAAGAAATTTTGGTCCACATTTAGGAGATTTTTATTTGTATAATAGCTTCAAATCTAATTTCACTTTAGATAATGAATGTTAGTGTAGATGTTATAATTATAGATATTATGAAAAAATTTTCAAATTGTCAAATTACGAAGTATTTAAGGTTGCAAAGAAAATTATTTAGGAAATAATAATAGATATCTTATTTTTATTGTTATCAAATATGTATTTACATGTACTAGTGTTTATTAAATAAACTTATAATAATAAATATCTAAAACTTATTCATATTTTTAATATAAAGTGTCTACACTTAAATAAGTTATTTATGTTAATAGTGCCTCTTCCCAGACCAAAAAATGAAAATGAAAAGTGGATGGATAAAAATATCAATACAATATTAAAAGCATTTATTTCAATATATCATAATATGCAATGTTGATATTAAGTCAAATTATATGTATTATAATTACAAAATTATTGAATTTTAATAAATAAGTATGTACAAGAAATAAATTCAAAAAAATCCAATATTTATTCTTTACGTGGCGTGGTTATTGTTGAATTTATTTTAAAGTTTGTATTGATTACAAAATAATTATTATTTAATTACTTATAAGTTAAATGATATATTGAAATAAATTTTTTTTAAAGATTGATATTTTTTACGATGAAGAAAAAGAAAACAAAATTATCTATTATTTTTTACTTGTTTTTCTGTTATATGAAAATTACTGAATAGTGCAAATTATATTATTTCATAATGATCTATAAAATTCCAATAAATAATTTGATAATTTATTTAAGTACGTGTAGTTTTAAATATTTGACTGGAGTAAAATACATATATATATATATTATAAAATTCAATAATAATAAAAATAAAAATATCTATTATTATTTTCCTAAATAATTTTCTTTACAACCTTAAATACTTCGTAATTGACAATTGAAAATTTTCCTCTTATAGGTTTTTCATAATATCCGTAATTATTATGATTACACCAAAAATCATTACCTAAAGTGAAATTAGATTTGGAGCTAGACATAAAAATCTCCTCCAAAATGTGGACCATATTCTCCTTGATTATTTTTATTTCTATTATAAACTGCATTTTTAAAATTTTTTACTCTGCTAAGAATTGAATTTTGAATACGGCCGTTTTTTAATGAGAAAATAAAACTATCTTTTGTTTCACAATAACTACCAGTAGTAGCGTTATCCCATATTAAAGGATTATAACCTCCAATAATTTCATCAGTTTTTTTGACTTTCACTATTATCACTGTGCCTGTATAACCATGGCACATATTCCAAAACGTTTAAGGTGCAAATCCTTCTCTAGTTCCTCGTAAAATTAATTGAAATTTGTAAGGATTATTTGTTTAAGAATATGCAGTTGTTTTACGGTCAATCCAACTAGAAATTTCTGATGCATGTTCTTCAGAAATGATAGCTGAAAAGGTTCTTTTGTATGAGGGGATAATTCTGTAACTAAAGTTATTCTTGCTAGTAAAATAATTGATCTTACTGGTCGATCAGGATCTAAAAAACGCTCATTGATATCTTCCCAAAGTTGTTTATCAAGAATTTTTTATAGGGTTTAATTGAATTTAAGACTTCATTACCTGAAAGATGAAAGCGAACATGTGGTAGGCATTGTTGTAAAGTGGTTTTAGTGTAAGATAATTTTCCTTGGTCCATTCTTCAAGGTTAACAGGAAGAGTAGGATTCTGAGGAATTTCCCACTTGATAACATAATCCCAAATTTTAACTTCTCTCATTTGCAAATCATCTCGTTTGAGAAGAGACACTAATGCTGATTCTTGAAGAGATACAAAATTATCTGCATCAAAAATAAGGTTAGGTAATTGGAAACAATATCATTATAGAAATTTTCCAACTTTTTATAATTAGTATTACTAAAGATAGAATGATAAATAAGGGAAAAATGTGTTTTCAATCAGGAGCCCTTAGTTTCAATAAGATGAATTTCTAATTTGTTTGTCAATTCCTCAAATTCAAACTCATTTACAATTAACATTAAATAAAAAATAAATCTAGATTCAATATTTTTTAAATTAACAATCTCTCCATAAGTATATCTAAATAAAATAAACAAAAATAAATAATAATTAACAAATAAATTTATAAATAATTTATAAAATGATAATATTTAAAGTAAATTTCTATACTCACTGAAGAATGACAAAAATTTGAGCAGATACACTTGACTTGTTAATCATCATGATATTGTTTTCGTTCGGGTGAATACTTTCTAATTCTCTACGAAAATATGGTGAGCGAAATTTAAAGACATGGGAATGTGCCGTAAAAGCTTTTTCTTTATTTCGACTTCAATGGTTACATTGCAATCATCTTTATCATTAAGAAGTTCGAGATCCAAATATTGATTAGGCAATTGTTAGTGTGACAAAAATATTAGATATCTGTTACACGATTGAATAAAATTATTCCTATAGGTTCAGATCTACAAAGTACATTACGTACATCATATGTCAAATTACGTTGGTAATAATGAAAGTAAATGAACTGATGAAATTATTGGAAGTTACAATCCTTTAATGTGGGATAATATTACTACTTTTTATGCTTGCGGTAAAAGATAGTTTTATTTTCTCATTAAAAAATATAATTCAATTCTTGCCCAATACGCAGTAGTTAATCACTGAAGAACATTATCATACTTTTCAATTATCAAATATGAAGTATTTAAGGTTGTTAAGAAAACTATTTAGGATTCATATTCATTTAAATTTTTTTTTTTTAGAATTCTCATAATTCTTTAATGGTAAATTACTTATATGAATTAAATTTTTATTAAATTTCTTTTTTCTTATTAATACGGAAATTTATAAATACTAAAAAGCATTTGAAGAACCATAAAATAAATTTTATTTCTAAAGATCTATCAAAATATGATACAAGAATAATAGTAATAATAAAGACATAATAATAATATGGCAATACAATATTAATATAATTTTTAAAAAAAGGAATATTTATACAAGATATCGATAAAATATAAATCTGGCCGTAATATGTGAAGGATATACAGTCAACTCTGGATATAACGAACTTATTAGTTCTATTAGTAAAAAAAATTGTCCTAAAACTCTTATTTAAATTTACTATTTTATAATTAAATTTATAATACATTATTTGTAAAATTTAGAATTCTTTATATCCAAAGATTAATTACCGAAAATAAAAAAAAAATGATTTTTGAATTTTTACAAGGAAAATTTTTGAAGTATTAAATCATAACATTAGAAATTAATAAGAATAAATAATAAATATAGAATAATAATAAATATAATAATAAATAATAAATAATAATAAAATTAATTTTTCAAATTATTCTTCAAGTTATTCTACCGATTTCTCGGAAATTATGCTGTTATAAAGAAAAATTTTATGTTAAAAATTTATATTAAATTATTAAATTTAAATTAAAATGAATAATTACAATAATTACCTAGCATTATCTTTATAATCATTTAAAAGATACAATAAATGTTAAATTTAAAAAATCGTTAATTTTTTTTTTTTTAAAAAAAAAATATCATTTAAAAAAATATAAATTTACCTTCTTGTTTTGCCAAGCTTCTGCAATTAGAAGAACAATATTTTGAATATCCAGTAAAATTCTTTTTGCATGGTCTTTGTTCACAATGTTGACACGTGGGTATTGGTTTTTGCGATTTATTTCTAAGAGAACCACTAAGTCTACCAGATAATTTTATCGATTTTTTACTTAGAGTATCATTAGTTGCTGATGATGATTTTGTAGGTGAGGTTTGTTCTTTACCGGGAATACTTGGTAAAGGTTTTGTAACATTATACATACTACTTCTCCGACTTACATTTGTAGATCCAATCGTATGTACAGATGGTGCCATATTTGAAGTCGTACTTGCTAGTGACCTAAGTGATTCTTGACTCATTTTTTTAGAATATCTATTATATAAAGAAGTTCTACGATTATTATTTTGATCTTCGTAATATTGTCCAGAAATAATATTATATTGTGTTGGAACGGGAGAAACTTGCCGAGAAACAAAAATTCCTGAATCTTCATAAGATTTATCATTATAAAGTGACGCTCTTTTTGATATTGGTTGAGTGATATACATAGATTGCCGTGGGGAATTAGTCGCAACAGTAGTAGTTTCCTCAAGTGATCGTCTTACTTTAGAAGATGAATCCACTTGTGATGATTCAGTATAAACGTAAGTTGAATGTCTTGAATATATAACTCTTTTTGCTAAGGGAATTTTGCTTGTTCCTCTTTGTTGTAGTTCTTCATGCTGCTGCTGTTGTTGTTCTTGTTGTGGTTTCTGTGGTTGTCTTACGCTCTTTTTTCGAATAATTTCAATTTCAATATCTTGATTTGACTCAACATCTCGTTGACAATTTAAATTATTATTTCCTTCTTTTAATTGCTCATTTTGTGAAATCAATAATGCCATTTGATTTTTCAATTCATCTCTTTCATTCATAATGCTATCATAATCTTGCAACTTTTTCAACTCACGTTCTCGTAAATGATTATTTTCATCACGATTTAGTGACATTTGTTCTAATTCTGTTTGCAATTGTTTTATTTGAGATCTCAAAATATTATTATTAATTTCCGACTCATCATAATTTTGACGGAAAGCATTTAATTCTTCTTGTAATTGCACTAATTGAGATGATATCATGGAATTTTTTGATAATAATTTTCCTTGTTGTTGATCGTAATCTATTCTTGTTTGTTCAAGTTGTGATGTTAAAGAATTTTTTTCATTTGATAATTTTTCATTTTTTTGAGTTAAAGTAGACAATTCCGTTTGTAATTGGAACAATTTTGATGTTTCTAACGTATTTTTATTTTTTAATTCATAATTATCTTTGCTAATTGTATCAATATCTATTTGAAATTTTTCCATTTGTAAAATCAAATTATTATTGTTGGCCATTGCATCTTTAAGATCTTTATCTAGTTCATCACGACGTTCACAAATAAGATTGCATTCACTTTGTTGATTTTCAAGTTGAGTAATCAGTGAATAATTATCAGATTTGATGAGATCGTTTTGACTAGAAAGCTCATCACGATGTTGTCGAATTTGTATACATTCAGTTTTTAATTGTTCATGTTGCGAATTTAAAGAATCATTCTTAGATAATATATCGTTTCGTTCTTTTTGTAAGTTTTCTAGTTGAGATTTTAATGAACTATTTTCATTGAGTAAATAATCACGTTGAAGAATAATTGTGTCCAATTGATTATGTAATTTCTCTAACAATTCATAATTATTCTTTCTTATAAGCTCGGATGAAGTAGAGATATCGTCATATTGATTTATAATTCCAAGTTTTGCGTCCGTATGTTCTTTGTTTTCTTGTTGTTCAAGTTGCTCTATCGAGGTAACAGTCGTGATGCTTTGACAATCTTCGTCTTCATCACCAAATTCACTATTAGCAAATTCTGATACTGTACTTACAGAAGCCGTACTATCAGATTGTCGCAGTATTAACATTTCATTTAAATATTTTGTCAATTGATTTTGTAATCGATCGTTTTCAGATATTAGAGTGTAATTTTGTAATTTCACTTCATCACGTTGTTCTCTTAATTTCTCATATTCTTTTTGTTGATTTTCTAATTCTAAAACCAATTCGGAATTTTGTTGTTGGATTTGATCTGATTTATTTAATATTAAATCGGATTTAGAAATTAGTAGAAGATTTTCTGATGATAATTCATCACGTTGTTTTATGAAAAAATTTAGCTCATCTTGTAAACGACCCATACCAGCAGCAAGATTATCATTTTGTTTTCGTAATCGTAAAGCTTCTTCATGTAAATTTTTGTTTTCATTGTTAATTTCATTAATTTTATTTTTCGCATTGTTTAATTCTAGGATCGTCATTTCATGATTAGATAATTTTTCTTGCATTTGACTTATATATAATTCCAATAATTGATATTTTCCTCTTGTATCATCACGTTCTTTATTGGATTGAACGACGATAGATTGAAGTTGTTTTAAGTTGTTGTGTAAACTTTCATTTTGCATTTTTAAATTCTCGCGTTCTTTAAATAATTTATCAAAATAATTTAGTTGTTCACGCATCTTTTTCACTTGGACTTCAAGATTATTATTACGATATTTTAAATCATCACGTTCCCAAAGTATTGATTTAAGTTGTTCAGATTGATAATGTATATGAGATTCAAAGTCACGTAATCTGTTAGCAGTTATCATAGATAAAGATTGACCATCAGATATTGACGATGGAGAATTGGTCGAATTCATTAAAGCAGTTGATGAATGAGGAGACATTGTAGTAGTCATAGTAGAAGTACCACCAGTATTATAAGATAAATTACAACCTCCAAAGGCAACAGGAGAATAAGAATAAGGTTCTATCTCTATAATAAAATCATCACAACGTTGATGAACATTATTATAGTTTCCTCTTTGCATATTTGGAGCGGCACCGTAGTTTCTAGTTGTTAGAGAACGATCAGGAAGTCTTGGGAGTTTGTTAGTTTGAAGGATATTTGAATTCTCCGTCAAAATATTATTATTGTTGTTGTTAATTTTATTCTTCGGACTATCAAAGTAAGATAAACTAGTCTTCTTGATAATAACACTTATATTATTAGTTATAGTATTAATATTACTACTCGTCATTGTTTATTTTTCAAAAAAAAAAAGAGTCCCACGTCATATGTATAACGAGTGAACAACCTAATATCAAGTATTAACAACTTGTTATGAAAAAGAAATAAAGAATAAACCGAAAAATAACAAATAATATAAGTCTTTGTATGTATCTTTTTTTTTAAAAAAAAAAAAAAAATTGCAGGTTTAGAAGACAATAAAAAAAATTTTTCCAATATCGAAATTCCCAAGTATCTGAATTAAATATAAAATGAGTGTGCGTGAAATGAGTGATAGTGATAATAATGAAAATATTTATGATTAATTTATAACTAAACCCTGTTTCCCTATTTCGAAAAACCACCAGAGGCTTACTAAATTTTAATTTTGTAAATAATTATTTATATGGAAGGTGGTGGAGAAAATGGTCAGATTTTTTTTTTTTTTTTTTTAAAAAAAATATTAAGGATTTTCTTTTAGTTAAAAAGAAACTACAATTTTTCTTTTATTTATTTACAGTGTCATTTTGTCATTGATGTTTTGTTTATATATTGTTGTACTCATAGACTTTGTGCAATTTCCAATTATTTTACCAAAAAAAATAACTTTACATTTTTATTGTCAAATAGCATTTATAGAAGTACATAAGAGATTTTCTTTTCGCATTTTTAATATTTTAATAAAAATAAATGCTAAAAACGTCGAAAAAATCTTGAAATAGAAAAGATCTTTATTATTGTAAGAAAGAAACCTAGTACATGGGCTGTGTTATTGTTATCTTTAACCCATTATCTATAATCTATATTTATTATCTCTCTTAATATAGTTATGACGCAAAATTGAAGCTATAAAGTTTGTGTACAACGAGAGATAAAAATATTATTTCAAAAACAACATATGTTTGTTGATTGGTTTCTCGTGTTTATTAGGCTTTAGCTGAGCCGTGCACAATTTAAGACCTTTTCGGTATACATAATTTAATGAATGCATGTGGTGTGTATAAATTATAATCAGTAAAATTTTTGAATATATGATGAACTCACGGTTTGGCGGAAGCTGTTCTATTAAAAGATTTTCTAATATTCACAGTATAAACATGGTATTTTTTTATTTAAGAATATTTAATTATATGTATGCTAGCCTTAAAAATATTAGCATGAAAGATAAACATCAGCGTTTTCTTTGTATATGTTCGATTTCACATTGTAATAGTCTGACTGACTTTATTTTTCATTGTTCGAAAACCTGTTCCAAAGTTAATCAAATAATTATCCAAAGATGGAAAGAAAACATAAAAATTTTGTCTCACAAATATATCATCTTTATTTTAAAAAATATGCATCTAATTTTCTTTACTGGTTTATACAGGTTGCATATCATATAGAGTTTCATTTATAGCCAAATTCGTAAATGCATCCTGAAATTCCGTAAGAGAATAAATGTTTCATTTTTAGATTACTTTTATTGGCCTCATAGAGATTCATAAACTCTTAAAATTAAGCGTTTTTATTGTTCTTTCTTAATAAAAATCAAAAACATGGAGGCCACGCTTTTGTTTCATCCAAAATTTCTCATGTATTACTAATAATTAATTCATTCATATCATAATATGTAAATGCTAACATTTATATATATATAATTGATTAGAATGATTGCAAATTTTATTATATTATTCCTTTTTTTACACGCTTGGCAGTGATTGCGTTATTTTTAAAATATATGATTCAAGTTTTTATAATTTTATTCATAACTCCGAATAATTTCTAAATATGTCCACCGAATATGTAATTATGCATTTCTGCTATGCATAATCATTTTTGCTAAAATTATCTGTAAATCGAAATAAAGATTGTAGAAGATTTGTTTTTGATTTTTTTTTTTTTTTTTGATATGAAACTGTGTATATTTCAAATTATAACTTTTTTTTTGGATATATAATGTTATTGTCTCAGAAACCTTAGAAACCTCGGTAATTATGCAAAGAACACATGACATGGATGTCGTAATACGTGCCATCCTTTCGTTATGGCTGTGGAGGCTTAACATTTACGTAATGCATTGTGGTTTCGGGATCAGTAATTTTTGGAAAAATTAATTTATTCTAAAGAAGTTTAAGAACTTTCTTTAATAATATTCGATTGAGGCTTTGTTTTTTTATAATTTCTTTTCTTTGTTATGTTCAAAGAGAATTACCAATATATATATATATATTTATTTATTTGATTTTTTTAATGAGGTGAGGCTTATCACGACAAATTTTTTTATTATCGTAGTCAGAGATAAAATCCAGAAAAATGATCGTTTATAGTATCAAAATCAAAGTTATTGTAAACAATCAAAGTTATTGTAAACAATCAAAGTTATTGTAAACAACCAAAGTTATTGTAAACAAATTTATTATGGATAAATTAATTCTGGAATTTTTTTCACAAATTTTTATCATCAAATTATCATAATAACTTTATATATTTTTTTTTTTTTCAACTGAGTCATACTCAAATTAACTTTATTGATTAATTATAATGTAGTTCATATTACTCTTATAGGAAACAAAAGGATCATAAATTTGCAAATGTATTTTGAATCTCATCATTGTGTTTTGGATTTATCTTTACAACAATATTTTGTTATCCCGTGAAGTTATTAACGTTATTTTGAAAGAAATTAATATATATATTAACAATTGGTATTTAATTGAATTTATCTTTTCACCCTTATTTATTTTCTTGATATTTTGTTTTTTATTTATTTTTAATCATACCTTCGCTCACAAGTTTTCTCTTGAAAAAAATCAATCACATCTTCTTTATTATTTATATCTTTCATTTTGATTTTCTTCAATAAATTTTGTCATAAATAAAATAGAATAACATTCAACCGTAACTTTTACGAATGAAATATGATATGAATAATAATTATATCATTTTTCATTTCTCCTCCCACTTCCCACTTCCCACTTCATTTTATAGTTATTAAAAAATTATTATTGTTGATATCTATATCTTTTATAACTTCTGAACTTTTTATGAAATTATAAATATATGAAAAAGTAAGAGATGGTTAAATTATTAAAAAATATTGATATTAACAAAAAGTAAATCTTATTGCAATATATAATATACATAACTGCACCGCCAACATTATATATAAATCAATATAAAGGAAATTCCTACCGAATAAATTTATAAATTTATAGATTTATATTTATTGAACAAGTTTTAAACTTCAGAATTTGTCGTTTTTTTTCCACTTTGTATTGAATTCTTTTCTGTAACTTCAGATTCTTGGTTTTCAGAATTATTCTTCCGTATCACTAACGATAAAATAATTAATTAAGCATTTTGATAAAATAATTATTAAAGATTAATTAAAATTTGAAGTATGCAAAAAAAAACAAACGATACATTGAGAAGAAAAAGAAGGAATAGTAAGTCCATATTGTTGCATGATATCTTCATCTTCTAAACTCATTTCTTTTATTGGATATGTTTCACGTCTTTGCATAAATTTGCTATTGGCAAAAAAGCCTTTTAGATGAAAAAGAAAAAAAATAAAATAAATAAATAAATAATTAATTCAATCTGGAACATAATTTCTTTACACAACATAATTTAGTTTTACTCACTTTCATCTCGTGTATAAATTGAAGAATCATATTGTATAGTTTTTTGCTTCTCTGTATCATCATCATCATCACCATTATTATTATTATTATCTTGATCATTATTATTATTATTGTTGTTTATATATCTTCTATTTTGATTCTTTTTAGAATTATTTATTAGGGAAGGAAATTTTAATATTCTACTTGTATAAATTGCTTGAGGATGTGTTTTCAAAGGAATTTGCATATTATTAGGATTAGGATTAAATCCGCTGGATACTACAATTTTCAACCTTACTTTTTCAGCATGATCAAATTGATCTTGTTGTTTTTTATAAATATGCCAATCTCTTAATTGAGCCACTAATTCCAATATAGTTGGTCGTTTTTCCGGTAAAGGATCCCAACATTTTCTCAAAAATTTATTATAACATTCAGGTACATCTTTGTGAAGACTTGGTCTATAACCATCAATTATACCTTCGATAAGATTCATGTCATGTGGTTTATTATGAAATGGAGGTTTATTAACAGATATTTCCCACATGAGTAATCCAAAACTATAGACATCAACTTTTGAAGTATATTTATCACCACAAAATATCTCAGGAGCGAAATAAGGAAGAATATCATAAGCATAATAACCAATTACAGGAATTAATTCTTTTCCATTTCCTAAACCCAATTCACTAACTGGAAGTTCAACATGAGATCTAAAAATTTCCCTATCTTCATTTTGTTCATTCTTTAACATTTCAAGAGCACTCGCAACACTATGCAAGATAGAAATTTTTTTATTCCAGGTAAGCCGAGCAAAATGATGAGACATGTAATGTCTCAAATCCCATTCTACAGTTTCAGAAACCAACATATAATTACTAGTTGTGAATTCACGTGTGACTCCAAAAAGACGCGCCATGATACCATTATGTGTTCGAGCATGATAATGTAATTTAAGCTATAAAAATTTCAATAAAAAAAAAAAAAAAGGAAATTAATAAATTTAATTTAAAAAATTTAATAATTTAATTAAAAAAAAAAAAAAAATTAATAATAATATTTAATATAATTAATAATATTTAATATAATTAATAATAATTATGATAATAAAAATTATAATTATAATAAATTATATTTTAAAATAAAAATTAAATATTAATAATACCTCTTTTAAAAAAAGATCAGGATTTTTACCAAAAGATTGTAAACCAACTTTAACCAAATTTCTCTTAGCTACATATTGACCTTCAACAGGATCCCAAATATCTAAAGGACCTCTTGACCAATTTGCAGCAAATAAAATACCAGCTTCACTATGATCAGCTTTAACGACATTAATAAAATCATCAAAAGAAATCCATTCAATATATTGATCACATTCTTCCGCTTCCATTTGAGTTTTTTTTATGAAATCATCAATTTGTTTATCTCCACTAGTCCAATTATCAAAATTTTCTTCAAAATTACGCCTTTGACATGGTTTACACCACCAAGAATTATCTGCCAATCTTTGGTCACATTCGGGGCAATAATGTTTACTCATTTTTCTAAAAAATTAAAATTATTATTATTAATATTAAAAAATCAAATAATCATAAATTTGGTATTTTTTTTTTCTTAACAAATTTAATTTTTACTGAATGCATTTGATATTACTTATTATTGATAATTTCCAGATTAAAAGTTTTAAATGTTTCTTTTCGTAAATAAATTTTGAATTGTTAATTTGTAAAAAAGATAAGAATTTTTAACTTTTATAATATATATAGAAAAAAATGTAACTAAACAGAGATAATCAATACTATTTACGTAATGCATTGCATAATCTGTCATATGATCATTATGCTTTAACAATTACATAACGCTTTTCTCCGATTTTGCTCCGATTTTGCTCCGTTTTAGTATTAGAATCTTTACGTAAAAAAAATTCTGTAAAGTTAATAAATTTATTCGAAAATACAGATAAAAAAAATTTCTTGGTTTTGAATTACAATGTTAAAATGGTATTCAAACAATCAGATGATTAATTTATCACTATATATGACAAATGAAGACATAAAATTAAAAGAAAGTAATTTAGGAAGCGAGCTTGATTTCTTAAACAATTTCCCCAATTGATTGTATTGATTATATTGATTGATGCAAAAAGTAACAAAGTATGCATAAAAAGAAGGTAAATCAGAGATAGGAGGAAAATAGTCAGTAATTTAGAAGTAAGGATTTTTCTTTCTATTATCAATTATCAGGAGAAACATAAGAAATAAAATAATGGTATGAATCTAGTATAATATTCTGTATTATCAAGTTTTCAGCGTGAATCTCCTTCAACAATATACATAAATGTTTTAACTAATTATAATTCACAGAACTTGTATTTTCTTCGATTTTACAACAATCCTTTATAATTACGATAATACAAATTTTTATAGTTAAAAAAAATAAAAGAAATCAATTTTTTTTCTGCTGCTTTAACATAATTACATTTTATTACTCTCATAAAATTACCCTTTTTATACATTCCGTAAAGTAAACGAATAATACTTTTTTTGATTTCTTGTGTTGAGTTTATTAATGACATTTAAACAAAATTGTAAATATTTTTTATTTTCGTACCACTTTATTCAATTTGTTCACTTTATTTCTCCTGTTGCGATACATAAAATATAAATAAAACTCATCATCTTATCGACTATCTAATCATGATCAAATTCCATCAAATTCGTGTATTCATTGTTTAATAAATCAATCCTCAAAAAGAAACAAAGCTGTCCGAAAAAAGCTAGGAATTCTCATTAAATATTCATTAAAAGTTATAGTAGAATTTTAAGTGTAACGAACAATATAGTATTATTTGTTAATACCAGATTTAGATTTAACAAAGGTAAACGCGGAATATTTAAAAAAAGATTAACACCGCGGACGTATGTGAATGTATGGGTAGATAGGTGTATTTTTTATCTTTTTTTTTTTTTAAAAAAAATATACATTTATCTTCTCTCTCCTTTTAAGTAAAACACTTACCTTATCCCTTTGAAATTGGGTTCACGGATTTCGCGACAGGAAGCATTTTTTTTTTTTGAAAAAAATAATATACTTACCTCCTTAATTTTTACCAATTAATATTATACTGCACTCTGCATTTTTTTATTGTTTTATAAATATAAGGGAAAGTAAGTTTAACAAATACTTTATTATTTTCTCGCATTCTTAAAAAAAAAAAAAAACAAAAAAAAATTCTTTGATACAACCTGGCTCAAAACAAGATTACTTACCTAAGTGAAAGAAAGATTCAAAAGACATATAATGTCTCAGTTAAATGACTCTACTCGAATAAAATGCATACAGAGCCTTCAGAAATGATTAGCAAAGCCAAGATCTGTTATGCAGTGATATCAGCTCAGGATTCAACGGAAAATACAGGGAGTTTGTTATCCTTCTGGAATGAATAAACACAGGAGGAATCAAAGAAGTGGTGGTTACCTGAAAAGACTACTTGTGCTGTTTTGAATTCAAACTTGTGAAGTGAATCCTTGAAAAAAAAAGGGATATAACTCATGGTTCTCAGTTCAGATGTTTGAACCAACAATAGCAAAACCGGAGAACTTGCAGTTACAATTATCACAATGTTTGTGGCGTGATATAATGGACTATATTCTGTTGTCAATTGTAAAAGACGAAAATACACCATCAAAAAGATTCAAGAGCTCCAAAAAAAAGAAGTGAAGAAACTTCCAGCAGGCAAAGCACAACGTATCCGCCTTTATCCTACTCAGAATGAGCGATTAAAACTCAGAAAATGGATAGGAACAGCACGGTGGACATACAGTAGGGATCAAAAGTTTTTTGAAATTTTGCATGTGACATTACTCAATGAATAAAAATTGTACCCGCAAATAATTTAATTTATTTAAAAATATAAAAATAAAAGTTTAAAATTATATAAAATTAAAATTTTATTCTTTCT